CAAGGTGTTTTCGATGTAACAAATCAAATATTTGCGTGTGTTACTTGTATTTTATGATTTAAAACTTAAGTCCTTCTAATCTATTATTTTCAATATAAAAAAATAAAAAAACAAGGCATATTTATATAAAATACTTAGGTAAAAGTAATGTCTAGAATAAGTTAAGCAAGTAAAAGTTTGAATTCTTGTATGAAGGTAACAAGAAATACTTGGTAAGTGCACAAAATTGTAACATTGGCGTACCTACATGTTTACAAAGTAAATGTTTAAAAACAAACGGAGGGTTACAGAGAACGCGCAGTGAGCTAGCGATGTGAAAGCAAAAAAATAAATGATTGCACAGCCCTGATTTTCCCAGCTTCTATTTAAATAGAATTTTAACGGTTTAAAACGCGATATTCAATTCGTCAGATTTAAAACTACTTACACGTGAACATCTTTTGTTGGTAAGTAGACTATTTTCCTTAAAATAAACTGATTATAATAATCTGGGCTCACTTTTAGTTAGTCCAGTTTATTATAACATCGGTTCCATTTTGATCTTACACTTCACACAAGGTCTACGTACCCGGTATGATTTATTTACTTATTTAATAACAATGACTATAAAATACTTATCTGTACAATATTGAGAGCGTACTTACTTTCCTCTTCGCCAAACCTTTTTAACTCTGTCTGTACTTTTAAAAACTAAGCTTTACTTAATTTTAGAGTATATTTTAATATGAAAAGGCATAAATAAGTCAATATTATGTCGGTTAATTGTTTATTTTCGATATTGAGCCCTCTCGGCAGCCGCAGCTTCATACTTGCATACGTCTAGTTTGACATGACGATATTCTGCAAATACAAAATGTGGTATATAGGTGAACAATGATCTTTGACATGACTAAACGACAACTTTCGTAATAAGTAACCGAAAAATTTTCAATGTATGTATATAGAGAACTTTTAAAAAAGAATTTGAGATATAATCGAGAACGCTTAGTCTATAACAAGTACATAAAAGTGTATTTACATATTTTTAACAAGTCGATTAAAGCTTCTTTCAGTAAAGATATTGTACTTTGTTTACTCGCTTCTTATTATAACATAAACAGATAAAAGTAATAAGTATTCGTCTATGAGATTCATAAACGATTGTTAAATTCTTTAAAAAACTAAAATAAATTGAAAAAAAATTTCGACTCCGGCAGGACTTGAATCGGCATCGTCAGCGTTCCGTGCTGTTCTCGTGTACTGCGAGTCGAAAAATTTTTCAATTTATTTTCGATTCTTAAATTATATAGTGCCTTCATGTGCAATACATGTAAAAAATAATAATAAATATAAGTTTACAGATTGTTAAATTCTACTGAATTTTCATTATAAATTTATCATAGTATAAAGTATGAATGAAAACTAACGTTTCTTTTCATCACAATTGTACTCATACAAATCGCAATTGTCGTTGAACATTCTAGAAATTCCCAAGGAATCCTGCCCACAAATTGCCACGAAGTCATGTTGACACTGGTCGGCCATTTTGCAGAAATTTATTACCTGGTGAGACAAATTTTCGGTACAAATACTATAAATTACATTACAATATCTCAATTGAGGAAATACTATGTTATTACTTAAGCTATTGTTCTCTGGGACAATTACAAATACCGCAGTGTAGGCATAGATATAGCCATCGTAGTATATTCAAAGGAGATATAATGGTTATTGCAACGGCGTTTATACATATTAAGCAACATTGATTCTCTATTAAGTAGGAGCTGTGCCCGCAACTTCGTTCGCTTAGTTATTTTGGACATAAAAATGTATTCTTGCCAACCTATACCTTTCGTTACACTACGATGTTGTCCGCGTCCAGTCGTTCTTGCGGTTTAATCTTAAAAAGCTAAACATATACTTTCATGGATTTTTTTTAAAGATCCTTCAAAAAAACGAATTATTATTCCAAGTATTTTTTTTGGTTTTTTGAACCGTTTTCAGAACGCACGCAACAAAAGCACTCGTAGATGATTGTTTTCCCCGTTATTCCAATTTGTGTGGGAAATGTTTGAAGACGACCGTCGTTAACGGGTTAAAAAAACAATCCTAACTCTTTGGCGTTATAATATTAGTAAGGATTTGGCAACAGTGTAATGATCTATGTGGACTTGACATCCCTTCCCAAGCCATCATTTATGTGGCTATTCTGATAATGTTATACTTTGTAAAAACATGTCCTAGAACTAATGTTTTTTTGGGTATCTTGAACCTTTTTCTCAGCGTACGCATCGCAAACCCACTAGTTTTTCCCCTTTTTTTACATTTCCCGCTACTTTTTCGCTCCTATTAGTCACAGCGCGCCTTCCTCGATAAATGTTCTAACTAACACAAAAATACTTTTTCAATTCGAGCCAGTAGTTCCTGAGAATAACGCGTTCAAACAAACAGAGAAACACTTCAGCCTTATATATTAGTATAGATTAAAAACAAATAATGATTGAGAATAAAGAAAATATTGGATAATATTTGCTAAGTTCATCTACAATCTATCTAAATATAAAACACATTACTGGTTCTAGAGGAAAGAAATAATCCTCCGCTTCTATTTCTACGTGACACCAAACTTCCTCTGCCAGCCCAATAATAATTAAACCTGAAAGAAAACTTGAACTACCGTATCAATAATATTTTTATCTTTTATTACTTAATACTTTGCCAATAGTAATCTTACTACCTACAGAAAAATAACGTAATGATGGGAAATATTTTTTTTTGTATTAAGTAACTATTCTGTCTATATGTGTGTATGTTATCTTGAGTCAATAAATAAAATAAACTACAACTCGAAACACATTTGTTTCAAATTCAATAAATCAATATTTATCTTACATTTAAGTGAGCTTGTATAATAATATTTAAAAATCTTTAGTTGTATCAGACAAAACTATTGGAGACTCAAAATGAACAGTGACTTCTTTAAAATTAATAAATAAAACCTTACTTGTCAACAGAAATTTAAATATCATTCTAAACACTTCACTTGCTCACTCAACAGTTGGTTTAAATCTAAACTATAACAATCGGTTGCGGTCTAGGACATAGAATCAAAACATAGGTTATATTGAACGCTAAGTAGATCACAAATAATAATGGGAACAGGGCAGTGAAATTGTGGTAGTTAGCAACCGCTAAGTCTATTCCCATTGTTAGGTTCTAGGCAATGAGTACTGATGACCTTAACCCACCATCCCCAAGCGAATGTAAATATTTTTAATTGGGCTCGTTGCGTCCATGGGTAATCATCCACCGGGGTCAATTTGTTCCTAATCTATTTATAATGTCTCTGAAACATATTGGACTTTGTCTGGAAATCTGAATATTAAATCGGTGGTGGGGTGAATCGAATTTCTTCAAAAAAAGACCGTAAAGATTAATCGCATTTCGGGGCCAATTTGTGAATTTTTTAATATCTCAAGCCAAAATATATCATCCTTTAACGCTTCTTAAATAGATTATATGGCTAAGATATATCACTCTACCAATAAGTATATCCATATCATAAAAACGTGTTATTTCTAGAAAATGTCCATCTCATCTCACGTCCTTTTCTAATACTAAGAGCACCATTTTGTGACAATTGTATAAATCCTTAAAGGAAAGATTAATCGACTAAATAGAGTATTGTGCCTTTCGAAAACACTTTATCCGGGATCCGAATTTAGCTTCACTAGCATTTCACAATTATAACAAACTAGAACATTACTTTATATATTTATTCACTATTTAAATAAAACACTTTAAGTTTAAAAGGATATACTTATTAGTTAAACATATTTTTTTTTCAACCGTTAAACTACTCGACTACTTAAATACAGTAGCATAGTATTATGTAGTTGCTAAGTAAGCAAAGCGTTCCATGAATAGTTATAGTTTCTCATGAAGGATTTATTTAGAAGCTTCGTCTATACCAAATGTTATTGATGTATGAAAATTAATAACAACACGGTACCAGCAATTAACCACAACATGAACGCATCGGATATTATCGTTGAACAGATCAATACTAAACGAGGATGTGGTTTAAAATCATCATTCATTGTAAGTGTTTTCAATAGGTAGCTTAGATGAGTTGATAGATTGAATTAACTTCTGTGCCTATATGCTAAAGTTAAAACTAGCAGCACTAAGCAAAACTACTAGGTATTATATCTATAGTTTGTGTATAGTACACATTTAAATAAAACACTTTTAACGGTTCAAAACGCGACCTATATTGCCTGACCTATAATTTAAATCCACAGTGACGACGCTTGCTGCGAAGCATCCAAAACGTACTACAAATACACTGAAAATAAGTTACTTAATATGTTTCGTGGTTTAAACCGTTAAAAGTGTGTTTTTAGCAAAACTCTCAAACGTAATGCGTGGAGCATGCGGTAGACCAACATCTGTGTCTGTTACCTGATCGCTTTTATTTACATACTGACGATCACACTCCTGTGCCCTGCCCGGCCGAACCTAATTAGTTTTTCCCTGAGACCTAACCTATGACTTGCCTTGACGCTTAATGCACGATGCATGTAACGAGTAAGCATGTATTGAAGTTAATTATAATATCTATGAATATATTTTTGTTAGTTTTTTTAGTTTATATGTAGTTTACATTAATTAGAACAATTTTAACGGTTTAAAAATCGAACTACTTACATACTTAAGTGTTAAGTAAGATCCGACACCGGAAGTACAGTTAAAATTGTTTTATTAAATCATTCCAAATTCAAATCCTCAAATCTTTTTTTTTTCTATTCAATTCGTGCTTAAACATGAAAAAAATTGTTTTGCTAGTTATTAATAAATAAAACGAATTACTAACGAAACTAATGCTTTTTGTATATATTTGATGTCACTATTTCAGAAGAATGTTTCTCGTCATACATAATATTTCTACAATGTTTCTTTTAGATTTAAAATTCTAGAAAATGTTGAATTACAAATTGCAAATTTTGTAATCATCAGGTATGTTGTGGATAAGCTTAATACCCTCGAGATGGTGTCACCTTCCAGAGCACGCATCTACACCTTCCGTAAGTGTGATTGAAAATAATGCGTTAACATGTTAACAATGTTTGAAACCTTTTTTTTTTAATTAATAGTCGATTTTTAAGTTAAAAAGGATAAGAAGCAAGATATGAGTAGGTGTTTGAAGACGTAGATTCATAGTTACATTGTTAGTAATCCTCATCACTGGGTTATTGAAAAATAGTTTATAAAATGCATAGCGCATTAAACTTAAGACGAGAAGTCTGACTTTATTTTAATTTATTAATCATTATAATTTATTCAACTATATGATTTATTCGGTACGGTAGTTATCAGACGATCTTAAAAGCGTATTGTGTTTGTATAAACTTTGACATAAGGCTTAATTAATGTGCAATAGTGGATATCATTGAAATGTGCACTTAATTTTATTTATGGACTATAATTAACATAAGTGATGTAATTGTTTGTAGCTAGCCGGATACGATAGTTTCTAATTATTAATGTTTATAATACATAAGTTTGCAAAAACATTTTTAGGCACTCCAAACCATTTTGTTTCAATAACCCGTTTGGACAAATGATTTAATACGCTGAATATCTATAATAGTTTGAAGCAACTTATTGTAATTGACTTTTACAGTAAAATAATTTACTTTATTACCTTTTGGAATGATATGTTTTTCATCATTACAATTCGTCATTTCCAACTACACATTCATTTAGTTTTTGTCATATTTTATTGTAAATGTATTGTTATAAACTAAGCATTTCATATTTAAAAAATGTAAGTAACTTTTACCATGAAAACCAAGGACCAAATTTTATGAATAAAGTATATAGTACTCTATTTTTACAGTCATGTGACATGTATATGTATAGTCAAGGAAAATTCTTTTCCAGAACAAAATCGACCAATTCTGCAGTCTGGCAGACACGTGCATCCACGACACAATACCCATTTGCGGTCGAATGGGCGACGAAACTAGAACCTTTCTCGACCTGTGCGACTTACTGGAATTCGCATGCGATACTAATCAAGGTAAAGCGTACCATTATAATAATATATCAGAGAATAAAATTTATAAAACTATAACCTGTATGAAACCGATTTAGTAGTTTATGTAGTGAGGCAAACATACATACATAGATTGTCAAAATCATTACTCTACATTTAACTTCACTGTTAGTTACACTTGGTCTTTAATGACACCATAATTTCTATTTTAACGTTTTCTCTTTTGTAGTTTAGAATATAGAAACATTGAAGTCATGTTACTTATTAACTATGGTTCCAGGTTGGTTAAAGTGAGTTCGATTCCCGGATCTGCACCATTCTTTCTGTGTTTTTCAAATAAATCCCTATTTCCTTCAATATTATGTGTATGTGTTAATTTGGTATTTTTGTTATCAGTTTTCGCCCACGTAGATGACATGGAGGGATGTCCCGTTTTCAAAATTTAAAGAAACGAAATAAAATCATCGCTTTGTTAAACGTCGGGTTTTATCGTTCACAATTTAAAATGTTATTCTATTTGCTTATTGTTTTTTATTCTATTTACGTCTTGTAAATAACTTGTTTATGTAGAAATTGCATGAAATTAACCTTTAAATGCTTCAGATAAAAAATGACGTGGCCTCGTAATTTTCTGTTATTTAATTTTTACTAAATTAATATTTTTTTAAATAATATTTGTAAGAATCAAACCTAGGATAACTAAGCGCATATGCAATTTAACAATGTAAGACACAAAGTGAAGAAAAATTTGTCGACATTAAGCAAGTAAGCTTACGAAGTTATTTGTTAAAAAAATCTTTACTTATATATGTGTTTAAGTACCATTACCGTAATATGTTGGTCTGACCTGATATCGCTGAAAGAGATAGAGTTTGTGCAATTTAAATAAGAGTGACAGAGACCGACATGGTAAAGGTTGCTCGAGTAACAGGTTGGAGCAGATGGAATAAGTATAGCGAATGCAGTAAGGTACAGGGCCAGATTCATAATCCTCGCTAAGAATTAAACGCTGATTAAAAATGTAACTATTAACTACTATTAACATGATTGATGATAGTGATTAAATTTGTACTATTACGATAAAACATCCTGAAAGACAGCAGAACGTCAAATTTATTAAAAATATTTAAGATGTACATATTTTTAAATACATATTTTTTTAATGTACTAAGCTATTATCTATATAAGGCAGGTAAGGTATATTGTTCAATTACTTTTAGAATAATCAAAGAAGTAAAGAAGACAATTGTATATTATACACATGATGGCATTATATAGATAAAAATCGATTTTAGTTTGAACAAAATAGCGCGAGAGGTACATGTATCAAGGTTGAAAAAATCAACAATGACGTTACAACAGTACATGAGCAGAAGCACCGAAGGCCTTGGACGCCTTACAAAAAAACCTAGACAGTAAAACTAGACATACACAAAATACACAGATCAGTAAACAACAAAAGTGGTTGTCAATACAATATATAAATTTTAATGAATGATTACTATTTTTTCTTTGATTGTAATCTCTAATCGTCTTAACCGACGTCAGTGGAACGCGGCCAAAGTATCCGTGAGAAAGGTACAATTTGAACAAGCCATAATTAGCGAGTGCATTAAATCACTGGCCGGCTTTGCCCGCCCGCGATTTCGTTGATTAGCTACCCAGGGTCAAGTTCAGGACGACGCTGGTAGGGTCAAGGACATTTCCAGTGGACATTTACGAAATCTTCTTAAAACATATATATACCAATATCATATACCAGCTGGTTCATTTTATTGTTTGAATACAACTCTAACCGGTAATTGGTACGCATTAATATCGACCAAATTTAATTACCGTAAAAAGAGATCTTGCAAGTTAATTTTTAAAAACTAGGACATTGTTTATAATAATTATAACGAGAATCATTTTTTATACAATTTTTTACGCTTTCGCAGATCAAGCTTCGCAAACCCTTAAAGATGAACAATTGTCTCCACGCTTTCCACTGTTTAGCGAAGAAACAGTGGAAAACGTTAATGGTGGGGGAAAAAAGAAAAAAATATTTTTTTTATTTTTTATTAAAAAAAAAAAAAAAAAAAAAAAAATTTTTTTTATATTTTTATAAATTTTTTTTGGCTTTTATTTTATGAATGATGATGATGAACGTCACAAAATAATGAAAGTTCGAAAGTTCTCAAATCAAGGGCGTAGAACGAACGAGAAAGGAAAAAAATTTCCGGAACTGGCAATAAACTTGCCCTCACTCCTTTTATCGCCAAGTTTTATTTTACATTCTTGATTCACTTTTAGTGATTACAATCTTAAGGAAAAGCAAGCCAAAACTAAATAATATAATATCTAAAGCCAAAATAGGTCGATAGCACATCTTGTTTCGATGTTATATGGCTGAGGTATTTCACCTAACATCAATTCTTCTCTGTCCTCTTCTATCATAAAAAAGCTATCTAAAGCTGCCCTCGATAAATTGTTTATCGAACACATTTTTTGTTTTTAATTCGAACCAGTAATTGAGATTAACGCCTTCCTACAAAAGAAACTCTTCAGCTAAATAATATTAGAATAGATGTATTATTGGGCAAATCCGATTTATCTCTGAGTAATTTTTCTAGCTTCCTAACAGGCTTTACGAACAGAAGGCGCCACTAGACCGACAATGTCAATTGTCAGTATGGATTTATTCACCTTGTTTTATTCCGTTCCCAATACAAGGGAAAGCATAAGATATAATCATAACTGCGTATTTAGTCGAAAAATTGTTTGAAACGAGAGCACCCAGCGGTTCTTAGTATCTAGTCGATAAGCATCGGGCTGCCTAATAATCTGTCGGTGCCTTTGTCTATTGTTTACATTAGGGTGGGACGTGATTTTGTATGTCACGCCGGCAGCTTTACTGGACCTCCCTGTTGTTATGAAGCCGACTGCGTGTGCGCAGCGCGGGTTAGAAACGTTCGTATATGGGATGTTCGGTTATTACTATGATGATTGACGTGCATTTGATTGTAGATTTAAAAACTCTTTAGTTCTCCATTAAATAAATACATTTTTTTTTCATTTCAAATAAAATAATATACAAAACCAAGGTTATAGTATACATTTTGAGGATTTTTTAAAAGCTAGTTAATTTAAATAACTAGTAGGACCGGCTCGTTGGTTTAATAGTATCAATGTATGGATCATTATCAACGGGTCGTGGATTAAGTCCGGGTCCAACATTTGTCAGTTCGATTTACAATTTCTCTGCACATGTTTGGCTTCATCTGGAAAACTGGATATTATATGGGTAATATCGAAATTCTGTCTGGGTCGAGATTTCGCTTAACCTTTACCCTATTTTCATCTTTAGACGTTATATGGCTGGGGTGTTTCCTTTACCATCAAAAATAATTATGCTTTTCTGTCTATAATAAACGTAATTGTTACATATAACCAAAAATATAAATACTTATAAATAATAATAATAATGGAGGTACCATTAAAATTTGTAATAATTAGTTACTCCTTTGTATTGTTTTGTGTGATAGTTATCACCCTGTATATCATATTAAGGGTGGACTATCGCACGTGGCGCAGTTTAGCTGACGCGTGAGCAGCGCGCTAATGACGCGACGTCAACGCTGCGCCCGCGCCGATGTCGCCCGGACGTCAACGCGACGTCGCTTTGATACCACCGAATGTCGGAAGACCGTCACCTTAGTATTAGTTCCCGTTGGATTAGCATTTTTATGTTGCAAATAAAAGAAACTGATAACAACTTAAAATTTAGAAGCGAAGAAAATGGTTGACTGATTTGAAACCCATAATATGTAATAATAGCCCTTATTTTCCAAATGTTTACATAGTTAAAAAATTACAAAATGTCTTTTAGTTCGGTGTATTTTTTGACATAGGCCTCTTCCAACAGCTTCTATTACACTCGATCTGTTGTTACCCTGGTCCAATGATTTCAAAACCATACGCAATAATAAATACATTTCTAAATAGGAAGCGCCACCATTTTATACAATGTAGTGGACTAAAATTTCGATATAACCTTAAAAAAAAACTTGTAAATACTTACTATTACTACTAATATTAAAGGGAACATTGGCGCAATCGTATCAAACTAACATAATATAAAGTTTGCATTTATCAAGTTTGCATTACTTTTAATATTTAAAAAAAGAATAATTCCTTAGCTAACCAAAAACTTGTTGTTTGCGTATCTTAGAGATTTTATTAAAGTTGCGCTATTTGTGCTTAATACTTGAACTTTTTCTATCTATGTCACAAATATACATCTCAATTCTCAATATTGGTATGTTAGATATTTTATCTTACGCATTTGAAAATTCTGTAACAAAATGTCATTAAAATAATTACCAAGCAAAATTAAAAGAAATAACATCTTTATTTAGAAGCTCGTGATTACTGGTTTTATCTCGAGTAACACAGTAGCTGCCTTGAGGCCACGCGCGATCCTTTATTTTGGTACTTTTTTTCTTATCACTAACATAAAAACCATGCTCTGTTGGCTTAAAGATTTTTGATTTAACATAACATGCATTTGAAAAAAATTTACTACATACTAAAAATTTCCAGAGCAATATTTAAAAATGGAACGTGAATAATAATTAAACTCTACATTCAAAAATAAAAAAAAGGAATTATAAAAAATTCTGTGTTTAAAAACTTTACATATGCACATGAAGGCAATATATAATTTAAAAATCGAAAATAATTTAAATAAAATTTCTACCCGCGCAGGCCTTGATCCGGCATCGTTAGCGTTACGTGTTGTTTGTTGCTCTTGTTGTTCAGAGCAAAAGGAACAATTTATTTTCGATTTTTAAAATTTCTTTACCACAAAAACGCTCCTTTTGCGTGAATTAAAAGATAGAATTAACTGTCGGAATTTTTTAGATTATCTAAAGAAGAATCATTCTTCCATTCATATCTTTTATGTATTGAACCGTTTTCGCAGCGCAAGCTACGTATACCCTCAAAAATATGTATTCTCGATTTTCCTCTGTGCCTTCGCTCCTATTGGTCACAGCCTGATGTTTCATACCCTACTGCCATCCTCTTTAAATGGTCCAATGACCAAAAAGATAATTTTTCATTTCGAACCAGTAGCTCCTCAGATTAGCGTTCAAACAAACAAACTGTTCAGCTTTATAATATTAGTATAGATGTAGTAACGCTATCAAATTAAAACCTACCAGTATCCCAAAACCAAAAAGACATAACTCAACGTCAGCCACATCGCCTTAAAACCGTCTCATTAAAACACAATTAACTCGTACCCACGTATGTATTGAGAACCCTCTCACAGCAAATCGCAAATCAACGCACATTATGTTATCAATAACTGTCGCTACGTTCGATCATTATGCCGTCTCCTTTACGCAAACCTCAGTAATTATGTTACTTACATCTCTTTCAAACTCATTAATCTGTAGCAATGCCAGCAGAAAATAACTCCCTCCATTCCTTTCCCACGTAGGTGAACAGAAAACTACTAGCCGTCTCTTTCGCGCACGGTTGACAAAACAAAATTCATAAATGACAATTCTTCTTTTAAAAGTCACTTTTTAGATGACAAGTCGAAATTTTTAAAAGGGTTAAACTGTTTTGAAATTTGCCGTGTTTCAACGGCTCGGCAGCTCGGGCGGGTTTTCGATGAAAAAAGAAAACTAAGCGCAAGAAAGAGAGGTTTCGTATGGAGGCTTTTTATAGTCGTAGTCCTGATGCGCTCGCGCACGGAAGTATCGAGCTTTAGTATCGCTCCTTAATCTCATTTCAATAAAAAGCTTACGCATAAATTGACGCGGTTTCATTAAGTTTCTACGTTGGAAATTGTCTCTTTTTTTCATATCGTTCTGTGAGGCATAGGTGTTAAGTTATGTCGGACACGTGCCGTTCGTCGTTAATTTTATTGTTCGAATATAACATTAATTTTGTGAGTTTTTATGAAAAGGCTCCTTATTGAGCAATCATTAAGTCTTCATCTTTCGGACTGTGTGGTCGTGTTTGTTTATTTTTATTTTCGATATTTATCGAAATGAATTGACATTTATGTGGGGACTTTATCGTTGTGAGGACTTTTAGTGCCGTCAAAATGTTTTTAAGGTAAGGTTTTTTAATATTTACATTTAAAGTTCTTTTATTATTTATATTAATTATTAAATAATTTTAATCTTTTATGTATTTATACATTATAGTTTTTATAATAAGTTAATTAAGTTCTAATAAGCTTTTGGTATCTTATAGGACCTGTACTTGTAAAAATATAGTCAAAATTTAAAAACAAACGTATGTAGTTCCTTAATTGGAATTAAACTAAGAAAAAAATAATGATTGTGAAATTTATTACATAATTCTCGGAATTTTCGTTTATTAATTATGTTCCGTCTTTATTAAGTAAAAAATATTATTAATATGCTTGTAATAAAAACTGGAGTATGTTTAAAGATTGCGCACGATATACAGATCATATAGTCTAATGTAGCTTTATTCGTTGAAATAGTTATTCACGCATTTTCCTTAAACCCTGGTTAAGTTTAACTTAAGTTTTCCGTTTATCCGCTTTCCAATTTTTATGATAGAGTAATACAGGCAGCGTAGGGTTCTTATGATGGTCCTTTGCATTTTCAAAAGATGCACTAATTTTGGTTTTGGACAATCCGACATGGTTTATTATCGCGTTGCAACAAACTTACTCTATAGATAACAGCTACGGTCTACGACAAATACTAATGCCAGAAAAACACCTGTTAACCCTCAGGTGTAATTCTGTGGGCGGGGTTCACTTACTATCTACTACGCCTACTTCTTCGCCTTTTAAAGCTCTATGACAAATATCGATTGCTGAACAAAATAATTCAATAGCTGCGCAAGCGCGTATTAATTAGAACTCAACGTTACTTAGTTGTGGGTGAGGTTGCTGCCGTTGCTCATTGCTAAAATGTATTATGCCTAACATTCAGTTATGCAGAAGTCCAAGGTTCTAAGTCAAGGGTAAAATTTCAGTGGGACAAAGCTCGTAAATATGAATGAATTGATACCCTATGAATTTTCCGACAAGTAAAACTAAATTACCATTTCTTTTACCAGTTTGTTTGAAACTACCATTAAAACTTCAATAATAGTACATTTCTTTTTGATTGGTTATTTTAATTCAGTTATTTTCAAATGCTCTTGTTTTAAAGGTTTCTGCAGCGCATTTAAAAATGCATCATGTTTGTTCACATTAACCAAATCTACTAAAACATTCTACATTCTACAATCAATAAACAAGCTACAATAATACGTCGTCATTAGTACTAATGGCCAAACGAACAATTTGGTTTATTCCTGAAAAACCACAAGATTTTCGTACAAGGCTGAAAATTACATAACATACGACATAGTAAATTGCTACATGTGTGCTAAATGTCGCTGTTTCTATTAAGTTGACTGTGGGCTGAATGACGTCATTTGTTTAAAGTTCCTATAAGTGCGCAGTATTATTAGCACCAATAACATATTTTAATAAACATGTCTCTTAAAAGGAAATAAATGGTTTGTACAGAATGATCGCTTTTTGTTGCTGATGATGCTCTTGTTGCAATTGAATTAAAGGCGTAAGTGACATTTAGAAAAGTAACTCTCATATTCTTTTGACCTTTCTGAGAGACGAACCTGGGAATTCTTTTGACAGAATATGATTTTGGGTTTGGACTTTCGAATATTTATAATCTGAAACCGAAATTTTAATTAACATTCAAGGTTATTCCATCCTTGGACGGTGGTTCGTGACCCGGGCGAAATTCTCTTTACCTTGGTTTCTCTATTGTAGACTTTCTGTATGAAAAAAAATGTGGACTTGATAATATTAAATTTGACATACATATATACATTTAATGTATTAAGAAAAAGATACATATTAGACGCGGAAGAATCAAACCCACGTCTAGTTGATATCCTACCAACGAGCCCTAAAACTTTTTAAAGAAAAAACACAAATATTTTTAAGTGACTAAAAGGAATTAAGTTAATTTTTATTAAACTAAAAAATGTGGTTCTAGTCTGATATGTTCCGGAAACCCAATCGTTACTGTTTAATATATTAATCAATTTATATGTTTTAATTTAGTTATTAATTAAATTATACTCGTTATATCTTTATAAATGTAACCTAGCAACCGAATCAAATAATTATTATAAAACATTTTTACCGACGGTCCTCTCTAAAAGGAGTTACATATTTCTAAATAAATTAATTCTATTTTTTAATATCACAATTAAATTTTCAAGTGCAACAAAGTACTTAAACTGATAAGTGTACTTAAAATAACTCGGAAAAGATGTTTTTAATAAAACATTTTTAACGGTTTAAAACATGAAATATATTAATTAAAGTTATTTTTTACAATGACCTGACGTTTTGGACTTTGCATGTCTACTATGGAGGAAGGAGACAACGATTTTGGGTCATATTTATTTGTTATACAATGTAAAAAATTAACTAACAATACAAAGTAGTGTCTAACTTCTAAATACCTTCTTAGTGACATCGAACCAATTTAAAATGGCGATTTACATAAAATGTTAGCTATGTCCAAGTTATGGGAACTGTATCTTACGGCTCTGTAATTATAATAACGTTTGAATTATTAATTACACGTTGCCATGAGATTCAACGACTTGCATTGCCTGAGAGGCAAGATTGTTTATACTACTTTAGACAACTTTAATTAAATCATTAATAAACTAGACCGGAATACGTTAGATATTATTACTATTAACGGAAAATTATAATTATCATTTAATGTGGTGTCTTTATTGAATTGTCCAAGAGCGCATTCATAAGAAACATTAAAATAACTATATAACTATAAAAAAAACTTGTAGAGAGAAAGAAACGGAACTCAAAATTGCGATATACGGTAGTATTCTATGGTCTACCCCTCACCTACCATTTTTATTGTTATATACTTTTAATTTGATTTGTAGGTTATCTTTTTACGTCCCTTTATATGAGATTTTTCTTGTCCATAATTTCACCGATTTCATCTTGATGAATGTTTGGGGGAAATCTTTAAATATTATATCAAAATCTTTTATTAAAATAAAGTTACCTTTAACATATTTAGTTTATATATTCCAATTTCAACTATTATGGAACTCTATGGGTGTGGAGTGTAATTAGCTATAGATTTTACATGCCATAACGAAAATGAAAAGAAGGATCACCCTCCTTTTTCAGTCCCTTTGTGACCACGGCTCCTGCTAAGCATCCCAAACGTTGGGTCGTATTAAGGTTCAATCAATAATAAGTTAACTAGGATATTTCATATTTTAAACAAATAAAATATGTTTTATTTAAATGTACTACCTGTATAAGCTATAGACAATATTCAAGTAATTTTGAATAATTCAAATGCTACAATTTTTAAAATCGAAAGCCAGTAAAACAAGGTAAATGTTTTTAAATTTCGAATTTAAACCCGAAATTCTAATTTCAAATTAAAAACTATCAAATCCCAGCATAACATTGAAGAAACAGAGTAACGAAACATCATAGATCCGATATCTATATCTTTACATTTAGTCTGTCCGTCGATCGGAATCGGATAAAATACTTCAGTCGTCATTATGTCAAACTGCGCGTACCTTTGACAGGAATTATCGTGTTATCGAGTAATCATGTCTATTGTAGAGAGAAATCATTATTTCTTAGTACCTTCGGAAACGTTATGAAATTTTGAGTAACAAGATGTGATTAGCTTTATATACCTATTTTTAAATTGTAAGCATTTGCTTTACCTATATTCTGGGTATATGATTTCCTGTCGATTTTATATATCTTTTTCAATTTAGAATGTTACACTTGTTATTTAAAGCTTAAATCTCGATTAATGTGTTAATGTAATGTAAAAGATAAAAAAATAAGAATTTAAAAATGTTACATTTTTTATGATAGAATGTAACAAAGAAAGTACTTTGTCCCTTATTATGAACGTTCATCAAATATAAGTAGTGACAATTTTATACTATCAAACATAAAACACAAAGGACTATATTTTTTATTCACTCTTAAAAGTAATTAATAGGATTGCCGAAAAACCGAAATTCCGTCCGTGTTGCGACCCACCGTAAACAGATGAAAAACGTTTTCCATTTTCAGTCTATGATTCGTTCATTTCTATTTTCGATTTTCAAAAACAAAATCCGTTATATGTTTAGACGTTATATGGCTGTTAATGTGTGTTTTTGATCAAAAGTATTAAATTAAATAAACAAACTAATAAAGTACGAATATCCACTTCATTATATCGTCTGAATCCTTAGAAATTCCCTTCCTAGTCGGCATTTCAACACGTGCTCCAATAAAAACCGATGTTCGGTCAAACTGAATCGGAAGAATTTACACGGTGTAACGCGACTGCGGCGTGAAAGCCTCACGTTGTCACGCCACCAACTATGTTAGGAATTCGCTTTTTGCCCCTAACACCGCCGGCTCGGTAAATGATTCCTTCGATTTACATAACGTTAGATGGATATTATAAGGCCCTGATATGCAGAGAAAAAGCAATCAACTTTATAGTGAGTCCGAAACCCGTTACACAACGGTTGAAAAGGCATGGTTCAATTACCGACGAAACGACATGCTATGCTAAAACCTAAATTAATTACTCTGAAATAGGTAGAATGTAAACCTATCTAAGGCCACTATGCAATATGGGAGTAACACTTCTTCCAAAAATTTCGATTAACTCCCTTAAACATGGAAAATTTGTGACATGGCATGTTTTTAAAGAGTCAGTTGTAGGTATGTGCTACATTGTTGACAAATATCATTAGTAGTTTATGTATGAAAGGCTAAGACTAGATCATTATTGAAAAGCTCTATGTTTTCAACAACTAACCCCGTAAAATGTCTTTAGGCCGAGAGGAATTACTTATAAACTTCGGTTAAGAATTTCTTAAAAAAACAATGTCACGAACAAAACAAACTCGTAAAATCGAATAAAAAAAACAAAGGATTCAATCAAATTAACAAAACGGACACCAATCATCTCTCACTTCCCACAATCACACTAAAAAAAGTTAATCGTTATTGCCGTAAAAAGACAAACTACGGGTGAGATCAAACGTCATCGTTTGGGGCCGGAGCGGCGTGTTAACGCGCTGGAAGTCACATCCGAACTTTAAAATATATAAACTTTTTTTTCGGAAACTCATTGAATTGTATTCTAATTCGTCGGCTTAGTCTGTGGTCGCTTGATATCGTTTAAAGAGTTTATTATTGTTTTCTATCTGAAGTATGAGAATGGTTAGAAAACTGCTTATTAATTTGCTTATTTATAAAGAAATTAAAAATTAGGGGTCTAATTAAGAAGATTCTTTTCTTCTTTCGACTTTATACGCTTTTAACCAACATTATATTCGCTATTTTTTAATATTTATTTAAATTTCGTTATTTTTAACACAGATGCAGTTTATATCTGGGCTTGTTAGGCCCAATTCTATAAAATAAGCTTGAAACTCAAAATATTGTTTTAATCATTCTTAGTATAAAGATAATTTGATGGGCAGACTTATCTTACTCTTATTTAGATATCTTTGTCAATTTTAGACTTCTCCCCGACCGGATCTGTTTATTTCCCGGGATTAATCCCAGGAACCAGGAACGTGAGGACCTCTCATGTTTAATACAATATTTTTAACTATTGATCCATGAAGATTAGGACGTGGAGGGTAAAATTACCCCCCCCCCCTCCTTATTACCAGTTTATAAATATTTGCAACTTCATACACTACAATACAATTTTATATTCAAATCACGGCGTAATTACTTTCATCTAACACCCTATTAATATTAATTATATCAATAGAGACAGCATTTACAATGAAATAAACAACAATAACACGCATACGTAATAATTTGTATTCAATATCATGATATAGGAAAAGAAATTGAATGCATCCAGAATGAGCTCTGGGAAGAATTTGCATCACAATATCGATATTATAATATTGAGGCGTAAAGCGATAAATTTACACACGGTTTCCGTCCACAGCTTACTACAGTTTACTTACAAGCAGTTGCGAAAATCTTAACACTTAATACGTCATTATTAATTATTGAACAAAAAGGTTGGAATACGGTGAACGGTGTTACAAAAATAAATTTAATTAAATTATCTTACATATTCTTGAAATATTTTATTTCACGATTCTTTTTTTAAGTTTTAAACTACCTTAGTTAATAAGCCTACATTCTCATCTTCAAACTCATTTATAACATATGCGTTTCTTAACCTAATACAATATTTATATGTACTTACTTTAAGACTGAAGACGAACAAACGTATCATCAAACAATGTCGTGAACATTTTAATAAATTAATTGAGAGTAGTGTTTTTTTTTGTTTGGAAAAGAAATCTCCATATATAGGACAATTTTGTTCAATACCAATTTTGAACCACTGAAAGCATGCACTGTGTTAATAAATTCCTCATAATGTTTGCAAGTATGTTAATATGTTCTATAGAACGAGCCGACAGCACCTGTCCGACCGGAATATCCGCACATTGTTTACAAATAAATCTTTTTTATCAATTATTCCGTATAGGATATGTCGTTTCCTTAAACGATTAAAATTGTTTCTTTATAAAAAAGTTATTATATAACCTTTTTTAATGAAGGTATTCGCTGTGGGGTCTTTGGTAGCTATGTACGGCTAATAATCAATAGGTTGTGGATTCGATCCCCACCGGGTCCAACATATTTGTAATCGATTTATATTGTTTTTTAAACATGTTAGACTTCGTCTAGGAAACCTGGATGTTACCATTTAATATCCGGGTTGGTAGAAATATATAAATTCTGTCCAGGTTTCGAACCACCGTCCACAGTTAAAAATGACGTGAAGTTTAATCACGTTTCCGTTGCATTCTGTGGATTTCCGAATATTCAAAGCCAAAATAGGTCAACACTTTCACTTTGAAGTTCTTCTTTATCATTAAAAAAAAGAAACTTTATGTATGACATAAATATAAGGACTTATTACATGTTGTTATCAGAAATTCAATTATTGGAAATATATTTCCTTTTAGATTTGAACCGACGAAGTCAACGAAGGGCGCAAGCAAAATGCGCCGGGATCTAATTAATGCGGAGATCTCAAACCTGCGTGACCTTCTTCCGCTGCCTCCCTCCACCAGACAGCGGCTCTCCCAGCTTCAGCTCATGGCCCTGGTTTGCGTTTACGTCAGGAAGATGAATTACTTTCAGCAAGGTACATACAATAAGACTATTAAATATAAAAGATATATTGGTTGAGAATTTTCCAAAAAAGCTCTTATAATTTACAACAAATATGATTTAGAGTAATGAATTTTCATTATTATTATATCCCAAATTAAGTTAAACCTTTTTATAACACAATCTTTTTCTTGAATTTGTTATATCATCCGCCTTTTTGCACTCACACATTTTTTTTGGTGTTGGTACCGCAATATTGCGACCATTCTGCCAATGTCAACACTCACAGATTATAAACGCGAAGGCAAATTTGAACTTATGTATGTCAATGTCATTTATTACGTATTAATTAGATTTACATTTAGAATAGTGGGACATCCCTACTATTCGAATTAAATTTTATTTCGTTTATCTTGTAGACCTGATGATCAATGATTGATTGATATTAGTTAAAATTACATCATCTAAGTAAAGAAGATTAATACATTAGGATTTTATATTTATGCTTTCCAAGTATTTTTCTGTTTTTCTCTTTTGTTGGCACGACTCGCTTAAAAGTAACCGGACGTAGTCCTTCAAATCTGGTGTTTATATTATATACGTTTCTTTAATTTGTCATATTATTTTTTTGGTTGTTAAAATGTATGAATAGTCTGCAACCGCCTAGATCTACCTTTCTTTTCATCTCTCCACGTCGAATTTCCGCGGCGATTTTCCCATGCCCCAAATGTATCACGAAACTCATCACGTCCTTATCAAAAATCTCATCCCATGTTTTCAAAACGTCTCCAAAACTTTTTGTTTCACCTTCAGTCACGAAAAGGCATATTAAGACGTTTAAAGTGCATTTAGTTCGCTATCTTATCTCGTTGCTATTACTTCACCCATAATTCCGTCTTTCTTTCTGTTTTAGTGTTCAAGAGTCACGACTTCAGCTATCAGTATCAAGAACAACCTACTCCCACACCTAATATCGGATTTTCAAAGGTACGTTTTCAAGTTTATGAGCGTTCGCAGTGAAAACATTAAAATCACTAACATTTACAATGTCTTTCAGGCCATGAACGGTTTTATGATGATGATGACACAGAGTGGGAAACTGCTGTACATATCGGAAAACGCGGCCGAGTACTTGGGACATTCGATGGTTTGTAAAGATTTATACTGGAAATAATTGGATATATATTAACTAAATTTCAAGGTCAGAGGTAATTTAGTCGCGTGTCGTTTTCATTGTAATACAAGTGCGATTATATTAACTAAATAAATAAACTTATGTGATAATAAAACAATATGGTCTTCTAAATTCAAAAAAGGTTTCCATCTTTTAAAATGTTATATCTTCGAGGATTATTTGGAAATTTATTGAATTTTCTATTTTAGGAAGACTTATTAATACACGGAGACAGCGTATATGACATAATAGATAGACAAGACCACCAAATGGTCCAAATAGAACTAAATAGGGGAAGTAACGGAGAGACTGAAAATGTACCAAAGAATAGACATTTCTTCTGTAGAATGAATGTGTCAAGAAACGCTCGCAGACAAATGAGATTTGGTGACCAAAAAGTAAGTGTAGAAAACATTACAAAAACTGAATGGAACAGAATTATAATAATTATGTAGTTTCAGGCTTTATTTACAGGCCTAATTAAATAACACTTAAGACAGTGAGTTTAATTCAATTCAGAATTTTATTAGCAATTGTTTTAAATACTGTCTATAGTTTACGCGAGTAGTACACATTTAAATAAAACACTTTAACGGTTTAAAACGCGACAAATTAGCGAAACGTCGGGCCGAAGTTAAAAATCATTTTCAAATAAGTTTAACATAATTATATAATAACGGTTAAAGCGCAAATGGCGCTTTAAACCGTTAAAGTGTTTTATTTAAAAGCAAGTGTTTTTTTTAAGAATACAATCAATACAGTAAAGATCTTGTACATAAGCATATTTACCGTCATAATAAATGTATTTGGATCAAAGGGTTACATTATTGTTTTTTTTGTTAAAGGTAGTTTTAGTTCATGGCCACTATGTGTCATACCTACCCCTCTGCAGCCGCAACGAGCCCGTATTCCTAGCATCATGCACTCCCCTCGCGATGCCGGAGACGAGGGAATGCGTCGTGCATGGCGCCACCAACGTCTTCACCAGCATTCACGCTATGGACATGAAGATACTGCATATTGATGCTAAGTAAGTTTTTAGGCGTGATTAATTATGTCTCTAGTTTTCGCGAGTAGTAAGCATTTAAATAATACACTTTTAACGGTTTGATACCGTCCCGTGATCACGGCTGTTGTAAAAAATAAATCCGCAAATATATTTTGCTAATTATAAATGCCCTCTTATTAGTGTGAATTATATTTACAGACTTTAACTTATACTGCTTCTGTCGCTTTAGGCAGTTTGGTAAACCTAATTACTTAAAACATATTATGTAAAAACTTTCTAAGTTTACGAAATGTAAAGTCAGTCTGAATCGTCCTAATACTATTTATCTTGTTTCAGTGGCGAATGGTATTTAGGGTGGAATAAAGCTGAGCTAATAGATGTGTCGTGGTACCAAATATTACATTGGGATAGCATACGAGAAGCCCAAGCTAAACATAAATTAAGTAAGTCTCTAAATAGATATATCTACCACAAATATTTAATTTCTTTAATACATAAAAAAACTAACGAAATAGTAGATACAATTAAACGTAATATAACAATTGGAGTTGATAAACATGTTGTCTTACAGTAACGCAATCTGAACAGGATAAATGCTGTATACTTTTAGTAAGGCTTCAACAAAGATCGGGAGATTTTCTATGGATACACATGGTTCTACAAGTAAAAGAGGCTACGGACACTCCTAGACAATTTATTGTGGCTACAAACCAAGTCTTAAGGTACAATACATTGATATGATTATTCCCGTATTAATTATCTTACTTAGTTTTATTTAAAAAAAAGCAAACCAACAAGTTTTTTTTATAATATAGCTTGTTTGTGTCTTCCTGGATTTTAAATGTAGAATTTGATCATAATTACTTAAGTAATTACGTTGAAAATCAATACAAAACGGATTACGGTCGTTGTTAAAACTTATAAATAGTAAGATCTAAATTAACACAGTCTCTGAAGGGGCCACAGAATATCAGAGTTTGGACATCAGTCCCAGTGTCGCTGATTGGCTTCCTAACAGAGGCAACTATATCATCGTTTTTGAAAACATTTGTATTTACTTCTTTATATTGTTTGAATTGTAAATGTTGTGTTTCTGAATTGTATTTCTACTTTATTTCTATAACACTCTTCTCTATCCACAGTGATGAAGAAGCGTCAATAATGGTCGCGAACTCTTGGCTCTACCAATATTATGGGTACCAGAACCAGCCCTGTGGTATACTTGACCCGCGCTGTCAAAAGTTCTTCCGGCGCGAACCTTGCTACCAAGAGACATATCAGGAGTACCAATATATAGAAAATAATGACGTGGAGTATCCCGCCTATGTACCGTATGTTCCTAAACCAGAAGATTACGTGTGTGAGAGGCTGTACACTGATAGAGGACCTGTGGACTACTCTACGCATTCGCCACAATCGACGATAAGCGAAGAAAGGTATTATAAAATAGAAATAATAATTACTTAGTTTACACTTCACTACTTCCAAATAGTTAATTCATTACAATAAATAACGGGCCCATCTATGAAGATGAAGGCTAAAAATCTTTCAAAACTTTATATCGTAGTTAAAAATAAAATATTTTTTGCATTAAAAGTTATAAAAGATTTTCGTGCAATGAATACATTGTGTTTTTCTCACTTAATACGTTCCAACGTACCGAGCCCAAAAAGTTAAACTGTACTATCTAGTAACATTCATTTGTTCAAGTAAAAGACAAGAGTAAGCAAGGGTATTTTAAAATTCTACATACTTCCATAGGATCTTTAAAAACGCATTAAAAAGCTATATAGAAAGTGTCCAAAGCTGCAAAGTTTGATCTCAGTGTATATTATATTATTCAGTTTTTATTTGTATATAAGATATTGAGTAATACATTTATGAGTGTTTACGTATCTTGTCGTATACTACAGTACAACAAACAATTTATTACCAGGTCACCAAATCACTACGAGATGTCACCTGAAGCAATGAACATGTACCCGTACTCCTATCCTGGAAAGAGAGAGTACTATGAACAGTTCACTCCCGTGAACTACCCCCAGGAGCCATATCCGAGCACATGTATGGATGGTAAGGAATTTATTACAACTCCTCACCAAGTCTTCACCGAAATTAAAATTCGCGAAATATTTGTTATTAGTGTAATAAGTGTATGCTATCTCTATTATTTATAACTAGCTGTGTCAGCGACTTCATCCATGTAGAATAGTTTATTTGAGCATCCAATTTGTTACCCACGACGTCAGTCGCGTCCCGTCGTTCTTGCAAGTTAGTCATCAAAGATAGACCTACAAGACATTTTTTTAAGATTTATAAAGGAATTATTCTTTGATACATATTTTTTGGTAACGGAAATCCACAAGGATGAAAAATATTTCCCCGTATTTTTCACATTTGCCGCTGTTTCTTCCCCCCCACAAAACAAGGACAGCGCAACCTTTTATAGCCTTTAGCCTTCCTCGACAAATGCTCTAACATACAGGAAAAAAAAAACAATTCGAACTAGTAGTTGCTGAGAGAACAAACAAACAAACTCTTCAGCTTTATATATTAGTATAGATTTATTTTTTCACAGGTACAGAATACCCATCACCAAAACGCATGCGCCTTACAAACCTCGGCGTTGTAGAGGGGACAGATGCCATGGACCGCTGGAACCCCAGTCCACCTTGGTCAGACAACCTCAAGATGACAGAATACACGCAACGATTCACATATAATATACTACCCGTACCCGCGGAGAGAGCTATGGTCACTTAACTGTAGGATATTTTAGCAAATTTTAGATCATTCAAAAGTATCAAACGAAAAGAGCTCGACCACCTTGTGTATGTCAGTTGCGCTTATCTTTTTGAAAACACGCGGGCGTACTTTCGGTCGAACTTGGTAACCTGTAAATTTTTAAACAAACGACAAACGCACAATGGATTTAGATCTTTGATATTTCCACATGATGACATTATATAAATTAAAAATCTATTTACAGCAGTAGCACGGAATGCTGGGTATGCCTGTTCAAGTCACGCCCATGTCTAAAACTATATGATTGATTATTGTATTCAGTGACACAATTGAAAAGATATTTATTCCCAAATTAGATCCCCGTTAATATAAGAAAGATTTTTTAAGAAATCAAAACAAATTTTCAAACAATTTCAAACAAAAAACGAAAAAAATACCTTTCTTACCCGGACTTTTCGTTTGCTTTATAGCAGAACGATAAACGTAGTAAAAAATAAAGAAAAATAGTTTTCGTTTCAAATTGTCATAAGCGTTTTATTTAGTACCATTCGTGTATTTTAAATCTGTATTTAATATTAGATAGCTATTTATTATGATTTAAAAATAAGTTTTGATGTAGTAATAATATATTGTCAGTATTGTTGTACTAAATATAATTAAATAGTGTAAGTTGGTTAAATAAAAAAGGCTCCGACGTCCGTCCAAATAAAGTTGATTCCAAAGGAATAGTTAATAATGTGTACCGTCCTATATATCTTAAAGTATATGTAAATAAATGTTAAGGTGATTGTGTAAATATTGCATTTAATTATTGTTCATTCTTGACAAATAAACGTATTTTGAATATAAGTGGATTTTATTATTCAGTATAGCGCTTTCGATTGACAAAATAAATGCCAAAAAATATGTCTCACTTTGAATCGTATCATCACTTAATTTTTTTTCTCATTATTATTTTAATTACATTTACTATAGCCTATTTACTAATACATTTAAAACTCAACAGTCAACGAAGTGAAGTCCTCTTGTTTACCTGATAGTTTGAATGCCTCATGCGCGCTCAAGTCGGGCATTAGTGACATGGGGATCCTCTTCCAAGTCTATAGCCGACCAGAAATAGCAAACACACCACCAGTCCGCTTGAGGTGCACCAGTGCTTTGAGGGAGCCCCGGGAACAAAACATGAAGTGAAATCCTAGCCAAATTATAAACAGCTTCCGCTTCACAATTCCCACATACATTACCCAAGCCCCGTTGCGATATAATTTGTATTAACCAAGCACTATCACCCGAATGCAATTACATAAGTAACACGAATTAGTTAAAATACGCTAATTACCATTAGCAGGCCGATATCGAACGCTTAATAGGTTTCAAGTGGTTAAGAACCATTCCGTGAAAACCTCCAAGGTTGCTTATATAGAAGCACAATACCGATATTAGCAGCTCATTTTATAGTGGTGGCGCTACCATAGTCAAATGAACAAAAGCCTAACCCGCTCGCGTGTGGTACAAGTTATAAGCAAATTACGACTTATAATAGGTATTACGATTTGGCCAAATAAATATGTTTAACTTCAAACGCTTTCAATAAAACACTTTAACGGTTTAAAACGCGATATATACTAGTTGAACTTATCTGAAAATTATTAACTGACAGCTTCGTGACCAGGCTGCTGCAAAGCAATTGTCAAATAAGTTTAACTAATACATATCGAGTTTTAGACCGTTAAAGTGTTTTATTTAAATGTGTAGTACTCGCGTATACGAACTAACTAAACTACTGCGTAACATGGACAGTATTTTCAACTCATTTTAACTTAACATTTGTTATTTAAATACTCAATCTACTGACATAAATAATAATAATTAACATTTTGAGGAACGTACGCAGGCGATTGTTAAGAAAGCTAACATATTAAAGTATTCTTTTAACGCTGTAAAGAATAAAAGAGTTTCTTCATTATTTTGAAAATTGCTTTTTAGGAAAGTATGTAAATATAAAGTCGCTACGTAAAAGATACATATTACGGAAATTGTATGTAAAACACTTATTTTCATTATTATAACTATATAACAACATCAATTTCAGAATCATACAGACAAAAAATGTAGGGATTCTATGTTTCTTCCTAACAGCTTTACAAGTACCAAAAACTGCACCTGTGTTTCTGTAAGGATTCGTAAAGTTATTCCCGCTACCTCTAATAAATTGAACCACAAAAGCTCTCGCTAAACATTGATCCATTGTTATTGCAAGCCTGTCTGTCTGACTGCTGCTATGATGAATTATTGATGTCTACGATACTACGTGATCCATATGCAACCGAGGATTATGTGGACTACCATCTCGTTGATAATATGACACTCAAAGTCAAGTGTGCAAAAATAACAAGGAGACAATAACACATTTACGTAAAGCTTACACAGACTATGGATAAACGAAATTTATTGAATAGTAAGTACAGTATTTAAAAGTTTACGTGATTAGTACACGTTCAAATAAAACACTTTTAACGGTTTAAAACGCAAAATATATTAGTGAACTTATTAACATTAGCAGCTCATACTGCATACAATGATCAAGAAAAAGACATACGTTGATTTTTATTCAATAGCAAAGAATCCGAAACGTGGGGTCGTACATAAAATAAGTTCTAAATAAATTTGCAAATATATTTCGCGTTTTAAACAGTTAAAAGAGTTTTTTTATAAATTGTATTTATATATGAACAGTATTTTTTATACAGGTGTATTGCTGTTAACTACTCGTAGGAACATTGTACATTACGTTTATAAAATATTTCATTAATTTTTAAACCTTGTTAACATGATCGAAATAAAAGTATAACAATATACAAGAATATTTCGTAAGATATATTAAGTCTATTAATTTTGATACTGCCTCAATGGTTCTCTCTTGCATACGACATCCAATTAATTTAGAGGCAAAGCTTTTCGCATTAGCAGGATCGTTAGCTGAAAACAAATTAATAAATTATACGCGGAGCTTGTTCGTGGGAAAACTGAACGTAATTTATTTAACTGGGTTGTAAACACCGTATACGTGGTGATACTAGTAATAATTGTACGCTGATCTTAAATATCATAAGAAAAATACTATTCAAAATCTAATTTGGTTTGCGCTTTAAAAAAATAATTTTGTATACCATTTACCTACCTGCTTTATAAACCTTTCTAATCTTAGGTGTTTTTCAATTATCAATTTATCCATCAAAGTAATAAAGTCACAATTTTAAAGCTAAATAATTACAAAGACAGAAGAACAATAGATTGATTCAGTCGGGCAGGACACAAAATTTGAGTATTACTTGCCTGCAAGTAAAACAAGCAAAATAAAACACACAATTGTGTTCGCTCCGTGCCCCACGGGGTGAAACGGGCTTTAATTTGTCCTTTATTATATCACATCTTCGTTAGTGAGTAAACTAAATACCCATATGAGACTAATTTTATTTATCATGTTATCTGAATTTGCGAATATTATATTCGTAAACCAAGTGTTTCAAACACTTTAACAGTTTAAAACGCGATATATATTAGTGAAACTTATTTGAAAATTATTTTAACTATCGTCCGACGTTTCGAAAGCTTTGCAACAGCTGTGGTCAATCCTATAACGACCCGGCTAGTTTCGCCAAATACTAACTTCGACGTAACAGATGGCACTAGCATAGCAGTTTTTACTTCGACGTACTGACTGTGACTGACACCCTCCAATTTTAGTCTCCCCGTGACCACGGCTGCTGCAAAGCATCCGAAACTTTGGTTAAAATAATTTTCAAATAAGTTTAACTAGTATATCCCATTTTTAACCGTTAAACTGTTTTATTTAAATGTGTACTCCTCGCGTAAAGTACAGACAACATTCAAGTGTTTCAATTTAAAAATTAAACCAAAACATAGATTACTGCGAAGTTAATGACTAAAGTAATAAATTTTACAGCTCATAAACAATGACAAACTGCGCTCGTACTAAAATTACACCTGAAGTCGTGTATATTTCAATGTTTCAGATAAAGCGAGTGTTAGATAAAAATGTATTAAAATGCATTTAACGACATACCGGGGTTAACTTTGATAAATATTCATGCAAATATCCCTACGTCCTGGATTCCTTGTAAAAAGGAAAATAAGAACGCGGCTAGATTACGTTCTGATGCAATGCCTTAGGGATTTAAGTTTCCCTGTAGACGGAATCTTAAAGATTTTTAAATCTTTCAAATTGCAAAAATATATCAAAATCATAGATGTTATACGAGATAAGTTTAGGATTTTTTGGGGCCCTTTTCGCCTAATCTGTATTTGTAGTAAAATATACTAACATTCCGTACCTACTAAATGTACTAAAATTCGATCGATTCGAATCCAAAAGTTTCTCTTCTTAAGTGAGGCATAGAGCAAACACATTTCCGTGTTTATTTCACTAATCGCATAATTTTACAAAAAAAATGTTGACTAGATCTATGTCTCCTCACCGACTGACACTTTTATCTTTTCGCAGATCCAAACCTAGGTCCTTCCAAGCGCAACACAAAACCAGAAAAGCCTTAGAAAATTACACACATCACCACGCGAGGTAATCACTTAAATAAACATTTTTAACGGTTTGAAACGAAAAATATATTATTTAACTTACTTTTAATTTTAACTACGACCCGACGTTTTACATGCAGATGTGAAACACACGACTATTAGAAAATAATTTTTAATGTTTCGGTTTTAAACTGTTAATTATTTTATTTAAATCTCATGAGATTACCAAATCTTTAAAACTTTAAGTCAAAATAGGTCGACAACATATCTTTTTGGACTTCTGATCTCATGGCTGCATACCACTGAGCCAACAGCCTATAAAGAAAGCCCTTATAATGCAAAGCTTATTTCAAGTTAAGTAATAAATACTAGAACCGCGTCGCCGAACGTATACCATAAACTCGTGCGAAATTAATTCATTTCCTTTAAGGAAATTACCACTATTTATAGGCATTTCTTTATCCACGCCCCGATACATTTGAATATAATAAGTAATTATGTAGAACTTATCAATTAGTTATGATCTTATATTGAAACGTGAGTTGAATATCTTTAGTCTTTTGTTTAACAGCGAATACAGATTAAAAATAAAAGCTTTTATTTTAGCTACTCAAGCGTAATAGATTTGATACTCCTTGATTTGTAATACCTATATTAATTTCCTAAAAGAATTTACATGTCACTCAGGGTCTAACATGTTGGACGGTGCTTTTTGGAAGGGCTCGTCAGTGTAATTTTGGCAATAAATGTAAAAAGATTCGTGGATTCGATTAACGAGTCCAATATTTTTCAAACTTTTCGTAACAAATTGGACTTTGAAAATCTGTATTTTGGGTAGATATATCAAAAATTCCGCCCCAGTGCCAAATAATCATCGACAGGTAAGAAGGCGGGAAATTTTACCGCGTTTAGGTTTCTGTGGATTTCCGAACATCCAAGAAAAAAAAATCAACAGTGCACCATGTCAGATGCTGTATGACTGGGGTTTCTCACCATCTATTAAGTAACCTCGCTACTCTGACCTCCACTACTTAAAAAAAGACAACACATGAAAAGTCGCGGGCAGAACTAGTCCGTTATAGTAGTCAGTAGTAATAATTATAAGTTTTGACCAAAACTTGTCGTTCGGTTTCGAATCGTAATAATGGATTTAATGCCCAGTTCGAGACTTCAACTACAATTTTGCAAAAATGTCATGAAAACAACACGGGACTAACAAACTTTCATGATAGTATTGGTCAATAAATTTTGAATCGGTAACAGTACTTTCTTTGTAACGAGGTTTGGTTTCAAAAAAGTTTCACGTTTTTGATGTTCTCGGAATTCGCAGCTTACCCAAAATTATTCTAATGGGTATTATTATAAACGGTATTTTTGCATAGAGATAATTTTGAAAATGTACTGTATAACTAATGTAAAATATATTGTTTTAATCGTGTAAGCATTATTATTTGGAAGTTAGAATTGTCATTTTCACATGTACATCCTAAATTTTAACGATACAACAAGCCCCTGTTACTAATTTTACATTACATCATTCTACATAAATAAAATTTAAAAAAAGATGTCAGAAGAAAAAAATGGACAAAAACCAAAGACCTAATGATACCCAAGGGACTCTAAAAGCAAAAGGAAACTGAAGAGGAAGATGACATACAAGTGCAGATGGAGAAGTTTATTATATGTAAGTGTTATGTAATGTTTAGGATATGATAAATCTATATATTATAATAAAAATTACTTTACATCCCTCATTATGGAAATACTATAACTATATTACACTTAATTAAATTCTAACATTGAAAACAATCAACAGGGTAGTGCACGATACGGGTACTAGTGATGTTACCATATGTATCGATATTTCCGAATTATGACGTAAAAGAAATATTTTATTATAGCGAGCCTGAAATACGTATGTCATGAATAGATAAATTTAACTTAAAGTTATAGACGTTTTAGATTTATGGTACGCCTACACAAAATGAAAATTGAAACCCCGGTTTTATGTAGCTTAATTAGAAATTATTATACTATATGTGTAAATAAGAATCTATTTTCCCTGTCGATAATTGGAAATGGCCGTTTTACAAAATGTGATCAGTAAATTTGCATTGCCGTTTTACAAGGAAAAAGGTTCGTTAACCTAAAAGCAATTATATCGATAAATCAATTCATTTCTACCCTCCATCAGCGCACGATTTCCATGTCTTTTGCCACGTGTTAACTGAGCGTACACGACAGACGAATACAGCCTGAATTTATAACAAGTCCTATAAAATTATTCTTTGTTTTTACATTTTCTAATTGTTCTATGCGCACGCTTCTCAAACACGTGCCGGGTGAGGCGTTTGAATTTAAATTGACTTTAAAATAATATGGATTATATTAAATGCGTTATGATTATAATAATATCGTAGACGAATATATACATAGTAATATCACGACTTCTTAGGTTTTCTAGGGAGAACACACAGAACACGACACACCAGTTTACCTGCTGTTATTCCGTTGCCAATCACTACTGTAAGGATAAAAAGAGTTCTACCTTTCTAATGACAGTACGGTCACATCTTGAAGATTTAAAAAGAGAATCAGAGCATAAAACATTCGGGTAGCTAATAACCAACGGTCTTGAATTCGATTCTAACCAGGTCCAATGTCGTTATTAATAATATTGTATTTATTAGCTGTGCCCGCGACTGCGGCCGCGTGAAATAGTTATTTTTGCACCATATTTTTTTTTTGTAAACAAACTCTTTTAATTATAGCTGTTATCGACGTCGTCCGCGTCTCATCATTCCCTATTTTAAACACATTTTCCTTTGTTACTTCGCTCCTATTAGTACTATACTAGAAAAGTATTTTTTCGAGACAGTAGTTCCTGAGATTAGCGCGTATAAACAAACATGCCCAATACCCGAAATATGTATGATAGAATGATTCCATTTTAAATAAATAAATTCGCGATACTGTATATCTTTTAAAAATACCTCGCAAGAACGACGGGACCCGGACGAAGTCGCTGACACAGCTAGTATGAAATAAAAAGATACAAGCTATACAATGGCCCTATTCTAAACACCTGCGACATATCGATAGTTCCGACAAAAGTATAACGGTTTCGGCATTTCTTTTTATGATTATCTCGTCAGTCGATGTCGGGATTACTAAACAAATAGGAAATGAAGGCGAGCGGCATTCTTTTGTTCCTCGTAATTAAGTCGACATTAGATTATATTTTGTAATGTGTACCTGATGTTGTAGAATTAAAGGCGTGTCGAAATTAATCGGATGTGGTGTAGACCTTTTTATATACCTACCATATTTTACTTGCGGCATATAAAAAATAAAAACCTATAATAAATAACCTATCATAAAAAAGAAACAGTATAAAACGCAAAATATATTACTTAATTAATCAACTACGGCTACGTTTCGGAAGTTGTTTAGCAGCCGTAGTCACGGAGGGAGAGAGGATCGAATGAACAGCGAATTATACTTAAAAGTACTCTATATTTCGTATTTTATTCATCATCTTTATAGAATAGTTAACAAGACCCCCAGACAAATTTAAATATCTAAAACCCTACTGTAGCTTAGTATTTAGTAAACAATAAGGTAGACTTGTCACGAGGTCGTGGGAACAACAGGTGTGGTGACTTAATCTAATCTACTACACCATAACATTTTCTCTCCAAATGGTGAACAAACCGTTTGCAAATTTCGCCTTAATTTTCACTTGGTACGTGCGAATGATGGCTGTATAAGGTAAAAGTATGTTTTTCTAGATAATTCTTTGTTGCGTAAGTGATGCGTAGAATATTAGTGATCAGTTTTTGTGCCATAGGGCTTGATATATAGCCGATGCCACCTTTATCAGTGAATATACTTTATTCTCTTAATTATTTAGAGTCAAAACAACACAATGAAAAATGTTTGTCTGTATGTCGTGATTCTACAGCGAGTTCCAAAGAGCAACATGACCGAGAAGAACCCCCAAGAAACTCCGGCTTTTACACTACAGCACTAGTACAACATACACATTACACCGAGTTATTAATATAATCAATATACGTAACCAATTCGAAAAAAACTGACATATTTCAATGTTTTACATTTTTAAATACCAGTAGTGCCATCTACTGGAAGACGCACCAAACGCATAAGCTCCTACGAACTGTTAAATTAATTTTTAAGAATTCGATGGCGAGAAATATTTAGAACTGTGGTTCATGACGATTCTAGTAGATGGCGCTGCCATCAAGTTATTGTAACATTAATAATATTGTTATATTTTTATAACTTTATTTATTATTTTGTTTTCAATGCGTGTCTATCACCTACAAAGTACTGAGATTTCCAATCAAACGGCCGATATTCAGCTTCAAAGCGTTTTTGCCCTTCACAAATGTTTTCTTCAACGTACATGAAAACTGAAAAAGATGCTATATTTATATCAATAAACATCTTAACGTAGCGTAATATTATAATAAAGGATGTGAATAATATTTAGTTAAATATTTTGTGATGACTCAACTTCAAATAGAACTTAACTTTAACTTTAGATATACTATCTAAATATATATGATGTTTCATAGATACATGTTTACCGAGTAATTCGACGTATTTCCTATAACTTATTCTAGATTAAAAAACAATACCTCCCCTTCTTTCACAGTTTACTTGGTAAAAGGTACACATGTCTTTAAACTGAGCAAGAACGCTTTCTGTTTCATCAAAGCCACAGACTGGCGGCCCCCCCTTGGTACATGATTTTAGCTTAAAACAATTGAATTCAGCATGGCGTTGCGTAGTAATTGGATCCCATTCCTGAAACAGAGTAAGTATAGAATAAATTATAACACTTACACTATCGTATAATAGTCAAAACATCAATTAAACTGATGTGAATATTGAAATATATTTATTTATTGATCTAGGTAGACAGTAAACTCAATTTTTTAATTAGATTGAAAATGGTTATCTACTTAAGTGAAAAAAAAATACTTACATATCCACCAACATATTTGATAAGAGGCATAACAAAATAAGCTGAAAATTAAGTCCAAACGTTGTAATTAAGAAGGAAATAATACAACGTATAACTTATGGGCTAAATTATATAATGTAGAAATAACATCAATATTTAAATTAAACAATTTTTAACAGTTCAAAATGTGAAATATATTAGTTAGCGTATCAATATCTAACGTTACCATATCCAAACGCAGTCAAAGGCACCATTGTGCTAAAGTTTGTAATCGAGTCATTAATTACAAAATTCCAATGTAATCAAAACCGTAATTCGTTAAGTTTAACGTCCACTTCATGGTTTAGCATTTCTTATTACTTGTTGCTGTATAGCCTGGAAAAGGAATGTGTAGTTATCAATTGAACTACTGCCTATAAACCCTTTATACACGGGCATATTGTTTGAGCAACAGCACAGGACGCGTAAGACGTAGGTTCAGTTCTCGCCCGCACCATTCGTGAATCTAAAAAGAAGTCTACCTCTTTATTATTTAGATATTAAGTTATTTATCGATCTAAAATCTATTTTATTTATATGTTTTATAAGCAATAATCACAAACAGTCTCTAAATAATTTTGCTTTTTCTAAGATATAAAATGTGTGTAAAAAACCTTACCATGTCCATGACGGCAATTGATCTTATACATATTACATGCGTTGTCGAACTTTCTCCAGCGGTTTAGTCGTATATCCCTTCCACAAACTGGGTCACCCTCGTTCTCACAATACTTGGCACGCCAGCACCAGTACTCGTTAATGACTTTTGCTAAGCCCGGCTCTTGTGTTGGCAAAGGACTCTGTGTAACAGTTCTTATAATTAGCGCTTTTAGTTATTTTAATAAACTTCTGATTGAGTTTATTTTTCGCATTATAATAAATAACCATTTTGGAAAATTAAAACAAACAACGGTGTTATTTTTTTTTATTCATAAATTAAAAGAATAAATATTTAATTATTTTCATATACGTCTCCTTCTGGATGTTCTTCGTTACCCTCTGTTGCAGCATCTTCCGCGTTACCAGTATTACCTTCATTTTCTGCTGATGGAGCTTTAGCGTCGTCATTTGCTTTCTCGTCTGTTACCTTTTCCAAAGGGGTTTCCCTATTTTCACCTGATTGATCACGTTCATGATCACTTTTCTGTAAAGTATTATTTTCAGCCTGTGATTCGGGAGGAACTTCCTCTTCCAAATGATGATCTTCTGCTTCTAAATTAACTTCAGTGACATCGACCCCGTCGTTGGTTTTGTTAGCGTCTTCCTCCGAAGCATTTTGCTTTTGAGACAGAACTACTTCATCGATTGGCGGTAGATCTTGACAATTTCCTAGGGCTGTTTTATGGTAAGCTGAAATTGGTTTTGTAATTATAACTTCTTCGATTCATATTTTAGAACAATACAATTATTAATGATCTTTACCTGTTCAAAGAAAACACTTTAACGGTTTAAAACGCGATATATTAGATTATTAGATTAATTAAAAAACCTTTTCAAATAAGTTTAACTAATATATCGCGTTTTAAACCGTTAAAGTGTTTTTATATATGTGTACTACTCGCGTAAACTATAGACAGTACTTTACCTGTTCGTTGTAAGCAATTGTACTCTTTTATATCACATGAATCGAGAAATCTTCTTAAATTGCCGTTTGGATCTTCGCCACATTTTTCTTGGCCGTCATGGATACACGTCTTAGCGTCGTAACATATCTGAAACAAATGTACACGTTTACTTTCCATGTTAGGGATAAAAAGTAATATTATAGTATACAGAACTTGTAACTTATCTTCATTAGGAAACAATAAATTTGTTAAGTAACTCAAACTGTCACTATCTTGCATCACGTTTATCCACAATAAAATGTATTTTTTAAAGAAATTAACACTTTTAATAAGGACATATTTTTTCCCGTAATAATTAAATAGTTTTATCAATTTATAATAAGATCTTACTTTATTCGCTTGTGTCGAATGGTAACTCCTTATAAATATAGCTGTAAAATAATTAGCTCGTTTTAGAAAAAACTGTAAAAAATAATTTATAATTTTATTTATTTACTGCCACTTCACCTAAAACTAGCGTGAAAATCATAACGAACGTGAGGCAATTTTCTCCGCTATCGGAAATAAGGTAGCATTTTATGTTCTTGATATTTTCAATCTAAAATGCGCGTAACTTGATGGATTTCTTGTTTTTAATATGAAATATAGGAAAACATTTAAAGATATTTTAGTACTCATAATTGTTATCTTCGCACTTGCGAAGGGATGCCGTAGATTTAAAATGAGCCAAAAGGTGAGTACACACTTTTAAATAATAAAATATGTTTATTGTCTTTCTCTTAATAAATAAAACGCTTTAAACACGGGGAGACTCGCGTAAACTACAGAGTATACAGTGCAGAGTAGGTACTTTAAATTAACGTCTTAACGACTATTAAAAAATATTTGTATTGAAAGGTATGCGACAATGCCTACCCGATTGTTCTGACATAGACAAGTATCGTCGCCAGTGGCCACAGTGGACCATATCATGTTAATAAGTTCCTATGACGGTCATAGTATGATAAGTTTTAAATCGTAATTGATTAAGGGAATTTAAAGAGAAGTCTTATCTTATTGGGCCTGTTATTTATATATAAATAAATACTGTATGTAGTTGACGTGAGTAGTACACATTTAAATAAAGCACTTTAACGGTTTGAAACACGTTGCGTAAATGCTTTGCAGCAGCCAAGATGTGGTTAAAAAAAATCAAATAAGATTAAATTTTCACGTTTTAAACCGTTAAAGTGTTTTATTGTCTTTTGCACTTTATCATTACAAATATCAAAGAAATTAAGTAAAAGACTAATAACGCCTTACAACGCGAACTACGATCTTTCAGCTCCCATGTCTAGAAGCTGCTTTGTGTGAACACGATGGCAAACGAAGGTGTGGGTTCCAGAAAGGAAATAATCAAGTCAAGTGGTTTTTAGACAGATGCGATATATTAGAATATAATTGCGAGTATAATAGCAGTAGGTTACATGGCATCCTTACTCATATTATAAATGCGAAAGTAACTCTGTCTGTCTGCCTGTCTGTTACTCTTTCACGCCAAAACCACTGAACGGATTTGAATGAAATTAGGTACACATATGGTCTAGATCATGAGAAAGGACATTGGCTACTTTTTATTGCGAAAAGGGGGTTGTAAAGGGTGAAAAGGGGGGTAAAATTTTGTTTGGAAATTCGTGGTTTCTGAAGCTAGAACAATGAAACTTTCTTCTTTGGCTTTTTGGGAATAGGAGTGGGAGTGGGAGTGAGAGTGAGAGTGGGAGTTAGAGTAGGTGTGATGTGAGGTGAGAGTGTTGCGGCAAAGTAGCACTTACAACATAGATTGGCTGCGATAAATGCGCAATTACATAAACATTAAACAGCTTAAATAATTAAAAATTCTACCGCAAGTCACTATTCCACGCGAACGAAGTCGCGGGCACGGGCTAGTGATTAAATAAAAAACTATAACGGTATTAAATGCGAAATTATTTAGTTAAACTTATTTATAGCAGCCGAAAAGTCGACTCGTAGTTAAAATAATTTGTAAATAGGTTTACCTAATAGGTGTAATTCATGTTTTATACCAATAAGTGTTGTTTTTTTAATCTGTACCACTACAGACAGTATATAACTAACATACCTGTTGAGATCTAAGCCCATCTATTTAAGTAAACAGTTCCAAGCAAGCTATCTTAAATTTAGATTATAAGGTATCTTTTAAAAATGTAACGCTAAACAGTAGTTAGTATTGTTGCTGTGTTACTTCTAAACATACTTGTAGCTGTGGTATTTATCTCAATACAAACTTATATTGTCTGTTTACACTTCCAGCATTCATCAGGGTGGAATCAAGAAAATGTCAACACGTCCCTCCATTAGATCCATTTCTCATGAGTGCTCAAAATAGATCCCATGCAGAACCGCCTTCTCAAATATAGAATATGTAGTAATCATGTTTCATTAAATAGTGTCTGTAGTTAAATTTGAGATATTATTTTAACGGTCACGGGGAGACCACTGCTACTGCAGGGCATCCGAAACGTTTGGCCGTAGTTAAATTAATCTTTTCAAGTAAGTTCAGTTAAAAGCGGTATATATCAGTTGATATATTCCGCGTTTTAAACCGTTAAGGTGTCTAACATAAAGCAAGTCTCAATTGAGATAACTTAACAATAAGAAAAAAGACGTTGCATATTTGAATTTACGTTTATCTACATGCATGGCAAAAAATGTTTGTATCAGAACACTAATTGACTTGGTGTTTTTTATTTAAGAAGAAAATATTTTTAGATATAATATTAAAGACGGCTCCAATTACAATCCACGGAAAACGACAACCAACGCTATTAACTTGTGGATTTCAGGTTCTAAATGTCAACGCAAATGATGTTTGACGATAAAATTGACATTATTAACTTAATCGTGTAACTTAAAATACAACTTATTAAATTACAAGTAAAAATAAACATTTATTTACTTAGGATCGCACTAAGTTAACGAAACGCGCTTTAATAACAAAACCCGGTTGGGTAGTTGCTTATTATTATCGACGTTAAACAATTCCTAGAGTTGAATGCATTTCCCAATAGACAATAGAGGATAACTTTATACAATAGATTGGAAAACATGAAGTGCATTTACATTTTGTTATCCAACGAAGTCAGTCCTATCATTACAATGCTTGCAAAACTCGTGGGTGAGTTATTCCCTAGTTGGTACTTTTATATTCATTAATATATTTTTTTAATAATATATTTTGGCTTTGGATATTCGAATATTCACAAACTGAAACCGAATCTCGATTAAACTTCATGGGATTTTTCAACTGTTGATGGTGGTTCGTGAATTTCAATTTTCCAACACATTTGCAGTGCAAAGTCGAACGTGTCATAGAATAATTATAATTTATTAGAAAAATGTTGACCTGATGGGGATTTAACTAACAAGCCGTTGCTATACATTGCTACTATTACAGCAACCCGTCAAATTACATTTACTTATGATTTTGCAGTATTTTTTATCCTTCATAACATGTTTGCTGTGATGGCCCATGGCCCACCGCGGGACAGAGATAACGAAGACATCGCTATGGGGCGGAAGGTAACAAAAGTAATGGGTATTTTTTTTTTCATTATTTCTACATGGTTGTGGATATTTTTTTACGTTTTAATGGAGAAAAAACGGTAATCTATACTATATACAGTACTTTTTATACTCAGAGTAAAAATTAAACCTTAGCCGTCTACATGCTATTAATTTTACAAACAGTTAGAGCCAAAAAGCCTTTTTTATTTTATGACAAAATTAAAGCAATTGCCAAAATCTTCAATAACTTTGCTTGCCATATAAATACTATTATCGTTATAAGTACTGATATTATAACGTTCAAATGAAACACTTTCCTGGTTTAAAACACTTATATATATCCAGTTAAATTTATTTGGAGATTATTTTAACTACGGCCCGACGTTTTAAACCGTTAAAGCGTTTTATTTAAATGCGTACTACTCGCGTAAACAACGGACAGTATTTCAGACAATGCCCACCAAACAGCTTAATTTTTCAGATGGGTGCTAAATGGTGCAGCATGGCGAAAGTGTGCAACCATGATCGTGTACCAATCTGCGGCGTCAGCCATGCTGGTGACGTCATGGGGTTCCGTGACCTTTGCGATATGTTCGATTACAACTGTATTAGACGAAGAAGTAAGACTTCTATCTCAAAAACATTTTTGTTCAACAAATTCAAATCTATATCTATACTAATAAAGCTGAAGAGTTTGTTTGGTTGAACGCGCTTATTTTAAGAAGTACTAGTTCGAATTAAAAAAAAATTTTTTTGTTGGTTAAACAAAATTTGAAGAAGGCTCTAGGGTATGCATCACGTAATGTGGAAAAACATCGAGAAAATTTATTCATATTTTTGAGTTACCATTGCGTGCGCTTCGAAAACACTTGAAGGGTTGCGGATGATGTCGTGGCTAATAGCTAAAATTTATAAAGATGACGAGGTTTGCAAAAACAAATTTTGATAATTTTTAAAAGTCCATATGTCATGTAAGGTTTGTTTTGGTCTACCTGGTCCCTTAACTCTTATCTGACTATCAAACTTTAAACTACTTATTATGTGAAACCATATCAATACTGCATATGTCATAAAGTTTTAATATATCTGTTACAGATTACAAGCAAACGGGATGTCCAGAGGATAAATCCATACTCACAGTTTCTCGTAGGCCGACCAACAGTTATTACGATGACTAAAGAGAAATATGCACATATGTATAATTAATAAAGACTAAGATATTATATCATTAAAATATATTGACTATGTATACGTGGAACTTAGTAAATAAAACTGAATTTTAAAAATGATTTTTTATTTAATTTATTATGGAAGCATATATGAAAACGATACTTTATTGTAGATAAGATAAACCATAAACAATATGGTCTGTCTTAATTAAGACTTTCTTCTGTTGAAAAATTGTATCCAGAACAAAAGAACTCGTCAACCAAGCGAAAGAAATGAAGAAAGCGTTCTCCAAGAGTTTTGTTACTTGAAGAATTTAGACTTTTTAATTAAACAATTCAATTGCATACACATCTAAGTATGTAAAAAATAGTACATGCGAATGGGCCTATTGTTATTAGGTGTTTCGAGATATAAACAAATACAGTAACAGTGACAGTTGAGTATCGTCTGCAGTTTACGCGACTAAGACACATTTAACGGTTTAAAATGTGAAATTTAGTAGTCAACTTATTTTAACTTTACTTAAAGTTTGGGATGCTTTGCAGCAGTCGTAGGCACGGGGTTCTTCTCTTGTTAAATAAATTAAAATAAGTTAACTAATGTCTCGCGTTTTAAGCCGTTAAAAGTGTTTTAATCAAGGTGACACTAAAAAATAGTACCTACAGTGTATAGATATTATTGCTTACAGAATAGTTTACATAACAGATACTCCGTCCAGTAAGTTTACAAATACAAATAAGTTCCTAGAAACTTACCTTTATTTTAAACCTAGTATGCTTCTATGATTGAACCATGTCATTCTATAAAGAAGGCATCTCAAGTGAATATGCTCAATATAAAATATTGTTTGTTAATCATGTTAACTACTTTATTACAAGATAGGTACTTGCACTTAGTGGGAGATAAATCACATCTGGTAAGAATGTCTTAGACAGTAATTTGTACTTTGTAAGAATAGTTGTCGCTTTTACATTTCACATCAAAAGAATACCTTTTTTTCTAATCTAGAGACAGTATCTTAATCAACCCAAAACTGAGTAATTTACGCCAGTCGTCTGTACGCGGTACTCACTTAAATGAAACAGTTCAAATGGGTTAAAATACGAAATATACTTATTTTCTTTAATTTAACAATGACCCGACGTTAGGTTACTTTGCAGCAGCCGTGGTCAAGGCGATAAGAACAAAAAGTGATGTATTCGAACACTTATTCTTTATAAATTATCAAATATCTTATGCTACATAAATATTTGAAGATTCTATTAAATATATTGTATGTACTTCTTCTTCATGATACATTACATAGTTACAAACATCCTTTAAGGACTGTTAGCTGTCTTATTTATTTCAGAGTGAATTGAAAAAGCTTTGTGAGCACGCCTACACGTGTTTCCATGACAACGTCATCACTTGCGGGAAATCTGTGAACGAAGCGCGAACTTTTCTCGATCTCTGCGACTTGTATGAATACTCTTGTGAATACAGCATGGGTAATATAATTGTATTACCCTTATTTAGAGCAACAACATGGAATAATCTGGATGCCGGTTCAAGTCTTGCCCGTGTCACTTTGTTCATAAACAAGAAATAAACCTACGAGACCCTTTTTTATTTTAATTAGGTACTTAGTATTAATAATTAGACACAAATAAATAGAGCTAAATATGATGCTACGAAGAGAAGTTGCACTAATATAAGTAAAAACAATTTTATACATTTCGGGGTTTTAAGTAACTTAATAGTGTTTACAAAATAAATTACATCCTCACGCCTGTTGTGATGCCTCACAAACTAACTTTTTTTAAAATATTGTAAAGAATTTGATGTCACGGGCAGAACTCGAATCCATAACACACATTCCGTGCTATGTTTCAACCATTTAACTTTACTTTTATCTATAGATAACTTTTGATTGTATGTCATTATTTATACTTATAAAACTATAGTTTTCAGACACGTCAAAGAAGAGGAAGGAATATGTCCCAATCCGAGAGAATTGGGTCAAGGGGTGGGGTAATGTCCATTAAGCAGATTAATATTAATAAATAATGTTAAATTATTCTTAGTATATTAATCTAAAGATGGAGGAGATTTATCATTTTTACAACACAGGCCTGCAGGATGGTACGAGAGCAAAATCTGAAATAAAAAATAGACTTTAAGAATACAGAAGGAAAGTTGTTTACACTTATTTCTACCTAATTTATAGTTCTATTTTCAAAACACAGTGATCTTCATAATAGCTTAAGTCCATTACTAGCAACGATCGAATAAAAAGATTTATATTACGGCCAATCTTAGGCTTTTAAACTTTTTAATTCGTCGATATTGCATTTTACGTTTTAAACGCTAACAATAAAAACTTCCAAGACGCTTTCAAAGAAAACTATTAACTACCATCTATTAAAAGTACTCACTGTACTTCCAATAGCAGTTAACTTGGAGCATGTGGCAGATGTCATCGAATTTTCCATAGCCAAAGTTGTCGTCATAACCACAAACGGGGTTATATGTTCTGTGGCAAAGAACCGCTATTGAACACCAAGGACTCGGGCCGTTATCGTCTGTGCTTGGAACTACAATAGGTCTCCCGCCAAATGACCGACGAGACTGAAATAATGTTAAGACAAGTTAAACATAATTTTGCGCTTCCACAGACGACATTAAACGTATATATTACGCACATTTTATTATTGTAATGTCACCTCCAGCCGAAAAAAAATAACATATAATATATAACATGTCTAATGTTGAATATGAAAAATAATTCGTTTAACAAAAAAATATATTATAAATAGTATCTGTAGTAGTGTTGAATGTAAAATAAATATCTCTCTCATATATATATGTACTTATTTATTATAAAAAATACAATAATAGAGGCAAGTGTGTGGTAAAACGTTCTGAAGAACACACCGATTAAAAATAATGAAACCTCTTCAGAAGTCTTACGACGCACTTACCTCTTTGGTAGATTTGTGTTTCTCAACGAGCGGTGTCGGCGCGTCGTCTCTTTCGAACGCCCTCATTATCATATCTTTGAACAACGTCCCGTATGTTGGGAAACCTTTCCCGAACTTAATTATCGGATTTTCGGTCTCATTCTCCGCGTTTCGCCTCCTCGTCTGATGTACCTCAACTTTTTCAGGCAACTTCGGCTTTTCCATATTCTTACTGAAATGGTGGATCAACTCTTTTATCAGGTCTTCGACGTTGGTCGCCGTTTTTAGTACGTGTTCCAACGCTTGGGTGTGCTGAATCAGTTTTTCTTCGACGAATTCGACAAATTTCGCCTGCTTGCTTTTAGCACCTTCGGTTTCAATTTGGCGCTTAGGTTTCTGGTGAAACAAGCTGGTCTTAGTTCATGCTTGATTAAATTAGTGATAGGGGATAGTCTATGCTCACCGTAGCCGGTTCCATGGGATAAGCGAGGATGTCTTCTAAACTCTCTATGGGTTCTTGGCTGGTGAAGTATAACAGGCCCAACATCAGTGCAACTGAAAGCATATTCCCATGACACTCAACAAACAACACTAGGCAATTGATAAATAATTATTAAATACAATTTACCAATGAATAGGAACTTCATGTTGGATTTTTGAAGTTACACAATTAGATTGGAGGGCGAAGAATACGCCACTTATAGTGTCGATAATTGGTTGTATAATGCAAGTGATCTTAATACTTGCAACAATAATTTATAATTTATTATTGACTCTATTTGCGATACTAATTCAACGAGAATTATTATAGTATTAGTATAGTTTTTTTTTTGTATATTCGTCCAAGATGTGGATTGAACCACTGCAATCCAAATACTGTCTATAGTTTACGCGACTAGTACACATTTAAATAAAACACTTTAACGGTTTAAAACGCGATATATTAGTTAAACTTATTTGAAAATGATTTTTAACTTCGGCCCGACGTTTCGAATGCTTTGCAGCAGCCATGGTCTCCCCGTGACCACGGCAAAAAGTTTAACAAATATATGGCGTTTTAAACCACTGCAATCTACCATTCCAAACTTATCTCCGCGCTATACATTGCACTGAGTGAGCTCGAGAGGTTTTTGAAGCCCCGAGACACGGAGAACGTAGTAAATTGTATCAATTGAGTGAGGCATAGAAAACTTATCAGTGAACCTTCTACTAAATTGATAAACGAAACCAGCTAGGTATACCCATGAAGTTTAATTTATATTTTAAATAACGTTTTGCAAGTAGTAAGTAATCACAGACCTGAGTTTCTTAGTAATTTTAATATTAATGCCTTGTTATTTCACTGAAAGGGTGCGTGGGCGGTACTCTGTTAATTTCAACTTAATAGCATTTGTTTGACCTTTGAGCGCTCTGTGTTTTAGGTATTAACTTAATATTGTTTCACAAAAACGAGATTTCATAATGTTTTTTTCGTATCGCGTTCGTACGTGGGTGGATATTTGTCTTGTTGGGAATCTGGTTTGTTCATGAATTGATTTATCAACATTACTTGAAGTATAAAGAAAAATGTCGTTTCTCCTTCAATAATCGATTATAAATAATCTACGTATTGTTTTAATTTAATTTTTCTGTGGCCCAACGATCCGTATGCTTTGGAATAGCTGGAGGATGGTGTAGAAGAGTAGCCGGGAGATGAAGATGAATAGAAGATGGAGGGTATGTCCAAGTCAAATCTGCTACGCTAACGCCGTCTGTTTCGTCGTAGTTACTATTTAGAGAAACTAGCTGGGATCTAAGATACAGAACTAATTCATAGTGTCCTCTTGTTTACGACATGGGGTCAGTCAATAAGCATTAAACTTCACCATAGCGTATTAGCGCTATTAAATCCTTAACATTTATTAAACAATTCCCAAATATCTAAACCGTTCAATCGTGGTACTTTCTTCTATGTGATTTATAGGTATTAAGGCTGTGATTAAATTAACAGCGTTGATGCGGTTCTCACAGGGTAAATGGAGCTGTCGCATGCTTCTCCATATTAATTGAAAACAAAGAACAAAAAACATTTTATGAAATATCTACGTACGTCAAAATTACTCGCTTACTTTTCATTTTATATATTTAATGAGGTCTTAATAAATGAAGAATTTACGACATAGACGTGACTCGAAACTGTTTCATTTGGTTTTAATTGACATGATTATTGTATATTGCTTTAGACAATTATAGGTACATAATTGTCTACATACAAAAATATTGGTCCCGGTAGTCGAAGTCAAGAACCCCAAAATATATGTGTATTTTACCATTCTTCAGTCGTATAATATAATAATTATAAACTTATATACATATAATATATACACAAGTAATAAGTTCTGCGTATAAAGTACACGTGTATTGCTTATTACATAATTTGAGGAGATTTAAGCAATATCAAAGACTTTACTTTTATTTAGCAGTTAAAACGTAATTTTTAAACAAACAGACAAGTAGTTGTATGAATGCATTGAATGTTATTGTAAATTGTAAATAACACATAAACTTGCATCATACTCAGAAATAAAATACAATATTGCGTTATTGCCAGTTCACTATGCGTATAATGTTTGATTGAAACAAAATACCAAACAATGTAATATGTTAATATTAATAGGTAAGTTTATAAACTGAAAAATAAATATAATGTCACGTGTCACGAGTCACGTGGCGCATGACAGGTGTGATAAGTAAAATCTGTATAACAATGACGTAAAAGTAAAGGGGGAAAAGCCAGAGTGGCACCGTAACGCGTTACATAACGAAGCGGTTTCCCCTTCCATTGGAAGTCATCACTTCAAAAAATACCCTATGTATTTAGCCTTAGACCTTTTAAATATGGTTTTGTTGTTCGTTATTTGTATAATTGCCAGCATTTTTACTAATATCAGTAGATTTTTCTCTCACATGCTTTTTGGTCTTCGAACTCATCCCAAAATCCCTACAACTGTACAGTAATGTGTGTAGTGTATGTACACTGTAATGTATTTTCAAACTAAATAATCCGTCAAATCAGACTGAGGCAATCAAAATGAGAATTCATTTACTCTGTCATCGGGTTCATTAGATTGTAGACACAGCTAATTTATCTATTGAAAATTAATACACATTCGCTCTATTTCAGCTACAAATTTAATAGCATACATAACACTTGTTATATCGCATAGTGAGACAATTAAGGTAATGTAAATGTTTCTTTATGACCAATTTTCAATCATATTATAGCATTTAATTTCCTATAAAGAATGTACACTATTGATAAGTTTTGGTGGAACATCCTCTTTAACATTTACTGTCTATCAGTTTCTCTTTACAATCTGTCTATTTATTTAAATGGTTTTTTTTTTGTTAAGTTGGTAACCACGTCACCTGTTTTTAGATCTCTATTCTCATTCGTTTTCTATAAGTTTTCTTTGTCTAATTTTGTTTTGCTCACCTTGCACATTTCATGTTTATCATAAATTTTTGGTTGCCTGGAAGAGATCGCTTATTAGCCTGCACTGCATTCTAACATATAACTTTTACTGAAATTATTTTTATTTTGTGCAAAATAGAATCACTACATAATAATTATAGCATAACTTAATAATCCAATCGTTATTCTTTACTCCGTGTTTAGGTACTATGGTAAAACTCCCATAAGCTTATAAAAGGTCAAAGGAGAGCAAAGACAAAACCAACCACAAAAACCACAGTCTAATGACTAAAACAAACTATATTATATGATATAAAAATTAGAAGATTGCTTTAATAACTTTTCATGTATCATTTAGAACGAAGAAGAATGCAAAATAGCAGATCTCTGTGTGCACGATAAAGTGCCCATGTGCGGAATCGACTCGTGCGGCGAAATGAGGACTTTTATTGATACATGCGACATGCACGAATTCAATTGCGACAGTAAAAAGGGTTTGTTATCTTAGTATTAGAAAAAATTCAAGTTGTTTCCCCTCTTTGATGGTCTTTATATTTTTAACCGAAGCGATCGCTTCATGTCCTTTAGAGTGAAGGTGGTTTATAGACAGAAAATAAGTAGTAACTATTTAATTAACTATTAGTTGGGGTGCATTTCTGAAAATAAAATCATCAGTTTTACTATTTCACGTTAACAATGACTTGGAACTTCATACTACAAGATTATTTGGTCTAATATTACCAATATATCGTACCAGCAACTACATTTTACTCTATTTGCTTATTTAGGATAACATATAAGATTTGACAATTGACAATTAAAGTAAGAATAGAACGATAATATAAACCGATGTGAGTTTTAGCCGGAACATGAACCCACGACCAATAGAGCTTTTTAAAGAAGAATTTGCCATGTCTTATTAGATTGTAATGTATTTTAGATAATTTAAACATCGAAAATAATTTGAAAAAATTTCGACTCGGGCAGGACTTGAACTGGCATCGTCAGCGTTCCGAGCTGTTGCTCTACCAAATGAGCGCTCACCTCTTGCGCAATGTAATTTCAACCTTAACAATTGCGTATTAATTTTTTTGCGTGGCGTATTATAGTCTTTCATGTGCAATAACATGTGAATTTTTTTTAAGTTTTTTAAATATATTTTAGATTTTAAACAGCGGCCCATACACGAATGCTGGGTCACATGCAAGCGAGGGAGGTCTTTCAAGAAGCCGGAGTACAGAACTGATTGCAATTTGAATGTGAAATCGAAATATTAAGTGATACTATATCTATGAAGAGTTTTATTCGTAAATTCTTATTTAAATAAAGCGCACTTAACAGTTTAAAACGCAAAATTAATTCATTAATTCGACATTTCCGGCAGAGATTACCTACAGTTTAAGTCGTTAACAGTAAAGTGTTCCTAGAATTACTTCGACTAAATCTTTTTAATATACTGTTAGTGTTTGTTGACATTTAATAGAAAATATGTACACGAGTAGAACTTACTATTTTACCTACTACTTTTAGGCTAATTAAGGATTAATTTTGAGACTTCACTATGTACATTGAAAACTTCATATCAGTGAATTACAAGAACCAATTGTATTTCATATGTCCGTATCATACCATGAATAGTGGTACCTAAATAAAATCGATCAAATTCACTTTTTAACTTTATTACATGCATATTTCCTTTTACGTAATGTAGTAAAATATGTTATATATTGTAGTATGTTTTATTCTTGCGATGACTGTAAATATTTGTTCCGGTCATGTTGATGGTGCTAAGGTAACGTTTTTACTAGATACATATATATATATATATATATATACTAACTACTGAAAGGTGTCTGTAATTCTCTGGTTTTTGCTTGGAACTATATTGTCTCCCCTATGAACCTCTCGCACTTGACGCAATCCGTTTTACCATTGAACCATGAAGGTGGTACAATTAGAGACATATTTTAGAAATTATCTAAATAAAACACATTTGACGGTCTAACTTACTCAAAAGCGGCCCGTAGATGGTCAATATTTCAATTTTATTGTGCAATCCAAATTGCACAATACTTTGACGGACACAGACGGTTCAAAGTCCTCTACGCACGATCAATTTTATTGTACAACCCGGGATATTGCACAATAATATTGATAGTCTATGGGTTGCTTTACAGGGGGAATTGAAGATAGATTTGACACTAGGGCCACCGCCCTAGTGTCAAAGTCAAATCTGCTATGCTAGCGCCATCTGTCTTATCGTAGTTGGTATTTGGAAAAACTGACTGGGTCCTTACAGACTCACAATGTTGACTGAGACTTGGTTTTATTTAAATTATCTAACCAATTGCAAGGGTACGTGCCCCCTATATTATTTTATTACGTCAAGATCAAGCAAAACTTAAACCTTTCTTAAGCACCACACCATTTCCCCCTTCGTAAAGTGTTATTTTTTTAGCTTGAAGAAGAGTGCAAAATAGCTGACATATGCCGCCACGACCAAGTGCCGATGTGCGGTATCGACTCATGTGGAGAAATGCGCACTTTTATTGACACTTGCGACATGCACGAATTCAATTGCGATACAAGGAAAGGTAAGGAAACCCACGTATAGGTACCTTAGTTTATAAGTGTTAATATATAAAGGTTTAACAAATTAGTAAAAAAATACATAATTTACAATGCTTCTTACCTAAAATATCTTGAATTTCTGGTATGAATCATGATTGGCATCATTTTATCTGCATAGGTGTAAAAAAGGTAAATATATTCGTTTTAAATAGTATTTACAAGCTCCGTTAAACTTAAGAATTTAATAAAACTTAAATATTGTAAGCATACTTAAGTTTATAATTTAAACGAAACAGTGATTTCTGTATGTTTTGATTCAAAGTTAAATTACATAACGCCACGTTAAGTTCTGGGCGCCATTTTAAAATGCCTTGACCCTGTTTGAATCTAATAGGTTGTTAACCTATGTTGCTATTGAGCCTTGAATTTCAGTGTATTCATACATTTCTATGTCAGTGCCTTGTTGGCGGTCTTAACTTATTTAAAATTATATAGTATCTCTTTAACCAACAGCGTACCGTGCTCTAATCCTGTCACAAATCGTTGTAATTTCGAGTATATCCTTTCTGGACTTTTAACGCTGCATTTCTGTGTCCAAGTAATTGATCAGCAATGTGTGCCTGACCTGATCATATCAAGATATTTTTTTATGTGGTGCATGTATCATAGGCTAAAAAAATCGATGATGACGTGTAGGACACGGTAGTTCAATTGTTTAGAGTAAGAGTACAGAACGCTGCGGATGCATGCCGGTTCAAGTCCTGCCCGAGTGGTAAAGTTTTTTCGATCTATTATTGAGTTTTAATTTATATATTACCATCATGTGTCAATAAAGTGAAAAATTAATGTTCGCAAAAGGATTATTTATATTCAAGAAAAAGTATAATTGAAACTGGAAAGTAGAATATTGTCTTTATTGTCGTTTTGTCGTTCATCCCAGGTTTACTGAACTTAAATTAGGTCACCTGAAATATCGATTTCAGATGGCACAGTATTGAGTGTAGAAAAATTCTAGTTAGTGATTGTTCGTTTCGATAAGTTCACAAGTTTAGAAAACGATAGGTTGTATAGGCTTATATGGTGAAAATGCCCTCGATTAAGAGAAACGCAAAGGACGCTCAATTGAGGTCCTTTAAACTAACAATAACATAAATATTTGCCAAATTTTGTAAATAAAATATGTATTTAAGGAAGAAGAAGGCTTCTTTATTATTTTATTTATTAGATATAATTGCGCTAAGGAAAATATTCTTTGGTCCCCACTAAGAGGGTAGAGACTGAGTTTGTCTGACAATAGATTGCCTATCTAGGTCTAGACGTTACGTGTCCTATAATAACATCACAAACCTCTTACAACCCTTTTGTAATTGAAGTGGCAAAGTGCCTGGCTGGCTAGATTGAAATTTGTGTAATGCAAGTAGGTATAAGATTACCCCTGCAAATCAAATTAGACTAAAAAGTACAAAATCCATGAAATTTTGAAAATCAAGGTTTAGATTGGTAAAGACCATGATTCAGCTTTCCCTGTGGACGTATAAACCGATTAGTGAAACGGGCATATCTCTGTGTCCTTTTCAAAGGTCGGTTTTATTGATACGCAAGTATTATCAGACATTATCAGAATTCTGTATTTGTTGTTTGTTGTTGTGATTCGAACCCAGGACCACTCGTACTTAACGCAATGTTTTGGAAACGCATCTTACCATGTAGCTAAAGAAGCGTTTTAAACCCTTTACTTATTTTATAATATTAGTAAAGGGTAATAGTAAAGAGTGAAAAGAACCACGAGAAATAATAAATCAAATATGTATTTTGTAAATATAAGTTGTTTTCAATAACAACAAAACTTATAATAGGATATTTTTTATAGATTTAGGAAGGACAATGTATTATTATTAATGTATCAAACTTACAATTTACAGATTTCGTACAAAAACCGGTGCACGAATGTTGGGTGACTTGCAAACGCGGCAGAAGTTTTAAGAAGCCAGCCTATGGTGAAGGATGTGATTTAGAAAATATGATCCAATAGCATTTTGGGTTTATAAAGATCACAATCCATAATAAAATAAGGCACTAAAGCATATAAAGATCTCAGGTTGACTAAAAATTCATTCTCCATTAGAATTATAAAAAACTTTGATGTTTAAAATTATACTTTAACACCTGGTATATAAAATACTTACACATACAAGTTGCGTGAGAGGTCATAATAGTAATAAATTAAATAATAGTTCATTCTTTTATCTTTCCTTTAAAATCACTTTACAAACTCTATTATGTTCTACATTGCACCTTTTACAGTTAATTAATGCAATTTCTTAGTCAAAGAATTTAATGCAAATGAACTAGATTTTCCGTAATATTCCCTTCGTAGAATAATTACGTTCATATTTCTTTTTAGGGTGTACTTTCATATAATGCGTCGTCTAAACCACGAACGCGATCATAATAATATAGACTATAGATAGAGTACCCAGCAATCGAATTTTCAAATATAAAAGAAAGTCAAAGATTTCTCCATTAATTATTAGGTTATATAGATTCATAATTTAAATTTAGAACAAGGTAGTTCAATTTATGTTCTCACGAAGTAAACTTTCTTGTAGTGTACAAAAGTATGATAAAGACAGTTATTGTATTTTACAAAAATAGTCATTTGTCTCTTTCTTAAAGTCAATGTGGTACATATATTTATTCCCGGCCCATACATATCTAAATAAATAATAAAAGTACAAAACAACAATTGCTTTAATAAATTAACAGTATACGAAACAATAACTTACATTTATGTACTTATTGCTCGAGATCACAGGTTGAAAATAGCTTCACTTATACTCCTTAAAACATATCTAATATCAATATCACGCATTCATCCAACTTATTACAGAACTTATAAAAGTAACAAAGCGACGTCATTTTGAAAATATGTGCATACTATTTACAGTGCAGAGGATTGGAGGAGAGATTATAACAACAAGTTTATGTAATCAAGTAAACTAAACTAAACATTTAATATTTCGTACATACAAGTGTTTTATTAATATTTAATGTAAACGCTTACAACTGTAATATATAACAAATATTAGACGATAATTAATTATATGTGAGATACAAAATTGTTAAATAGCTACATTAAAACTGCGCTGTCTAAGATGATACTTAAACGAGAAGTAATCGATAGGTTTAAAATATTTTTGGACAATTCATAGTTTAATGCTGGTCTAAAAACCCAGCACCTTTCACCATATCATAGATCCTTTGACGAGGAATCTTCTCGGCTTCACGCTCAACCACTTGCATCTCCTTATTCGTGAACCACGATTCCTTGGCTAACCCCGCCGCTATTTCTGGGTTATCATAAAAGTCCCTGGACTTTAATAGTTCTTGAGGTAGCAGCGCTTCGCTGGCCGCGTTTAATTCTACAGCAGGATGTGGTTGAACAGCTGGGGGGGATGGCTCAGCATATTCGATGCCAGCGTGCAAGGGTTGTGCGAAGAGGAGTCCGGGACGCGCCTGCGCAATCCCGAATGCGACAACGATGATAAGTAATCGGTGCATCTTGTTCTGTAAGATAAATTATAATCTAATTATTCTTAGTACCAGGGGAATTTCATACTGTCACATTGAAATCACTTTAAAACGTTTATCCTAAAAACACGGATTTATTTTAAACCAGCTTAACTGTTTCCTGTATATTTAATTATCACTAGTATCAACTATCAAGCACGCACACCACAAAAGCACAGCACTTACATTCAAAAGTCACGGTCACGTTACAACGGCCACTGCGCGGGCGCATGTTTAACGCTCTTTATATAGCCCAGTGATATTGTAACCTTCCGGTGACTTCCGAGTTCTGGGTCTTTACATTTTATCTATAAAAATCTTAGATATTTCAACCCTTTATCGGTTTCCTATGTCATCTCTTTGGGCAGAAATCAACGCCGTACGTTGAACTTGAAACACACTGTCTCTATATCTGTGGTCCACAGAGTACCCAAAACTGTTGACTATAGATAATAAACATTAGAGCATGGAACGCTGTGAATGCCAGTTCAAGACCCGCTCGTATTGTAAATTTTCTTAATACTTTTTTCTTACAAGCTCTAGCCCTGCACCAGACCATTAATATCCAGACCTCTCAGGCGCAGTCTAGTAAGGTTATTTTTAACGCTTTTAAACTTATAGCAGTTATTGATGGCTTGGTTAGTTCCTTCATCTAGTACATTCTAAATAAAACACTTTAACGGTTTAAAACGCGATATATCAGTTAAACTTATTTGAAAATTATTTTTAACTTCGGCCCGACGTTTCGGATGCTTTGCAGCAGCCGTGGTCACGGGGAGACCATTTCAAATAAGTTTAAATAACATATCGCGTTTTAAACCGTTAAAGTGTTTTATTTAAATGTGTACTACTCGCGTAAACTATAGACAGTATTTAGTACATTCTAATTTGTATATAGACTACCTGAGAGATATGTCATTTGTACGGTCTAAGAGCGATTAAATAAAGTTCAAATCGGTCGCTCGCCTTGCTTCAGTTCCGGACTCGTTCTATGCCTTCCTAGTTCCGGTGAATGATTTATAGATGTATCATTCATTTCGACTCAGACTCCCTTCTAAGAACAAGGCCCTAGTGTACTTGAAATTGCTTATAAGACTTAATGAGTATGTCGCAATTATTGCTGTAAACCTGCAATGATGTAAGTATCGAAAATATAATACCTACAATTAAGATAAACAAGACGTAAATGTGAGTATAAAACTATACTATCTATTCTTAACTGGGTTGTGACTAGTTTATACAAGTAGTATATTGAAATAGAACCTTTTTAACGGTTTAAAAGGTATATATTATCGTTTTTGTTTCTTTGCTGCAAAGCATCGGATCGTTGGGCCGTAGTTGAAATTAATTAAAGATACGTATTCGTAGATATTTCGCGTTTAAATCATTAAAAGTTTTATTTAAAATACTAAAAAGTAAATACTGCCTATAGTTTACGCGAGTAGTACACATTTAAATAAAACACTTTCAAGAAGTGAACTTTTTCATATTTAGAGTTAAATATGATGGAGTTGTACACCGGAGATGAACCATGTAAAGGTAAGCCATGTAACTGTGTCGTTATCTTGAGAAAACCACTTTTCAAGTGTGTTCTCATACAATTTCGTAAATTTCGTTTTTCAATTAAATTTGTACACACATCTCAATTAGCATGCGAAACACGAAGTATTTAAATAAGTTGGGCTAATGCAGGTCAAATGACGCAACTTTGTTTGAACTCGAGATAATCTACGTCCTCTAAAGTGTAAAGACGATGTCTATACGTACAACAGAAGAATTTAAGATGCATTGACTGTTACTTAATATGTTGTTTGTGTCTACTTGATTAAATTCATCCTTCTTTTCTTTGGTTATACTTTTTTATGAGAAAAGAGGTGCACTGTCGACCTTTTTGCTTTGGTTATTCGGAAATCCACAGATTGAAACCAAACCGCGTTTAAGCTCGACGGATTTTTTATCTGTGGACGGCGGTTCGTGAACCAGAATTCAAACGAAGTCTAAAATGTTTCAAAAAAATATTAATTAATTAGAAATATGCTGGAACCAGTGGGGATCGAAATCACGGCCCATTGATTGTTAGCCATTGCTACCATTACATCAACGAGCTCATCATAGTATGCTAGTAGTTACTTAATAGGAAATATATCCACTCCAACATTTCCTTAAGTATATTTTAAATGTTTACATACGTAATACTTAATTTCATTATACTTGCATAAACATTACACATAAATTAAACTAGTTAGAACTTCGTTATGTTTATTCCCACGCTTATTTCGTTTTAAACTAATTGTAAGCAACTTTTTTCGTTATTTTCACAATCCGACACGGCTTTTAAACGTGACTGGAGACAGATTTTTCGAAACTAGTAACATTGCAAGGGTTATTTCGACAAAGTCACGGTTTGTGGCGAATTAATTAATATATTGTAATTTTATTTAGATTCCGAAATATAATGTGAAATCCGTTACCCGGGTGTGGAATGTGGGGTAGAGACATATATGTGTGTTTCACTGATCGATTATATTTAGAGGTTTGAAGCTCGAGTTAAAGAATCGAAAACCGAATCGAACGTTATCGAATACTAAAATAATTGTTAAGTTTTGTCAAAAGTAGTATCAAAATACTATATAGACTTACTTACTTACTCCGCTGGCGCAGCTACCCAAAGTGGGTCTTGGCCTCCACAACAAGAGAACGCCGCTTCCGCCGATCCTTCGACACACTTCGCCACTCGGAGACACCGAATTCCTCTACGTCAAGCTCAACGATGTCTTTCCAGCGGTATCTGGGCCGGCCAACGGGTCGACGGCCATTCGGGATCCCGAGATAAGCCTTCTTGACGCTTCGGTGATATAGAGCAATACTTTTTTTTATTTATTGTTCCAAATGGGATAAATTAATATATAGATAGGAAGTTCTATTTTTTAAGTTTTCACACGGCCCACTACAACAATATCGACACAAAAGGGCCAGCTTTCTTTATTTTCCTTCTCTCTTTTCCGGATCAGTGACATAATCTACAAAATCGTCGTGACATATAGAATAAGCTTAGTTCGAAGTAATTCTATTTTAACATCTACCAATATATTGAATAAGTTTTTAAAGTATCTTTTATGAATTATTTACAATATACCTATTATTTACTATAATATATTCATATTTCAACATGCCATAGGTTTGATTTTCGCCAGTGGCAGATGGTTCTTATAGAAGAATAGGAAATGTAATAGTTTATTGCAAACAGACTGTTATAGTTTTGTGGGATTTTTTAAAATCTAAAATGAACTTATATACTTTAATTAAAGATCGCAATGGCAATGGCTTTTCTTTCGTGAATCCTTTACCAGTGACATTAATTCTTACCGATCAATATAGTAATACTAGGTGTGTCAGCGACTTCGCCCGCGTCGAATAGTTATTTTCGGCATCCAAATTCCTTTTTGCCAACCTCTTTTTCATCTTTAGATGTATATTGTGTGATGGACATTATTTTTGACCATTTAAAGAGTATATGAATAATTTTCCCCGTTGATTCTTTGCTCCTATTAGCAACAGCGCGATGTTTATAGCATATAACCTTCCGCGATAAATGCTCTAACGAACACAGAATTTTTCTATTCGAACCAGTAATTCCTGAAGCGTTTTCAAACAAACAAATTCTTAAACGTTATATATTAGTATAGATACCGAATAATATAGTAACATAGGTTGAACTTTTGTCGACCTCGCTATCCATTTGCAATGAACTTGGCCCCGAAGGTGCTCTTAACGATCTCAAATCATTGCCAACATACCGACTCGGGCGATTCCAAATATTTTATTTACGAAATTGAATTTTCTTACATTCTCTCCTCGTTAAATTTATCCGGGTATTTCTCTGATTTTTCAGATTCTCTTGACTCAGTAAGGATTTCCCTGAGGTTTATGATATTGTAAAAAAGTTCAACACCCGTTAGGTTCAAAAATCACGAAGTATACAAGATTAAATACGAAATAAAGTTGTACGAATAATATAATATCTCTAAATCAATAAATCGCTAACATTACGAACTTAATACTAAATAGGTTAAATGCTGTCTGAAGTTTACGCTAGTAGTACACATTTAAATAAAACATTTTGACGGTTTAAAACGCGATATATATTAGTTAAACTTATTTGGATTTTTTTTCGCGGGGAGACCCGTGAAAAGCACCCGAAACGTCAGGCCGAAGTTAAATTTAAATTTTGAAATAAGTTTAGTCAATATATATCGCCTTTTAAACCGTTAAAGTGTTTTATTTAAATGCCTAAATAGGTCATTTAGGTACCACTTATACATTAAACCTTGGGCTATTAATATTGATTTGCTATACCAAATAAAGTAAAACATTTAATTATTGCTTAATTATCTTAGGCAGGGGATAAAAGCTAAAAAGCTTTTTTATATTCAATGTTAAATGAAGACTTATAAATCGTGTTCATTACGAGAGTAATAAGTATTATTTAATGTTACAATCGCTTTTTAACCTGCATTGATTTCTCTTTAAGGTTAATCCTCATTATTTTAATTGGAGCATTATTCAATTGGATTAAATTAATTCATTTATTGTCGTGACACGCAAATCAGAAATCATTTATTAATAAGAAACGGAAACATTATAATCTTATTTTAAATAAAATAACGTGAAAGGCTGTTGAAAATTATTGTTGTTTGTACAATTCTCTTCTCTTTTTTTTGTCTATTTTGAGTTTTTAAGTACAAGATAAAAATATAGATAATATGAACATAATGGAGAATACCTATTACCTTAAGAATAATTTAGGCCATCGTTAAAACAATTACTTAAATATATGGTACATTCGTTAACGCCCCGCCTCGTTGACATATCAGATAAGAGTAACAATGCCAAAGTCCTTGACGCGACCTTCAATATAGTTCTCACAATTTGTCCCAATCTTGCGTGATGTTCGTTTTGTATCTGTCAGTACATCGACTGGTTTTTATTGTTATTTATATTTTCATCATTAAAAGGCGCTTTGTTTAACTATATTGCATTGCATTCCTCTTAAAGTTTGGCCATTATTAACCTAACTCAGTATATTTGCTTAAATAACTAGTATAATTTAAAACATAACATCTTTTTTTTCTAAATCTGTTATAAATTCGATATATTTCTTGTCATAATCTTCAGCAAGTTTAATTCGTCAGCAGTAATTGGATACGAAACTTAACAGAAGCCAGACACGATAAAAAAGTCACAGCCCCTAAGTAGTTCTTTGTCTGAACGCTTGTACAAACATAGTTGAATAACCCTAAAGTCTGCGCCACATGGCACCAAGCCAAGCCCAATTGTAAACTTGGCGTACTACACTTCACTCTATTAACCTACATTATGTTGCACTTGAAAAGCCAGTTATTCCATAAGTTAACCTTCGTTATGGCGGCCGAAACGAAAATTCTCTTCATTGTACCTGTAGACCACAGCGGGAATCGGCCAGTGCGTCGTTGCTCTTAAAAGCTTCACGCGATCTCCACATCGGTCTCTTAATATTTGATAGAAATCTCGTGTTTCCCCCTTAGACGTTGTTTCCCATGTTACTGGTCTGTCACAATCTTTTGGATACGTGCTACATGTCACGAGCGTTGCTGGTGCTGTAGTAGTTGTTGATTGAACTGTTGTAAGTACCGTTGTTGTGCTGGGTGTTGTTATTGATGTTGAAGGTGGATGCGGTCTCGTAACATCAGTTAAGGAAGTAATCGGTAAAGGTGATGTTGAAATAGTAGCTATGCCTGATGTACAAGTGTATTTAATTGTCAATTCACTAACAGCTGATTTTGTAGATGGCTCTTCTGTTGTAATAGTAGTTGACTCTATTGGACTAGATGTCCTTCTAGTAGTTGTAGTTTCAACTGTGGTAGAAGTTGTACTAGGTGTTGTAGTTTCAGTTGTAGTAGATGTGGTACTGGTTGTTTTTTCGGTTGTAGTAAATGTTGTACTAGGAGTTGTAGTAGATGTCGTGCTAGCAGCTGTAGTTGTATATGGAGAACTAGTTGTTGTTCCTGTTGAGGAACTTGGTGCCGTAGATGTTGTAGTTATTGACGTAGTTTCGTCACATTCTTCAATATTAATCTGACTGAATTCTGTAAAACATATTATCGTGTACTATCTACAAGTAGTAAGAAACCAATATAGGAAATTTAATACAATCATTAGGATTAACCTTTGTGGTAATCGCAATTATACTCAAACATATCACACTCATCTAAAAACTTTCGCTGCTCTGTCTCCTTGTGTTTTCCACATACTGGAATACCAGTGTGATTGCAAATCTGGGCTAACAAACAAGGGTCCGCGGGCTACGAAGTTAAAAATATTTATGAAAATTTTCACTAAGAAAAAAGAATCTTTATCCATTTACAACGCAAAATATTATTATAACAATTAATCACAATGCTAAGCACAGGTTTTTGAAGCTTTGACCCACCTCGCTGCTCCAGTACTAGTTGGTGGTTGGTGGTTCCAAATAATTTGTAATAATGAAATCGTACAGACATCACTCACCGGTATAAAATGTTGATAAGTGTTTTTCAATACAATCAAAGCTGAAATAAATAAACTTTTTTCATCAATGTTTTAAATTGAATTTCGCAGTATTCTCGAATAAGTTACCTTGAACTGTTAAGAAAACGCCGATCTTCATTTTAATGCCATACCGAATATGTTAAAGGCCATATTGATTTTATTTTAAATATTTTTAAATAAACACTAGAAACATGTACCTACTCGTAAAACTATAAAAAATATTTTACTGTTACTGCAAATATAGTTGATACAATTGTTGCTAGTAGGGATTTCATGAAATATTTTAAAACAATAAACATCAAACATAGATTGATTTCTTTTCCTATTCTCTCATGGCTATTTAAAATTTGAGCCATTTACAACTGAATTGTTGATTGAAGTGGCCAAATGCAAATACTGCGAAGCTTTTCTATAACCATGCATTTTATTAAATATAATTTATTTTGATTTACATAGAGAAATTATTCTAGAAAATCTTTGTCCTCTGTAGTTTTACGCGTTACTTTTTTAAATATCTTCTTCACAACTTTCAACATTCGCTTTCCATTTTTAACAACTTCTTCCTTCTTTAAGATTACTGTTGTTAATACCGCTTTCGTTTTCGAGATCACCTTACGCGTCCTTGCCAACCACGGTGTGTACCGCCTTCTTCCCCTCAGCATATGCTTTGGCAGAGATATTTCTGTCGTAGTTCTCCTATGCCGTCTAAGAGAATCTCGTGGAGTAGTTCTTATAAATTTGTACTTATCGCCTTTCTTTTGTAATCTGTGGTCGGGACATGGGGGTATTTCAGGACATGGCTTGACTGGTGGACAACCCGTCGCTGGTATATTGAAGCAGTCTGAATAATTTATTGGCTCATAATCTGAAGAAAGGATATATTTTATCTCATAAGTGTATTCTAAAGGAAAGATGTTAGCTAAAGCTACCTTATTCTTACCTCTTTCGTAATCACAGTTGTATTCATACATGTCACATTCATCAATAAACAGTTTTCTATTGGCCGGGATGTCATCTTCCGCTCCACACTCGGGGATCCAGGTGTGATTGCAAATATCCGCCAAAAGACACCAGTGAAGGGGCTGAAAAGTTTGTATGAAAATTATGTATTGATTAAAGACTGACGAAGGCGGCGCGTCACTATCAAATCCGTACAAGTTCTACGACAAGTCTCAAAATTACGCTGTAAACATTAAATAAATATAATTGAACGAACAATGTTTTGTTAAACTTAAGTTATGGTTCTTATAAAACCCATTCCGAGAATGTTAAATATACATCTCTAATTATGAAACTGAAGAGTTTTTTGTTTAAAACATTTATTGAAGAAACCTTTAGACTAAAAAAAAACAGTAAGAAAAAAGGAAAGACTGGGAAAGTCATCTTTAAGGGATTCCGAGCCGGAAGTTTCTTGAATCGCTTTCAATTCGAGATTCCGACAACGTATCAAGAAACCATAAACCTATGTATGGCAGAATGATTCCTCTTTAAATCATCTAAAAAAAGTCAAAGACAGTATAATATGTCTGTAGAACGACGAGACACGAGATATTGAGAGGAGTTTGCAAAACCAAATTTGGATGGCTCGCTGGCACTAAGCTAGAACAAAAAAAGAAAATATGCGAAGATTATTCTCTCTATTACATAAATTTAACTCTGGATGTTTTTATGCACATATTGAGTTTAAAAAAATATATATTTTCCTACATAAGACGAGCGATATGTCGCTGTGAACGATTCAAACATAGAAGGAAATGCTTAGAGGCGTTTTGAAATATTATGCGCAACAACGTTTCTCACTTCACTGTCACCTGCAATTTGTATTGTCGGGATTTTATTCTGCAGCTTCATATATGCTGATAAAATTATAGATAGAAATTTAATATTTATACAGTAGCATTTTCTAGTTGTTAGACTTGAGAGTCTTTTGTATATAAGTCTTAAAAGATATGAATAATCGTTTCTTTAGAACCAGTGGATTTTGTTCTTTTGTATCTATATTAATAGTATAAACCTAAGGAGTTTGTTTGTTTGTTTAAACGCAGTAATATCAGGAACTGCTGCTTCTTTTGTGTTTATTGGACTTCTTATCGAGGAAGACTTAAGGCTATAAAACGTCAGGAAACGACCAAAGGGAGGGAAATGTAAAAAAAAGGGGAAAATTAATAATCCTATATATACCCCATGAGACACGCGACTATAATTTCAAATCTAATAACTTACCCAGACAAAATGCTGCTTGGACGGACACGGTATATATAGAATGACTGAAAATAATACACGATTGTATAATTGACTTTTGATTGAATGCTATTTTTACCAGCTCAATTGTTTCTTGTACAAATATATAAAACTCGAGACTTACAAAGCAATAAATGTAATATTGTATGTATTTTCATGGTTTGTATATATACAATATGTTCAGATCAAACATATTCTCATCGACTTTTAAACACTTTCAACTTTGTTAACTTAAAGCTAGATTTAAATATAATAAGGGGTGTTACATCTATATATTTATTATTTTAAATGTTAGCAACTACTTACTTAAATTGTATATACTGTAGCGTAACTTAGATTGTTCTTAAAAATGACATAGTATATTTTAAATAAATTATTATTTTAAACAATTTTATCAAAAAAAGATTTACGTTAAACTTAACTAAGAAGTGGGATAAAAAATCTGTGATTTAAGACATTTGGTATATATGTCGGATAATGGTCGACCGTGATTAATTAAAAATTAAAGATAATAGCATTTATGAGATAGGCGTCTCCCAAATCCACGATCACAGCATATCATGCTATTACACTACTGAACTATCGAGTCATCGTCTATGTCAATTTTTTTTTATCTAAAATCATTGAAAGTATTCCATATAAAGCAGGTATTTTCGGATTTTGCATTATGTTACCTGTATGTGGTACTTAACTCTACATGTACCGTCGCTAACAGAAGTAATAAACCTTTTATTAGTTTAGCGCAGTATTGCGTAGTAAAGTAGGTAAATAAAGGTGAACTAGTTGAAACTCGAAGCCATATATTCCCCCACTTAAACACACAACAAAACCAAGACACCAGATACAGTGAGGAATGCACACACATTAAAAATTAATTTAAGACAAAGATGTTTCATAAATAGTGCCGTTAATAGTGATTCGGGTTTTTGACGCGTGAACCATTTAAATTCCATGAAAATCGGTCTAGCCAGCCAGTGAAAGCTGTAGAAACTCAACCGACTTTAATTTATGCTCCGATGAGTTGTACTTTACTTCATAAGCTTGCCATATTTGACTTCAATCAAAATCAAAGCCTATTTTGGCTGGTCAGCAATAGTTAAAATAATTTTCATTAATATAGATCGCGTTTTAAGCCGCTAAAGTGTTTTATTTAAATGTGTACTACTCGCGTAAACTACAGACAGTATTCAGTTACGCAAGCAAATAAATTTTATGTTGTTTGAACTTATTCAAGGCCTCAATCTTGCCATCTTGGTCACAAAGTGATGCGCAGAAAAAATTGCACAACGCTAAGCCGCGTTGACATCCACTTAACATTGAAGATAGCGGGATTAAAATGCTACTCACAGACTCTAATAAGCTTTAATGTAATGTAGCATTTACCAATGTGTAGAAGATTAAACCTTTGTAGTAAGATAAGTAAGATAATATTGCAATCTTTCCAAGTAAAACTTCGTAACGACAGGTTAAACTGTTAACATAACGCGTTACGACACTAGTCCGTGAAGTTATCACTTTAGTTTTGAGATGTACGTTACTTTTTTCAATTTATATAGAGCTTACTGAACATAATTCAAGTGTATATCAATAATCTACGAACCGAATGGGCTCCGAACCTCCGATCATCGAAGGCTATCTACGTCATTAGATGCTTTCAATCTCCTTATAAATGTATGTATAATAATATAATCACAATACGAGATATGCTTTATAACGCAAAAATACCAGTGTGTCTAACTTCCTTACTGATCTATGCTCTATTGCTAAGCGTGAATGATACAATTCCAGACGCAATTCTGTCTCTACGCGTATAGTGATGACGCACGTCCTCAAAGGATTAGAGATATTCGATACCGTATTAATTCAATCTAATATTTAGATTTTGCTATACGTAAGTACTACAATAAATATTTCATTCATTCGATAGAAAAAAAAGAAAAGAAACAGAACATCAAGTTTGCCCACATAAGAAAAACTTGATGTTTTGTATTATGTGCCCTTTCCAAACGAGGCAGTGTATTCTTTTTGTATTGAGGTCTTAAAGTGCCCAAGAAATGCGTTTAAGAACTTAACAAATGAGGTCATTTAAACGCGCAAATAATTCTCTCTAATCGCGCCCAAAACTGTGGATTAATTGAATGAAAAACATATAATCTTTTATTTGTTTGAATCTCTGGATTCTGTATAGAATATGCATAAAAGAATAATGGAATTAACCCTAATTATAAGAAAGAAAGTCGCCGACGCAAACTTGTCTATACCATTACGTAACACCCACATACTCATAGAATTGATTTTTGTTACCCTCTGAAAGACTGATCGCGCATGCGTTAATAACCTAACACACACATAGGCAAGTTTTCATTCACACATGCGCTTTCACTTGTTTCTTTGCTACGGCAATATCGACCTTAGTTAACGAGACATAAAACCTAATTTCCCATTGGTAGAGACAACGGTATTTTTAGTACATTCGTACCTATTAAGGAAAGTACAGGCGCGCCCTCTTCCATACAAAGCAGAAAACCCTGTCGCGGAAGGTTTTCTCTTCGGCGGACATTTTCCGAAAATACACACGTTTTATCATTTATCAGCTTTTATTGTTCGAGAAAACTTATCGAAACTTTTGTGAAAGTGTAAGGGCGAATCGTTCGGAGGGGTGGCGTTTTTGGCTTAATTTTAAGCTAAAAATAGCTTGGCCGATATTCTTGGGGCGAAATCGAGTGTACATCCCATTCATAAAGTACATTCAATTTGGCAAGCCGCTGAGAGGGGTTAAACTGTCTAGTTGACAGTGAATGAGTTTTTAATCGATACTTACCAGTGCAATTTCGATTCCTTTACAAGGATTGCTGTATTCTTGACGATAGAAGATCGAGAGCTTTGAACAATGTGAGTACTTATCAATAATTAATTATCTTGTAGGCACGCGTTACAGTTGTTATAATCAACGTCAATCCAATAAGGAATTATTATAAAGGCTCCAGAAAGCAATTTAATTTTAAACATTCAAGTGGATAAAGCGAAGCAAGAAGCAAGCTTTTTTTAATGCAAAATTAAATTTTACTAAAGTACATTTTTACATATTACGTACATAGCATATTCTTTTTATTCGAAGTTTGTTTTTATATTTCTTTTATTTAAGATTTTTAGATTAGATTTTGAGAACACATACCGAGTTGGAATCACAAGGAATTATTTATAGGTACGATTGTTCGTGTACCGTCTCGTGAATTATTTATTTAATAGCGATTTGCAATCGCTTAGTTCAGTATAAACAAGAGTTATTTTACTTTAGCTATTATTAAGTTCCTATTTTTGAAAGCATTCATTACTGTCTGTAGTTCGCTCGAGCAGTACACTAAAGAAAACACTTTTAACGGTTTAAAACGCCAAATGTATTAGTCATACTTATTTACAATTCATTTTAACTATGGCACATACTTTACATACAGCCGTTACCACCCCCCGTGACCATGGCTGCTGCAAAGCATCCGAAACGCCAGGTCGTCGTTAAAATAAATTGTAAATAGGTTTAAATAATACATTTCGCTTTAAACATATTTTATTCAAATCTCAAATCATTGTTTTATAAACTACCATTTATCTAATTCAAAAAGAATTTTATATTTATATGAAGCTATAGAGATCCTAGGTTTATTTAAATCACAGGGAAGCCTGGTTAGTAGTTTAGGTCATCGATCATTAAGATAGGTACTGAAGTTTTTTTAATTTTTGACAGGCTCGTTTCTAATTTTTCAATTTATATTTTTTTGAAACATGCTGGACTTCATCGGAAAATCTGGATATTAAATGGACGTTAGGGACATGGAAATTCCATCCGGGTCACGAGCCACCGTCTACAAATGAAAAAGCCGTGACAATTAATCGCGTTTCGGTTGCAGTCTGTGGATTTCCAAACATCTATAAGTCAAAAGCGCATTTTGTTTAGATAGGCCTATCATCATCACTCATCATCAAGTGTACCCCAATGTCTGTCCTCCTCTATCATTGAAAAAAAATATATATTACAAAGTTTATTAAATATATTATAAACCGATCAAAACTTTATTTGGGTTATAGGGGTTAGAGATAAAAGATAAGATTAGTAAAATGTGTAAATAAGGGCGTCGCATGTGACTAACATAATTGAAGTCTGTTTTTAAATGCGATTTTACCTCAAAACTCTTAATAGAATATAATTAAAAGTACCATAAAATAAAAAAAAAAACATTTTCCTTGAATGGCACGAGGGCAATACATGTCTGTTCGTTTTACCGATCGTTGTTATTTTTACGTAAGATTATTCGGCTGTGCTATGCTCGACCTGAACTATTCGTTGTTTTTTCTCATTCAGTGCAGTGCTAACGCAATCTGAATCTGTTTCTTACTAGATTAGCACGTCGTAATCAAATTTAAAAAATAATAATAAAAAAAGTTTAAACACACACAATAAACATGACACATTATCTTACTTAGAGAAATGTGTTATGTTTATTGTTTTAAAATAGTATACATAATTCCAATTTAATGAAAGACGGCTTGACATGTAAAGATGCGTAAAAGTTAATTGTTAAATATCTAACATACAAATTGTTGCCTAGCTGTGTAAAACAATTTTAAAGGTTGCTAAAGATTTGTTAAAGTTGAAATAAATTTGAAAATAAATATGTTCCCTAAATCCATTTTAAAAGAATTTGAGTTTATTTGTTTTGAATCGCATTTTGACTATCTTGACTTGAAAGGCAAAATGTAACTTGACCATTAATATTATCCACAAGATATAAGATATAAAGATATTGTATTAAATTTTAATTCTCTTCGAATAACGAACTTGTTTGTCACCCCTGACCTCCATAATTGACCTTTGATATGTTTGTTATAGGGAATTGTGATATTTAGCTCAATAATGGGAATTAGCTTAACATGCGTGGGTGGTCTAACAATACAATTATTTCGATAGATCTTACCAAGTTTCGACAATATTGTGCCGTTAAGCTATGGTTTTGAGGTTATGTTGTGTTAGCATGCACTTGTCCACTTTTGTAAATTTGTACAAACCTCCACGTAAAAGTGAAATGTCTGTTCGCCCCGTGGGGCATGGGGCGCATACATTCCCGTGTTCGTTTCAACGATCGATAATCTTTAAAAGCAAGTAGTTGATTAGACTTCTGCACACTGCCCGACCGAAACTATTTATTGTTTCCCCGGGATTCGAACCTAGATCCTCTCGCGCGTAACGCAAACGACACGTTTAACCATTTAGCTACAGAGACAGTTACATACGTATCGGCTGTCGACAGTGACGGTAGTTGTTAAAATTCGCTAATCCATACTGAAGCAGTGTAATGGATCCAAATCTTAAACCTTCTCTGCTATCAGAGCGAAGACCAGCACGGGGACATAGATATCTTGTAAAGACGATATATACTAAGATTAAATAAAATAATTATTATATATATTTTGCTTTAGATATCTTTTTTTTTTCATTCAAAATACAATATATAAGAATATTTGAATCATACCATTTTATCTATATTTTTTGAGCGTTGGTGTCGTGTAGGTAGACGGTTCATAGTAGCTGTTGAGTGGAATATTATCAGTACGTTTGTGATAACAGACAGGCATTGTCGTTTGTTACATTTTATTTTCTTTATATGTAAGTGATCTATTTTATTAAACTTTCTACAAGAAGTGGCAACAATTTTATCTTGTTAAAGGTTTCGATGCCAAAATGATTATGATTAAGAATCAACAAAATATTTCAAGGTAACAACTTAAAGACATGCTTAAAAAGATAATTATAAAAAAAGTGTAAATATGACGATCATAATCGCCATTTTCAAATAAATTCGTCAAATATTTCCTAGTTCCCTATTGCATCAATGAATTTCAGTATGTGTATCTTGAATTACAACATACGTTATAAAGAAAACTAAAAGATAGTAACAAAACTATTGAACTAGGTCATACAATTTATTAAAAGTAGGTCTTAATTGTATTTTTATTAAATCGTACAGGGCAACAACGGAGGGTGGATTAGCTCCAAGCAGCGATGATATGCCAGTGGGGGGGCCGAAGACGCCCCAGCAAATCGCTGCCCAACGTCGCTTGCAACAGACGCAGGCCCAAGTTGATGAGGTAAGTATAGTCAAAAATTCCATGATAAACTTTGTTCAATAGATATTTGATAAGGCGAGTATTCGAAAGATGTTTCCTTTGGAGAAGTTACTAATCACATTAAACTAACCAGGTGGTGGATATAATGAAGACGAACGTGGAGAAAGTTCTGGAGAGAGATCAGAAACTTTCAGAGCTAGATGACAGAGCAGGTACAGAATTTTAATCAGTTTTGCTATATACCTTCCAGTTCCTTCTTGGTTTTAATAACATACTTTTAGTCACATAATTGTTTTTTTAACTTTATGTTTGATCGTCAAGTGACATAGTTGTACCAGTAAAAGACCCAAATGTTCAATTTTTACAGATTTTACGCTAACGTTGTTCATTTTTAACTACATAGTAAAAAGGTACTCTACTATTTCCTGTGAGGCATCTAAAACGTCGTGTCGTAGTTGAAAATAAATTTAATTATACATACATTGCTATATAGTTTACGCGAGTACATCGCATTTAAATAAAACAGTTTTACACCTTTAAAGAGTGTTCGTAACAAACTCCTTTCAAAGGAAAACCTTTCGTAGAACATCGTAGCAGTGTGCTACGAGATGCTAGTACAATAACTATAACCGTAAAGTTTATTATACCTACAACTAAGTTATTTATAGAGATACTTAAATAGGGCTTTTTTCAAAAACGAATTGAACGAATGATTTGTTACATAACAAACAATATCGGGTCTAAAAGGTCATCATAAAAGTGATTTTGACAATTGAGATCGTTTTGTCCATATATAATCGATTTTTCTCTATACCTTGGCCAACTGTGGCAACAATTTCACTTTATATAGGGTCATCACGAGTTCACTATGGTTTGAAATAGGCTATATTTGTTGTGGTCTTTTGCCAAGTTAAAAAAATACACTATGGACTGCAACTTCATTAATAAATAAGTAAATTAAGCTACACTTAATGCATCTGTGATATACTATGAAAAGGTAAATATTATTTAATCTTAACTCAACTGTTACAGATGCATTGCAGCAGGGCGCTTCGCAGTTCGAACAGCAAGCTGGGAAGTTGAAGAGCAAATTTTGGTTGCAAAATCTAAAGGTATAATTGGCATGACTGGTATATTAATTAAAACACATCTAACGGTTTAAACTTAAAAGCATATTTGCCAAATCTATTATTTGATTGATGATGATTAAAGATGTTTCTTTAAGGCTCGTGGGGACCGTTACCACTACCACCTACTGTATAAGTGTTCTGTAACTTTATGTAATAAACTTAAAATCGAAATTGAAAAACATACGAAACTGGCAGTACTTGCTCTAGAGCAACCGAAACATTGGCATGCCAAACGTAAAATGTTTTTAATTTAAAATCGATTGTTAATTTATATATCATGGCAATATATAAATTTACAATCAATGTAAAATAACAACAATGTGAAATACATATGAAAAATATTAAAGTTTTTAAGTATTGTGTGATAGTTATATATAAGAAATTAAATTTTACATTTGGTGTTTAAACACCCTTCGCTGTGACTCATGTAATGCTATACAATAAAATATATGTACACTTGATCTACGATTGGAAATTAATATTTATTAGACAGTTAAAATTGCACATCGCAACAAATGAGTACGATAAATACAATTTCCCTGTACTTATGTTTCAGATGATGATTATCGCAGCGGTCATTGGCATTATAATTTTGGCTCTAATCATAGGTAAGCAACAGAACAATCTTAGAATGCAGCACATTAGACTGTCGCTCTTTGTTGTATTAAAACGAATCTAGAACTAATCATGCCATTATTTTTTCTCAAATTTTCAGCCAACTTTGTGTGAACAAGTTTCGGTAACCGAAGTTTAATTTAGAAGTTACTTGTTATATTATGAATAGATATAAATGCAGTATGTTGTATTTTATTAATATTTTGATATTAAGCCTTGTTGGTAAGTGGGCAAGATCGTTGTGTCGTTGTTCGATTGTGCCCTTACATAACCTGAAACATCGAATTCGTGAATGAAACAAGAATAATTACACAAATTAACCAATTTTAAACAGTTCAAACGGGTATTATATTTGAATTGCTTGGAATGATCACTTGTGAGCCATAAGTTGAACTTCATTTTAATTTACGTCTTGATCGTGTTTATTTTATGTATGCAATAAAGTAATATTAATTAATGAAATTAAGCTAAGATCCGAAACAACAGGTAAAAAACCAATATTAAAACGTGGCAATCTCCCCGTGACCACGGCTGCTGCAAAGCATCCGAAACGTGGGGCCGAAGTTAAAAATCATTTTTAAATAAGTTTAACTAACATATCGCTTTTTAAACCGTTAAACTGTTTTATTTAAACAAGGCAACTTGTTTAAAATTGTTTTAAAAGCTATAACGATTATTCGTAATACTTTTTAAATGCATTATGCGAGAAAATCGGCACAATGCATAACAAAGTATGGTATGGTACTAATCGTGTTTCAGACTATGTACGTGGACATACATGTTGGCTTTGTCTGCTCTATTGTCTCTTCGTATACTTGTCTATCAGATAAGAGTGACTAATATTGTTTAAAAAGAAATTGTGTGGTTTAACTATAACTTAAAATAAATTTAAACAAACCTCTCACAATAATTCCTTTATTCAGGAATTTCATATAACCTTTAAGTCCCGATTTGCGACACCCGCTCACATATATTTACCAAAGAAGTGAATTTTTCAAAACGATAATTAATAATTTGTAGTTAAATCACAAGATCTTAGCTTTGTTTTGCAAACGTTTGTGTAAAATGTGACTATTCAATATGTGTATACTGTACTATCAAATGTGACGTGAACAATAGGATTTCCGAATGCTTCCAAGAAAATCTTCGTTCTTCCGAGAATGTGCTTGCCCCCGATAGCCTACATATAGCCTGCTTTTCTGAAAACTTAGAAATGCATAAGACAACATAAAATGGTCTTCTCGCATATCTCCCAAATTCTTGTAACATTCTTAAACAAAAATTATTAGATTCAGGGCAGTGAAGGTATATATAGGCGCTTGCTTATAGAAAATTGGACGAAATATTTGCAAAAATTATAATCGAAGCTGGTGAATTACAAAATAGCTTAATTGCTGATATTAATACGACAGTATTTGACTAAAAATATTTTAAAATTGACCCCCCTCTACACCGTCCTTAGGCCTCATTGTAAAGTTACTACTTTATTACTTTGTTTTCAATTATTAATATGTGTTTTTATTTTCTAGGTCTGTAAACAGCATTTGTGGCAAAACCGAGGTAAGCATTGCAAAGGTTTTATCTATTCTATTCTAAATACAATTTTTGTAATTATTGAAAATAATAAAAAGAAAACTAAATTTGAACCGACGACATACAACGTACTTTTCAATTGAGCTACGGTACTGTTTATTTTCACCTGATACGCAATCAATGATCTTGACACATACACATTAATTAATATTCAAGGTTTCCCACAGGACTTACATTCAACTGCTTTTCGGTTCTGGCTACACCCCAAAATAAAATAATTTGAACGTTCTTATTAGAGATTAGTGTTGTTAAATGTTTTCGTAATTATATATTGAATGAAATAGTATTATATCGAAATATTGAGGCTAAAGAGATGAATAATCTTTCGATTTGTAAATTTTTGAGATCACTTATCTTACCGACTCTGTCACTATTTTGCCATACGTAATGTTTTAATAGAATATTTTTAGAGGATCTTTCTTTCGTAAAATGTTTACTCTTGAATATCAGGCAACAATGCTATTTGCTATTCCCTTGTGAGGCTTATCAGAAAACCATATCTGGATACTTTCAAATTGTGTTCAAAAACAACACTGAGATATTAATATTTTTTATTAGTTTTGCTTTTTTATACTTGGACCAAATTTTTTAGAACTGTTATCCATTTTAACCTGTTGCCATTTCTTTTACGAAATGTTGTTATCTTCATAGAAAGAGTTTAGTTATTTTGTAAATTGTTTATTTTGAGAACTATAAAGAATATCACGAATAAAGAAGTTTAGTAGGAAAGCTTTTATAAATTATCGTTGAACACACTTTGATATAAACGTTATAATGCGCTACAGAGCACCATTAACAGTTTTTAATCTGCTAGAAATACTAGTTACTAGTCCTCGTTTCTCTATGTAACCACTATATCTAATGTCTATTTGAAACGAAATTTTATACCTATTAAAAATTATTGTTATCTATTTAATGCAAGTTGTATTAGGTGTGACACAATACTTGTATTTAGAAGGCCCAGCTAGTGGCCAGTTTATAATGTAACCTTATTTAATATTTTCTCTGTGTTCTATTAGAAATATTATAAGAGATATTGTGTAGATTTTTAACGGCTTCGTAGTTAGAAATTGATGCTAATTTTGTTGTACATAACTGATATAGGCTAAATTAATAAATAAATAGATATTATTTTTATCTTCTGCCATTTTTTCTCTAGAGGAATCTTCAGTTATTCATTAAATTCATGGACAGTGGAGTTATAGAATTATTGTATGTATATAACATAAGAGTTTAATCTTCATTATAGTCAGTGGATGTTTTAAAACTCAACTTAAAATGAGAAATGTATTGTTACCCCTCATATACTAGGAGAGCGCTTCGTCATTTAGCTTAGTAATGTTCGTATTTTCGTTTTATAAACACGTTGATAGGTATTTAATTGTATTTTTAAAATTATTATACTTTTTTCAGCCTACATTTATTTACGCGTATGGTGTAAAAGCATATATTGATTAATCTATTTTCTATTTACCTTCTTAAAATACTAGTATTTTAAATATTTTGCCTAAAAGCCTAATCATTTAACAACCACGTGTTTATAGAATGAATGTTTTGGAAAATCACTGTAAGGTAAATAAAATACACCAGTCTCAAAATGAGGTTTAAGATAAAAGTAAGGAATAATTAACCTTACATTGCTAAAAATTATCTTTTAGAAAATCTAATTTTACCACTTTAAACAATATTAAAAATTGTTTCTTATTATTTATAGTAACAATTAATGTATTCGTAATTATTTAAAAACCTCTCTTTGTATATTGGCCCATTTTACTAGAACGAAATTATTGTGTTAAGGGTAGGTAGGTAGATTTAAGAGCCAAATCGTACCTACTTACTCGTATTAACCACTCTGTTAAAAAATAAAGGTGTGTTTTTTAACAATAAAAGATCACATTCGCATTCACACCGTAATCACACAAAATATTATTGACATCTTGTTTTATTTAAAAATTAACAAAAGATATATAAAGCTTTAATAATCATGATTTAAATTATTAGATACTTTATGTAATATATCTATTAATGTCACTTTAAAAAATATACTACACTAGTCCACGTCGTTACATTAAAATGTAACTACGCGATTGAGTAGGTACTTAAATTTACCATAATATATTTAAGTAGAATTATTACAAAGAATATTTATTTATATTTAGTTGATAAACGACCTTGTATTATTTTCTTTTAGAAAAATAAATGTATACATAGGTTCTATCTACGTCAAAGATAATTAAATAGACCATAGACAAATTACCTATATCTACATAATCAATAGATAATATCGTATCATGGAAATATAGTATATTACATAAACTTTATGTGTATCTATAGTATTATTTGATGTAAAATTATTGCTTCAATAAAAAGCGAATTTAAATATTTCGACATTTTATTAAATCCCATCTTATTTACATTTAGTTTTCCCAACATGCAGCACAGTGCGGAAATATAATTTCTTTGTTGTTTCACTGACTGACTTAAGTTTTCAGGTAAGTAGTTGGGTTTCTGATTCCTATTTTCTTTTATTGCGTTAAGCTAGGAACTCCAACTTTTCAGCCTTTCGGTGAGATAATAATTACTGCAAATACTCAAAAATTCAATCATAAATACAATCAAGTATTTAGTGCAACTATATTTAATGTAATTGATACAATTAACCTAACGGTAAATGTTAATAATCAGTTTAATTGATTGTATAAATTATATGCCTATTGTATTCTTATATAAATAGAAAAATGCAATAATCACTCTAATAAAAGTCAACACATAAGAATTCATTAAAAGTAATTTTGAAAACAATCGCCATCAGTAGTACGATCGGTATAAAATTTTAAAAATGGTCAATAATAATGCTTTAATAAATACTCTCAGAATTTTTTTTATATAAATCTGGTCCACACACATTTACTTTAGCACAATTAATTAATACACTCGGTCGATAAGATTCAAAAGAGAAGTTCATAGTCTTAATTGTTTCCAGTCCCAGATGATAAATAATATATTTTATAAAAACTTGTTTTAGAAAGTTTTATACTTCCTAATCATTACGTATATGATAAAAATTAAATAAAACACTTGCAGGTTTTGCAACGTGAAATATATTTATTTTAAGTACGACATGACGTGTCATAGGGGTATATAAAAAATCCTGTTTTATAAATGTGTAGTACTACGTGTAGAAAACTGCAATCAATATGAAAAATGCAGTTTTTTATTCTTGACATTTGACACTCAGGGATTTGACAGCTTATTTAATGACATTTGAATGCTATGTAATTTCATACTTTGTAAATAGTATTTTGAAATTCGGAGAAATAAATTCAATAAAGAAAGAAATTTGTAACAATTGTATGCGAACAATATAACTACATATTATATCTAAAATACCATGCAATAGAGTAATTAAGTCGTAAATCTGTTAATACTTTATCCGGTCAAAACTTCTTAATAACCTTCGTGGCAAGTTTTTAACTATTTCTTAGAATTTACTCTTCTTTTTTAATACCGACAACGGATTCATACGAATTGTATGACATTAAAATTTATCTGTACATATTATACCACATTTTTGCAGTGTTCGGTAAACAGCTGTTTTCTGTGAAAATAATTCAAGATAATTAAATTTGAACCATTACCTAATTTTCTATTCCGATTTTAACCGTTTTAATTACTGGTTAACTTAGATAACATTTAGCATTATTTGTTATATAGTTTTGAAGGTTAACCATGATTGAACTACCCCGAATAACAAGAGCTTTAAGAGCTCACACCCAACTAGATAAGCCAAGATGTTTAAAACCTACTGGAACCTATCAAACAGTGTTCACTTTTACCAATAACATACAAAAGTAAGTTAATATTGTACTTTTTATATATCATGCAATATATATTACATATAATATTGTAGGTTTACTTTATTTTAAAGTTGTGAAGTTTAATGTATATTGTTTAAAAAAGTGCAATCTAAATACTCTCTATGTAATACTATCTAAATAGTCTATAGTTTACGCGAATAGTACACATTTCAATAGAACACTTTAACGGCTTAAACGCGACATATTATTTAAACTTATTTGAAAATTATTTTTTTTACTTCAGCCCGATGTTTTGAATGCTATGCAGCAGCCATGGTCACAGGGCACAAAAGTGCACTCGCGTAATGTTTGTATAGATTTGTTTAAACCCTTATTATTTTTAAACAGATTTAAATCATATTTGGATATTTATAACTACATAAAGGAAAATGAATTAAACCCAGAAGAAATCTTATCGCTACTAAAAAAGCTAAAGGAAGCTTGTAAACAGTTGACGGGTGATGAAAGTGATAATGTAGTGGAAGATGCAGCGGTCCTCACACTAAGAATGTTCCTGGACCAAGATATTGTGATGTTAAAGCATTTGTCTCAGCTCCGTCAGACATTTGGCAATGTTCAGTCGTCAACTGCCAATAAGATTTGTGAGGTAATAACTTATTCTTTTGTATATTCTTATATGATGACAAAACAGTGTACTTTAAATGTTATGTCTTACAGATAGTTACAGAAATATCTAGCTATATCAATGAAGAAACACAAGAGTTTATAAAAAAAGAAATGGCTGAGACAAAGCAGTATCAAAAAATGTGGGGTGAAAACATACAATGTTTATGCATTCCATATAAGCCGGTAAAGAAGAAACTAGCAAAATTAACTAGTAAACCAGCGACAGATAGTTCATTTGTGAATGATTTTACTATGAAATATAGTGCTACTAGCAGTAAGAGTAATAATATTACAAGTAGTAAGCCTCGGCAAGAGCCAAAGGTAAAGTTTTTACTGTTTATGACACAGTATGTTGGTAATATATTTGATTCACTGATGATAAATGCACAAGAACTTAGCAACTAATACTTAACTTTTGTTCTAATAAAGATTTTTTATATTATTGGAATGATATCTATAAATTTATACAATGATCAATATCCACTGATCTTTTATTTACTTTAGTCTAGTTCATTTAATGAGTGTTTTTTTATAGTGATATTCAATCTTGAATAAAACATTAATTGTTATGAATACATTTTTTTCAGTTTGGTAAAACCTGGTTAGAAACGAAAGTAAGAGAACTGTATGAGAATTCTAGTGGTATGTCGAGCGCCGATGCTTTACAATCAATCATTACATTCTTGAATTCTCCACGATCCAATGATGAGATGCAAAATGATCTCTTTGAACTCTTGGGGTTTGATAAGTTTGAGTTCATACAGGAAATACTGGAACACCGTCAGGATATAACAGATAGTTTGAAATCACCACCAGCTCAACCTAGTATTGCAGAAAGTAAGTTTTCTTACCCAAATTTTTGGCTCATCACATTATCGGCAATGATGTGTTTAATTTTGGGGTGGCTCAGACATGATTGTCATTGTACGAGCATGTACCCTTAAATTTAGAATCTATCAGTGATAAAAATGTTTCCAAGCCATTCTATTAATTCATTTTGAATATCTTTTGTATCTGTCATGGCTAGTGCTAAGCAATCAAATTGTGAATTTGCCAAAATAAGTTCTTTATATTTTAATTGCCTTTTGGCAATAGTCAATACAACAGAAAAATTGCAATTTAACAGTGGCTGCCCTGCTTCCTGAGAATAAAATGCCCCAATACTTGTGCCAAGTGTCAGTCAGATCAGAGCAGGAGAAACTCCTTGCAAAATTGGTGAGAAAGGGCGAAAAGAAAACTAAGAGTAATAAAAAGGTTGATGATGATGATGAAGAACAAGAAATAAATGTTGCTCAACTGAGAGCTAAACGGTAACATAAATATAATTTAAAATGATTATAAACTAAGTAATTTTTTATATGAATCTTAAATTATTTCATAATAAATAAAATCATTACAGTAGAATGACTACCACAGGATGTATATATGTTGAAAAAATACCACAATTGTTATTTGAACCTCGTCTTAGGCTCTGGAAAATAAATTCCTTGCAATCAACTTTAAGTCCTAATGCTTTTTTAACCTGTTTATTAACAGATTAGCTGAATTAACAAAACCAGTGGTGCCATTCTCCAGCTCTAAAAGCAATGTGGACCCCGTTCTGCAAAAGATATCCTACTTCCAAACAAAAGTTCAATATCCAAATGTCTATGATTCTTCCATTAATGCAAAAAATTCTGCAGGTGAGATATTTGTTAATGTAAATTATGAGCTTATAATAACTCTATGGCTTTTTCTTTTCTATTGGTGATTTGGGATAAATATAACAAAATAAAGAACTCAACAATGATGCCATATTGTTGCAGGTAGGAAATAATCATAAAAATTAATAGATATCTTAAACTGAGTGCATTTTTTTTTTGTATTCTTCGTTCTTTGGAGGAAATCATGACTTTATGAAATAATACTTATATATTATATTCTGCAATTCGCTTTCAGGTTTCGTCTCTGGTATGAAACTCTTACTACCTGAAAATGCAGTACGCAAGGATCTTAAAGAGTACGAAGAAGTGATCATACCAAAAACCGAGGCAGGTCCCTTGGAAATTGGCAGTAAAAGAGTACCCATATCCGCTATGGACGAAGTACGTGACCTTTTTTAAACTTCATTTGAAAGCTCTTTATACGCTTATTGTCTCTTTCTGTCCTATATCGAAATGAAGTTGTGGGATAAAGACAACTTATACTTTTTCTAATGACGTGAAATTTATTAGTTTGTTTATTTTATCCTTTGGTAAAATAGTAAAACTACAATGTATCATTGTTTATTTAAATATTTTTATAGTTTAAAAGATACAAGGTGTTTATTTTTAGGTAGGTCAAATGGCGTTCGAAAATATAAAGGAATTGAATAGAATACAGTCTGTAGTGTTTAATACAGCGTATAATACAAACGAAAATCTCCTTATCTGTGCACCAACTGGGGCGGGAAAAACTAATATCGCATTGCTCACTGTTGTACACCAAATTAAACAATACATTGAGAATAATGTTATTATGAAGAATAAGTTTAAGGTAACTTATTTTAAGCTTATATGTGATTTGTATGAATTTCCATAATATATTTATGTTTTTTTTATAACTATTATTGACTTTAATATACTGTGTTTTAAAGAGAGATTGTGAAAATTAGATTTCTTCTTATTTATTGAGACAAAGTTTATAAAAATATATTGCTATGTTTGAATAAATTTTAACTCTTCTGTAAGATAGTTTGAAAATTTTAATTCTCTTCAAATAATTTGTAGCAATTCATTTTTGAACTGAAATTTTCTTTAAACCTTATTTATATACACTTATTGACAAGATAAAAATCATACACAATGAAATAAAACACTTTAAATGTTTAAAAGGCGATTTATTAGTAAAGGAGTCTCCCTGTGACACGCTGACAAAACGTCCGAAAGGTAGGCGTAGTAGAAATAATTTCCAAAAAAAAAGTTTAACTAATATATATCGCGTTTTAAACCGTTAAAGTGTTTTATTTAAATGTGTACTACTCGCGTAAACTACAGACAGTATTTAACATTAAAATTATTCGAATACCAAACTATATGTTATTTTTAATTGTTCCCTAAAGATAATCTACATAGCACCAATGAAAGCCTTAGCGTCAGAAATGACAGCCAGCTTCGGCAAACGTTTACTCGGGCTTGGTATAAGCGTCCGTGAATTAACTGGAGATATGAAGCTAACGAAGACCGAAGTACAGCAGACGCAAATGATCGTTACGACTCCAGAGAAATGGGACGTTGTTACTAGGAAGGGAGCGTGTAAGTGAATTTTATGATAGAAGTGATATATGCCAGATATGTAACATCTCAAAGAGATGCGCTGTTGGCCTATGTTGGCTTTGGATATTCAAAACACCGAAGACGGAAACAGAAAGACGTTTAAACTTAACGACTTTTCATCTGTAGACGGTAGTTTGTGGCGTCCGGATGGAATTTTCGATATCCCCACCATTTAATATGCTGATTTCCTGACGTTTAATAATAGCTTTAAATTATTTTAAAACATTTTGGACCCTGGCGGATTGAATCCACGACCATTTGATTTATTAGCTATACGTTACTACAATTTACCAACGACCCCTTCAAAATTTTCATTTAATTGACTTTCCCATACTTTCATAAATAAATTAATGGCCTTTTCAGTTTTGTTATTATTTTATGTAAGTTTTATTATTATTAATTATTTCCCATTCTTATTACTTACAGCTGATACCGAACTAGCGTCCATAGTAAAGCTGTTAATCATAGACGAAGTGCATCTACTGCATGGAGATCGGGGGCCTATAGTGGAAGCGATCGTTGCGCGTACGCTGCGACAAGTCGAGTCCTCTCAGAACATGATACGGATTGTGGGCCTGTCAGCCACACTGCCCAATTATTTGGATGTTGCCAGGTTAAAGAGAAACTAATTACATACTTGTAAATAATATTATGTCTAGTCGCGAGATTGCCTTGTGTAAACTACGAGTAAGCAATTGAGTTTTACAAAATATTAATATTTTAGCTCATCATTTTATTTAATAGGGTCTAACTTAATGTAAAAAGTTAATATTCTCTTTTACACGACATTGTTGATTGTCTTACTGTGTTCTTAAGTCATGACATAGTAGTATTAGGAGGTGCTTAGGAATTATAACTACATAAGGTCCAGCAAATGTTATCTCATTTTAGAAAAGGTTGAAAATAAGAAATGTCTTTTAATGCTTAAACCTCAACAGGTTCTTACGTGTAAACCCGAATATCGGTCTATTCTATTTCGACTCCCGTTTCCGTCCCGTGCCATTGGAACAGCAGTTTATTGGTGTCAAAGAAATTGGTAGTGGCGGTGGGGCACACTTGCGTCAGGTAACTTTAATCTGTTTAATCTATGACTGGCTCCACTACAAGACAATCAGAACAAACAGACGATCAAATGCACTACAAACTCTTTCGTAATTAATAAATAAACTTCTACTAGTTTTGTTCTATGGTTTGTTATATTAAATTAGAGATTAGAAAAATTCAAAATTTGAATTTTCCCGATTCTTATAAGAAACTCTTAATTTTATCACAGATGCAACAAATGAACGAAATATGCTACGACAAAGCGGTGGATATGGTACAAAAAGGACATCAAGTGATGGTGTTCGTTCACGCCAGAAACGCGACTCACCAGACCGCCATGATCCTGAAAGAATTAGCACAAAAGAAAGGCCACTTGAAACACTTTGAACCGGAAGATTCTGGGGGTACACTAATATCTTATTAACGCTATGATTTTTCGTACATATCTATACTAATACATACGTAGTGATCATTGTATTCTATACATAAATATTGAATTATATAAAGAATATTTGTTTCTTCAGGTTTTCTGAAAGCAAAAAAATCTATCGGCAGTAGTCCAAACAAGCAATTAGCGGAATTGTTCGCATCTGGTTTTGCCTGTCACCATGCTGGAATGTTAAGAAGTGACAGGTATTATTCAGTATGTTAGTTATTTTTATATATGTAATGTATATGTAAAACTGATATAATATTTATTCGTTCGCAGAAACATGGTTGAGAAATACTTTTCTGAAGGCTACATCAAAGTATTGGTTTGCACATCAACTTTGGCTTGGGGTGTAAATTTACCTGCTCACGCTGTTATTATAAGGGTAACTACAAAAAAATCAATTATTTTACATTAAATAAGAGATAAACACTCTTATAACATTTTTAACTTGACTTCAAAGTAGATTTATGTATATATATGTTTGACATATATATACATAAATTCTAACATGATATAAAATTTAATAATATAGGCAAAATGATCATATACGTACTAACTCGTAGTGTCTCAATATAACATTTGTCTTCCTTTTAGGGTACAGAAATCTACGACCAAAGCCACGGTACATTTGTCGATCTGAGTATACTAGATGTGCTCCAGATTTTCGGGCGCGCTGGTCGTCCACAGTTTGACAGTTCTGGTACCGGGATCATTATCACGACGCACGATAAACTATCGCATTATCTTAAATCCATGACCAATCAGTTTCCTATTGAGAGTAACTTTATTAATTTACTCGCGGATAATTTGAACGCAGAGGTGATTAAATATGATTTTTCTCCTAAATCCCTGAAAGATAAGTAATAAATAGATTAATTTTTATAAAATTTATTTTACAGGTTGCACTCGGCACAGTCACAAATATCGACGAAGCAGTAGAATGGCTTAGCTACACATACCTTTTTGTGCGTATGCGCATCAATCCACAGGTAAAATTATTTTGGTCTCATCTATAAAAAATCTGTATTTAATAAATGATATATCTACTCTTTCTTAATCTACTGTTTCACTTTTAGGTCTATGGTTTGACATACAGTGACGTACAAGAAGAACCTATGTTAGAAACAAAACGGCGCCAACTTATAACTAGTGCGGCTATGCAATTAGACAAAACTCATATGCTAAGATACAATGAACGCACTGGAGACTTAAATGTTACTGGTAATTTATGCAATATGCTATCTGTGTCTTTATTATGCTTTGGTCTGACTTGAAGGACCAAAAACGGCCTATCAATAATCTCGATGTTATATTATGTCTCATATTATGTTATATGCCTAATAGATCTTGGAAGAACAGCTAGCCATTACTACATTACTTGTGAGACAATGGAAGTATTCAACTCTATGGTACGCAAATCCATGACGCAGGGTTACGTTTTGGAAATGTTGACAAGGTGTTCTGACTTCCAGCAATTAAAAGTAAGGTGTTATAAATAAATTACACATATATCACAAAAAAAATAAGCATATCATTCTATCTTTTGTTTTATAGGTACGTAAAGAAGAGCTGACAGAATTGTGGAATTTGAAAGATCAATACTGCGAGTTGCATATAGAAGACCCACCGGAAGATATACATTGGAAGATCAATATATTACTTCAGACCTTCCTCTCTAGAGGGCGTGTTAATCAATCATCTTTGCAATCCGATTTGAACTATATTAGTCAGGTAAATATTCAAGCATACAGAATATTATTTGCCAATTGTCAATTCTTGAAATCTGGAGCAAATGTAATCAAATTTTTGTAAATATGCTCAGACCCTCCCTAGCCAATTCTATTAAAATGTGATAAATTCTCCCAGCCTACTATATAGTTTAAAAAAAAATAACACTTTTTATCAATATAGCAGAATATGACATTACTTACTACTTTACAGAATGCAGTGCGAATAGTACGAGCGCTTTTCGAAATAACGCTACGCAAAAACAACGCGTATATGGCGGGGCTTTATTTAAAAATGGCAAAAATGCTCGAACTACAACAATGGGACTTCTACAGTGACATGAGACAGTTCAACTGTTTCCCAATAGAGGTGTTGAAACGAATTGAATATCCAATGCTGAAACCGGACCAGATAAGGGACATGGACTGGAAAGAAGTCGGTATGTTTGTCTCTTTCTATTACCCTAGCAAATCCATGAAATAGAAAGAGATAACCGTATAAGAGAATAGTAACGTCAATATCTATTTGTTCTCGATAAGATGCTGATGTTGAATAAGTATTGAGGTTAAACGAGAACAATTTTAACGATTCAAAACGTGAAATATATTAATAAAACAGAAGCCGTGATTTCAGCTGCACGCTAAATGAAAAATAGGGATGACTATTATATTTCGCGTTTTAAACTATCAAAAGTGTTTTATTTAAAAGATGTTTAAATTTAATGTATGTTAAAACACATTTCGTAGTTATAACTATGCTATACATTTGGTTTTTGAGCATTTACTAGTATTTGCTATCATGTTATTGAGAGAACATTTAATTGTCAGGTGATCTCTTACGAAATCCGAAGGCAGCTCGCCACTTGAAGAAGTGTGCGGACGAATTCCCTTTACTAGAAATGGAAGCAAGCCTTCATCCTATAACAAGAACAGTTCTACGGATACGACTTACAATTACACCTAATTTCAGGTAACACGATTAATTACTTATCAAAAAACCTCTTACACCGTATAAACGTGAAGTCTTAAAGAAAGACTCCTATAGCTCTAATAAGAGGTGAAATTGACTTGATCTAAACCTTACTTTATAGATGGAACGAAAAATATCATGGAAAGGCACCAGAAGCCTTTTGGATATGGGTAGAAGATCCAGAAACAGATATTATGTATTATCATGAATATTTCCTTATCACCAAGAAACAGGTTTGTTCTGTGATACTACTTTGTTATAAATAAATTCAATATCATTACCCTAAGACACACATGTGTACTAGTTTTAAGTAGTTTGTTTAAACATAAAAAATGTCTAACATAAGTATATTTTAAATGCGTTTAACTTTCAGGTAATAACAATGGAGCCTCAAGAGTTAATAATAACGATACCTATATCCGAACCGCTGCCCCCTCAGTACTACGTGAGAGCAACATCCGAGAGGTGATGAGATTTTTTATATAACCAGCTGTGCCCGCGATCTCGTCTGGATAGCTATTTTGGGCATAATATTATTCCCTCTGTTCTTCGCCCCTATTGGTGATGTTTTATACACCGCACTGACTCTGGCCAGGGATCTTAGTATATTATGTGATTATATAATTCTAACAAATATTGGACTACTTCTAATTATATTAAAAAGTATTTTATCGCTTCCAGGTGGTTAGGCTCGGAGAGTGTTCTTGCTTTAACGTTCCAACATCTTATTCTGCCAGAGACACATCCACCACATACAGGTATACCGTCTTTATCTTTTTCTTTTCATATTATGTACATTTCGAGAATGATAATAATTCAATTGTCATACATGTTTACAATACAGACAAAGCAAAGAAACTCTTTAAGTGTAGATTTTATTTTGTTTTTTTGCTTATGACATGGGAGGTACAAGCACGGAGTTCACTTGATGATCGGTAAAATACTCCAGCCATATAACATCCAAACAAAATGCGCTGTCGTCCTATTTCACTACACGTATAAATTCCGAACACGATTCCGCTTCTAACACTTATTTTTTTCATTAAACGAAATTTCAGACCTTCTAGAACTTCAGCCACTTCCAGTGACGGCTCTTAATGAACCATCGTACGAAATGCTGTACAACTTTACCCACTTCAACCCCATACAGACGCAGATATTCCATTGCCTTTATCACACTGATAATAACGTACTCCTGGGAGCACCTACGGGTTCAGGAAAAACGATTGTCGCCGAAATAGCGATGTTTAGAGTGTTTAATCAATACCCAGGATGTAAAGTAAGTTAACTTGGCAAATAAGGATCGAAGACGTTTATTAGTTTACAATTCTAAATAAAACTTTTGGTATGGTTTTATACGCGAAATTTGTCTGTTTCCATTACATTAGGGTCACCCTCCACCTTCTCTACGAATCGCATATGGAGATTTTTCTGTATCTCGACTTACTCAACTAGTAAGCATAAACGATCGAGTTTCAAGCTATTAAAATGTTTGATTAAATACCTAAATAAAATTATCTGTCTCTTGCGTCTTGTAACAAAGGGGTTTCACTGTATTTGTAAAGGAAACTAATGTGTTTCTTTTTACTAGGTTGTTTACATTGCTCCACTGAAAGCACTTGTCAAGGAGAGAATAAAAGATTGGAAGGTCAGACTTGAAGAACGACTTGGGAAAAATGTTGTCGAATTAACAGGTATGAATAATGTTGTAGAGGAAGAAAAAAACAAATTGTTTTTGTATACATGTGTGGGTAATATGGTCTACATTCATTAGTCTGCAAATAATAATCGTATTTTATAGGTGACGTCTCCCCCGATATAAGAGCTATAAGGAAGTCCCAAGTTATAGTGACGACCCCAGAAAAATGGGACGGTATTAGTCGTTCCTGGCAAACTAGGAACTACGTACAGGACGTCGCCCTTATAGTGATAGACGAGATACATTTGCTCGGCGAAGATAGAGGGCCGGTACTCGAAGTTATTGTGTCAAGGTAAATTGAACTTTATTTTCTTAGAATACAGCTCTTAACGCCTTAAAACCATTTGAATGGCCGAAAATCTTACACTTTTTTTCATATATTTTACCCTTTTTCAGAACTAATTTTATAGAATCGCACACATCTAGGCGCTTGCGCATAATAGGTCTATCGACAGCTTTAGCCAACGCTAAGGATCTGGCAAACTGGCTTAATATCGGAGAGATGGGACTTTATAACTTTAGACCGTCAGTACGGCCCGTGCCTTTAGAGGTAATATATTAAAAGCTTTGTAGCATGGTAGCTTCAGAACTTTGTCCTTACTTTAAGATAAGTGTCAAATAAAACTTGAGTTTTTATTAGTATCAGAGCATATATACTTATTCACTTGGCTAACAAACGAATGTTTAAAGAAAATAAAGGAAAATGTATGTCTAGGTACACATTTCTGGTCATCCCGGACGTCACTACTGTCCGCGCATGATGACTATGAACAAACCGACGTTCCAAGCGATACGAACTCATTCTCCCTGCGCACCCGCACTCGTTTTCGTCTCCAGTCGACGGCAGACGAGGTAAACTATGCGAACGGGATAACAGATGTCACTTTAGGAATTTAATCCCTTATAATAAAGTAAAATCTCCTTTCTCCCCTCGGGGAGCATGGAGGAGAGACGTCACTGTGTCTGTTTTGTTCGCTTTTATTTATCAGGTAACAAGTTACTTTACCGGACAAAAACCTTTATGTATACCCGGAATTCGACTTGGGACATCTCCTTAACAGAATGAGTTTATTATAAATACATTACTTTAACGGTTTAAAACGCGAAATATATAAGTAAAACTTATTTGAAAATTCTGTATTAGCCGCAGGGGGCTAAGCATTAAAATATTTTTTAATAAGTTTAACTGATATATTTTACGTTTTAAACCATTAAAGTGTTTTATTTAAATTTGTTTTACTCGCATAAACTACAGACAATATCATGAGTTTCTTTATTTGTATATAGTATAATTATTGTATGTGTTAAGCAGTTATTTTCTTTTAAATAAATAATGTTGGAATTTCCTCTGCCAAAGGAAATTAAATTACCTTAATAGGTAGCTATTTTAATTGAACATAAACATTTAAGTAAACAGAGTTACTTAAATTGTGGTTTTTCTTAGGTTAACAGCATTAGACCTAATAGCGTACCTAGCAGCAGAGGATAACCCGAAGCAATGGCTGCACATGCAAGAGATGGAAATGGAATTGATTCTATCGAACATTCGAGACTCTAACCTCAAATTGACTCTCGCGTTCGGCATCGGCATACATCACGCTGGTCTGCACGAAAAGGACAGAACGACGGTCGAGGAGCTGTTCATCAATCAAAAAATTCAGGTTGGTACAAATCGTTACTCGTCGACGTGAGGTGAAGTTGCTTATGTCTTGTCTCTGTCGTCATCAGTTGTGTGAAATCTTAAAGAAGACGAAAAATGTGTTTCTTATTTATGAGTATTTAAATTCAAATACTAACATTAGGTATTATTAATGGTAAATAACACTAACAGGCTCGTTGGTGCAATGGTAGTAATGTAGGGCTAATAAACAACGGGTCAGGGGTTTTGCTCAATTTATATATTTTTTTAATTGTAAATGGGTGGTAGGAATATCGAAATTCCGCCCAGGTCACGAACCAACGTCCACAGATTAAAAATCCGTAAAGTTTAATCATGGTACGGTGTCAGTTGTTGGTTTCCGGATATCTAACGCCAACGACCTATGTTGGCGTTAGATATGAAGCGCTGTTAGAATGTTATATGGCTGAGGTAATTCACATACCTTCGAATGAGCCCCGTGCATGTTTGACCTCTGTCATAAGACAAATCTTTTGTTAATAGAACATATACTAAGATGAAAGAAATCTCAATACTACCATTGCCATACTTGCTACTGTTTTCAATTTTGTGTAATAAATGTACATGTGCCACGTATTTCTATTATATTTGGTCCAAAGTTGTTTGTCAAAACTTAGTATCGTATGGTACAAATTATTTAGTTACTTATTTTAACAGGTACTAATATGCACAGCAACATTAGCTTGGGGTGTGAATTTTCCCGCTCATCTTGTCGTTATCAAAGGGACAGAGTACTTTGATGGGAAGCAGAAGAGGTATGTTGATATGCCTATCACTGATGTACTACAGATGATGGGCAGAGCTGGAAGACCACAAGTAAGTATCGCACTTAAGGTCCAAATTATAGTATATTTAAGATCATTCTTAAATTATTTTAAGCAAAACACTTCTAAAAAGTTACTAAGATTTCTTCTTGGAGTAAATCTTTTGGCATTCAATTAAATCCGATAAAAACACAGTCAATTATAATTGGCAGCCCCAGCTTTCAATCGGATCACTGACACTCCTCCCATTGTTGTCGATGGATTTTCTTCCTTACAGTAAATCCGTCAAAGATCTTGGGTTGCATTAGATTCACCCTATCCTGGTATCCACAATTAAAAGAAATAAGCCGGAAAATGTTTGCTACGGCCTCCAGTTTGCGACGTATTCGTAACTTCTTACCCATTCCCACTAGAATTGCCCTCGCCCAATCCCTTCTCCTCCCTTCTCTTGATTATGCTGACGTGTGTTTTTCCAACCTCTCGACTATTCAACTTGATAAATTGGAACGACTGCAAAACATGGCAATTAGATTTGTGTTTGGCCTTCGTAAATTTGACCATGTTTCTAAATTTCGTCCGCCCTATGGCTCCCTTTTTTAGCAGGAATCTACTGTTCTTTCTCTTCTTTTCCAAATACTCTTCGATCCTAGCTCCAACTTACTGAAAGAAAAATTTGAGTTCCTCTCCGATAAAGGCCTTAATCTCCGGTCAGACGAAAGCTACTTTACTTTTCCTTCTCACTCAACTAGATTCTATAATTCATCCTTTCATGTAAAGCTATAAAACTTTGGAACAATTTACCTTGTAATATAAGAAAAGCCCAGAATCTGCTTCCTTAAGAATCTTGTCAGTCCCACTATTTATGCCTAGTTAAGTAACTTAGTTAAGATAGTAATAATTGATTTTAGGTAACCTTTTGTATTATTGTTTAATTGTATGTAGGTTAATCTTTTTTTGTTAGCAATCCTTTTTTATCACTAATTTTCATCCATAGTTGTGGAAGAATAGCTATTTAGCTATAAAGTCGGTTTGTCCTTAATTTCCATAAATTTTTATATATCTTTTTTTTGTGTTTTGTGACAAGAGTAGTGAGTTCAAAGAATTGATTATTACTATAGATTGGTTTTAGGAATATTGGAATACGGATCTCTATGCAAAATTTTATCACAATCTGTCAAGCCTATTGAGTGTAAAAGATGCACATCGAAACGCTCAACATTCCTTACCTTATTTTAAAATAAAACACTAACGGTTTAAAACGCGATGTATATTAGTTTAACGTCTTTGATAATTATTTTAACTACGCCCGACACTACTTTAACTAATATATATGGCGTTTTAAATCGATAAAGTGTTTTATTTAAATGATATAAAAATATTAGGAGGATCATTTTATGTCGACCGTTTCAGTTTGACAACGAAGGTGTGGCAGTAGTGCTAGTCCATGACCAAAAGAAGAATTTCTATAAGAAGTTCCTGTACGAACCGTTCCCGGTAGAATCTAGCTTACTGCAAGTGCTCGCAGACCATTTGAATGCTGAGATTGTAGCTGGTAAGTGTATATCTTTCAAATGAATACATTAGAACTAAAACCACGAATAACAACATTGAAATGAAACACTTTTAACGGTTTGATACCAGAAACATATTACTTAACGTCACGGCTACTCGAGTTGCGTCGAATTGCAGTTGAAATAAATTAATAATAAGTTATCTAATATATTGCGCGTTTTATAAGTATTTTTATGTACTTGCATGAATTACAAACAATTTTTAAAATTATTAAAAAATATTAAGCCTTATATAACATACATTTTATTTAATCACAGGCACAGTGCATACGAAGCAAGATATTTTGGACTATCTGACATGGACTTACTTCTTCAGACGACTTCTGAAGAATCCAACGTATTACAACTTGGAGAGTTTGGAACCGCAAGATGTTAACTACTATTTGTCCAATTTGGTCCAGACATCACTGGACGCTCTAGTTAATGCCGGTTGTGTGGAGATTGAAGAGGTAAGCGATAAATGATTTTAATTAAACTCACGTTGGATTTTAGAACATCGATCTATAGTCTAACAAATATATTTTTAGTTATATCAATACACTCGCCAACAGCCAAATGGTTAAACGTATTTTCCAGCATTGCGTTAATCGCAAGAGGTCCTGGGCTCGAATCCCAGGGAAACAAAAAAATTGTTTCTTTATAATTATTATTGGTGATTATTTTTCTAATCTACCTTGTCAAAATCTCCTTTAAATAAGTAGTTTAGCGCAAAAAAATTGATAACGTTATATATCTAGTTAAATCTAAATAATATTCATTTACTCAGGACGAACGCACAATACACAGCACTTGGATGGGTAGAATTGCCTCCTACTACTATCTATCGCACAAAACAATGGCCCATTTCACCCAGAACCTACGCAGCGATCTCAACATTGACGCGTTGCTTCGAGTGCTTTCGGATAGTGAAGAATACGCGACCTTACCTGTGCGACACAATGAGGACGTTTTGAATGGGTAAGATTTTATTTGCGATTGTGTATCATAATTTTCTTTCTAAATGTTATGTAAAGCTGTTCGCGGTTAACTCTTTTGTATGCGAATGTACGTGACGTCGCTGACGTAAAATATTTTATTTTTTTTAAATTAAATTAATCGTAAATCAAGGTTACTATAGAATTAGCTCTATATTTGACGACGTTAAATTCAAAACATACCTTTTATCTCTTACTAGCTGTAACAGCGACTTCATCCGCGTAGAATCGTTATTTTGGGCATCCAAATTTGTTTTCGCAAACCTCCTCTTCATCTTTATAAATGTAAGCTTCTTTAAGCTCTTTCATTTAAGCATATATCCATTAAATCTTTATAAATTACCCAAGACATCGGTCGCGTCCCGTTGCTTGGATCCCGTCGTACTTGAAAGTTAATCTTAAAAGATAGACATATAGTATCGTGCACATTTTTTTAGGTAATTTAAAGAGGAATTCATTCTTTTATACATATTTTTTTGGTGTTTGGAACCGTTTTTTTCCACATTTCCCGCCGGTTTTTCGCTCCTTTTAGTCACAGCAATTATTTTATAGCCTTCCTCGAAAATGATCTAACCAACATAAAAATTTGCAATTTTAACCAATAGTTCCTGAGATTAGCGCGTTCAAACAAACAAACTCTTCAGCTTTATGTATTAGTATAGATGTATTCAACGTGTTTGTGTTGGCCTTTAACAGGACCGAAGAAAAAATAATTTAGATGACTACTTTACTTCTAAAGTAATACACCAATTAAAAGATCGTCCTATATATATTGAGATGTTTTTCAGTGAACTGTCGCAATTATGTCGCTTACCAGTAGATGCCCTATCACTTGACTCTTCGCACGTGAAAGCATTCCTACTCCTTCAAGCGCACTTGACACGAGTTCAGCTGCCCAACACAGATTATCTAACGGACACTAAGTCAGTGTTGGATCAAACAATTAGGATAATTCAGGTATTTTAATGCTGATTATCGTAGTTTATAAAGATAAAGGCAAAAGAAAATCCAAACGACTAATTTACTTTATAAAAGACAAAATTTATATAAAATATATTTATTGCCTTCGTTTTCTCTTATATCATGCCAACCTTTTCTTTTACAAAACTAGTACTTAACATAATAAAAATAATTTTCATATGAAAAGATTAATACTGGTATAATAAGAAGAGGAGAGACGAGCATGGGGGTTCCCTTGATGGTAAATGAAATACTCCAGCCACTTAAAATCTACATAAGCTACGCTATCGACCTATTTCGGCTTTGGATGTTCTTAAACCCACAGACCGAAATCGAAACCCGATTAAACTGGACTGTAGTAATTATTATATTCTTGAATTGTATCGGTGGTTTTAATCAAAAGTAACGTAATCCGTAATCTAATTTCACAGGCAATGATAGACACATCGGCGGAAAACGGCTGGTTGTATGTCTGTTTGTCCTGCCAGATACTCATGCAGTCTATCATCCAAGCCCGCTGGCCGGCCGACTCACCCTTAACCACCCTCCCTCATATAGAATCGCAACATCTCTATATGTTTACTCAAATGGCCAAAGATACAAATAAACCTTGCACAATGTTAAACGGATTAAAAGTTGCTTGTATCAGGAAATATGAGGTGCTAGCGAAATATTTGAGACGCGAATTCGAGGAGAGTCACATTGAGCAGATCTATAAGGTAAAAGATAGGAATCATATTTTTTTTTTCGATAATAGATAAGACACATATTGGATGCAGCCAAAAACAAACCCGGAAGAGCACAATGATATATAAATGACATATCATAAACTAATCAATTTGACCCATTAAAATCAGGTTTGTCTTTCCCCGTCATATTAAACCCGTGAATATGTTTTCAGGTAATATGCGACCTGCCCACTGTAAATATTAAAATCCTCGTCCGTGGACTGTGGTTTGATTGTGATCATGAAGAGGATAGACATGTTAAGCAGCCGCCGAACAAGGATCACTGGATGCCGTTACACGCAGATCAGGTACCCTAACTTGATCTATCATGTAAAAATAGTTCTCTATCTATTAAATTATTGCTCCCATATAGTTTTGATTGATATTTCGTTAAGACATTCGAATTTGCATTCTAAAAATTTATAATTTTCTGTATATTATGCGACTAAATGTTTAAATAAAACATTTTTAACGGTTTAAAGTCCAGTTTTAAAGTTTTACAATCCCGCCATTACAACGGCAGGCTGCTCAAAGCTCCAAAGCGTCGCGTCGTAGTTAAAATAATAAATAAGTTTATGTTACATATTTCCCGTTTTAAACCGTTAAGTGTCTTATTTAAAAGTGTAATAATATATTTGATATTTCTCAACAGGAGTACACATTAGTTTTGGAAATGCAACGGCAAGATGGCAACATCAATACTGTGATATGTCCACGTTTCCCTCGCTCCAAGAACGAGGGCTGGTTCGTGACACTGGGTACTGTCGAGTATGGTGAGCTACATGCCCTGAAACGTGTCACTGCTAGAGGGAACTCCTTGGTCACTTTCTATACACCTTCTCAATCAGGTATATGTCCACCAAAATGGCTGAATGAAGCACTATTACTGTAATCATATTAATTTATTTATTATTTTTAACAAAAAATAATACAATGATTATTATGTATAGTATAAAATGATTAAAGGTTTTAGCCCAGTAGCCCCGTCTAGCCCATTCGCTGTAGTTTACTATCGCGAACCTTTTTTTTTAAATTATTCAGAGAAGAATAATTCTTTTATATATTTTTTTTTGGGTAAATTGAATCGTTGTCGTAATACGTGCTTCTATTGGTCACAGCCTGATATTGCATAGACTCGATAAATGGTCTAACAAACACAAAAATATATTTTCAATTACAACAACTAGTTCGTGAGATTAGCGCGTGAAACAAATAAACTTCTACGTTTTATATTAGTATAGATATAAGAATAGTGGGTAATTTATAGCATACCTTATAAGTAAGTCATGAATAATAAAATTCTTTTTAAAGAAATTATTATTCTACTTAAACATTGTTAATCGGTATTAAGCTAAATGTATTGAGAATAATCCACTTAGCATAGCAATGAAATGCTGTTAGTATTATCAGGAAAAAAAATATTTTTTTTTGTTCTTTGAGTAAATCCTAAAACATCAACATACATTAGGATATTACATACATTTCTAGTATTCTAGAAACTAAATAAAAATCAAATTCTTGGTTCCAGGTCGTATTATCTATACATTGTATATCATGAGCGACAGTTACATGGGGTTAGATCAACAATATGATCTTCAGTTCGAAATCATCGACCCTCTCCCCGCTGAAACTGTAGAAAAAGTGTATGATACATCCAATAAAGTTATAATTGAGTAAAACTGTATTTACTGTTAAATAAAACTATTTTTATTCTTGTTATGGCTATAGTTTATTTAAGAATCCTTCGTTTATAATTTCTTAATGTCTAATAAATGTTTAAAATTATTAACACCTAAGTCAAAACAAATAAAAAAAAATAACTTAACTCTATCCTCCATAATATTATCAGTCAAATCACAATGTTAAAAATGTTTTCTTTCACATCCAACTATCACAATAATGGACAACAGTAGAAACATATAAATTTACATATAACATAGAAATTTGCTCTAAAATTGAGAAGCTGCATGTGATAAATACTATTATAATTAATGAATCAGCTTATTAAGAAAAATTATCTAAACACACAAAAGCAGATAATAAGTATACAGATTTATTTGAAAATCATGAAGCTGTATGTGACAGTATGAAGAAATAACTGCTATAATTAGTTAACCAGCTTAAGAAGACGCTATACAATACTTATAAACAGGAAATTTTATAATCATATTATTTTTATCATTAGCGACACTCAACGAAGTCAAATGTAGCACATAACATTTAGTAATTGTCCTTTTAATTCACATCGTTAATAAGTTTTAGAAATCCAAATCAGGCGGGCAAAACATATGGGTCATAGCCATGTACCAAAAATCAATTACTTCTCTGAATTTCTAAAAACTATTAATGAGTCATATTTTAGTATTTAGAACACTCAAACAATATCAAAAATTGTTGGAGTGTTGTTCTCATGTTATTTTCGCTTCTGATCATATTCTATAGCTCGTGCCTCAGATATCAACTGCCTTTCACGGTTCAGAATACCATCTAGTTGCTCTGTAAATGCTTCAAATGAGAATTTGGTCTCAAATCTCTTGCAGCCTGCTTCACCTAACTTAACACCTAATTCTGGGTTTGTAATCAATTTGGTCATAGCCTGAGCAAACTCAAGGCTTGACGAGGGACAAAGAAAACCAGTTACATCATTTACAACAGTTTCTGTTGGGCCTCCACTGTTCACAGCAATAACTGGTTTGCTGTAGTACATCGCTTCCAATGGTACTATGCCAAAATGCTCATTTGATGGTGTATATATTAAAGCATTGCAGTGATAAAGTAAAGTGACTTTCTCAATATCAGTAGGTGATTTCATAAAAGTAACTCTATCCTCAATATCAAGATCAACAGCCAGATCTGACAATTCCATGTAATGCTCCATATTTTCCAGATTAATGGGATCAAAACCCCCAGCCATTATCAAGTGTACTCTGTTCCAGTCATCTTCGTTTAACAGGTACCTTAATTGTTCTACTGCTCTAAGAGCTAACTGTAAATCTTTCTTTCTCTCATACCTATTAATAGAGAGAAATATAAATTTATCTGTACCAACAGGCACAATTTCTTTCAAATTCTTCGGTGATGCATGTTTAAAGAATTCAGTATTAATAGAAGGATAGCAGATGTCAGGAACATCTTTAATTTTTTGAAATGCATCCTTGTACACCCTAGCTGTATATTTGCTGTTTACTAGAACTTTATCTGCTTGGGCAGTGGTTACTTCCTCGAGCCAATTCAAGGGAGCCCTGTATACTTGCTTCAAGAAACCACCTTGAGTAGTCAAGAGTTTGTCTGGGTGATGACAATAAAATACGACTCTGAATGGTCCTTTTGCAAATTTCAAAATTGGAATGCATAATGATATAAGATCACAGAATATAAGGGTCGGTTCCTCAACAGGTATAACGTACCAGGCAAGGTAAACAGCAGCGTAGATCATGCGCAAGTAAGCGCAGGCTGCTTTAAATCTTCCCAGTATAGAGCGAGGAATCCAATCACCCAGCACGGTTACGGGAAACGTGCCATTTCTAGTTTCAGGAAAGCAATGTGAGGGATCGTGGTGGTTGGTAAAAAATGAGACTTCGTGGCCCTTACTTCTAAAAGCTAACGCTGCATCTATTACTAATCGTTCAGCTCCGCCTATGCCAAGGTCGGGATGAAGAAATACGACTTTTACCATTATTATTAAAAATTTACTCGGATTTGAAGAAAATAGTATGATTTTACCCAATAACTATTATTATCGAAAATTACTTCAAAAGACTACTGTCTACCGGCAAAACATTTTGCAACAAATTACAGAGTACAGACTGAGTCAGAGCTACGTTGATATAAAGTTAGCTTGTTACAGATTATTTATGTTTGTTAATCGATTATAGTCATAGAGTATATTTATACATGTTGACAGTCATTCGTTTCAACCAATATTTAATATTTTATTATTTATTAACATCCTTGATCCTACTGTTGAGCACAGGTTTCGCTTATGAAAAGATTATTTTAAGGTATTACTTGGTGTCTATAGACACCGAGCAGATTAAGTTTAAGCTTTGAGAATAACCAAAAGTGATGTTAAAATTTTTCTCTTATACTAATATTCAACATGATAAAGTAGGCTCATGTTCTTTTTTTTTTAACTAATTGGTTTCAAATATGCAAAGTTTTCTTTTGCCTTCCTTTTTAGGTGTCCTTACAAATTGGTATTAAATAATTCAATAAATAGACAGGTACATTGTTATAGCAAAATGTTGTATTTGGCTACAGTTGAACAATTTTTTTATAAATGAATATAAAGTTAAAGTTCATCCTTTCTTTCAATCTTTACTAGATCTACATGGAATGTTAAGGTTGCTGATTTTGGAATCTTTGGTGGAGCTCCAGCCTCTCCATAAGCTAGCTCTGGTGGAATGACTAGTTTTCTTTGTTCACCTTCACACATGCCTATTAAACCTTGATCCCATCCTTTTATAACCTGACCTGCGCCCAAGGTAAAAGTTAAGGGAGTTCCTCTTGGAACAGAACTGTCAAATTCAGTGCCATCATCAAGGGTACCCTGAAGAAAGAAACAATTTTCTGAATAGTAACATATAGTAATCTCCTAAAAACATTAAAGAACAAAATTTAAGTAAGGTCATGATTTTTTTTAATTATTAGTTTTCTATACACGGATCTTTTGAGAATTAAAACTTAATCGTGTAACTCCTAGCTACACACGGTATTTAAACTAAGACTTCTCCTGACACGTAAGTTTATTGTGAAAACAAACAACTTACAGTGTAGTGCATGTGTAAAAGATCTCCTTTTCTACTTTTTGTCGGACATTCTGCTGGTCGTTTCTTAACTCCAATCTGAAGTTTTTTAGGCGTACTACTTGCGATAGCGACGTGTTGAACAACTTCCATGAATATTAAAACAAAGAGTAAAATCTTACAGATCGGGAGCAGATATGCTTTCATAGCGAAAATCTAATTGAATTGACTAATAATTTGACTTTATTGGCACTAGTGTACCTTATTATCTTACAGTCAGTATTAGTTTCAATTTAAATAAACAAGTTGTTTTTAATAAACCAATTATTAATTTGTGTTTCGTCTACAAATTGAGTACGGCTACGGTGTTACCTACTAAAAATAATTTTTTCACATTTATATTTTATAACCACAGAGTAGTCACAGATTTTTAGTTATTTTTAACAGAGGTTACATTATATTTTTATTCTGTAGAGACTTGTAATTTTTACTTCCTTTCCACAGGTTCAGTGTAAATGAGTTATCTGTGCCTGGATTTGTTTTTACTTTATTTACATTTTACATATGTGTTTATATAAAAATGTATGTGTATTATAAAATATTTTCTTACCAAAATAATTCGTATTGAACTTTGTGCAATTGAAGAGTAACTCGATGAAAATACGTAGTTTTCAAGTATATGCAGTTATTTAGCGTTAGCAACATAGATATAATAATATATTTTAACCCGAGAGTTTATAAATAAATAGCAGTAGTTCAACTTTGACTTAATGAGAATTATAACTGAACAAGAACCAAACAAGAAATCCAGTCATGTCTGTGATAAAGTATAAGAAGTTCCTCCTTAATCGAGTTACATGTTCGCCGGTGGTGGTGGATTATTTGGAAAGTTGTTTGATAACAGAAGATAATTTTTCTAAATATAACTTTCATAAAATAATGGTAATTGTCACCATAATTTGAACCCTCTCTCATTGACTTAGCTATGTGGCTATTGTTTCTAGCTATGACTAAAGAAAATTATTAAGAGATAAAGTTGCTGAGTGAAGCTTGTGTTAGGCTACGTTATCTTTAATAATTACTAAATATGTTTCAGCTTCACAATTGGACTGATAATGAAACAAACTTGTATGAAGCATTGAGCACTTTCTACACAGTTTCATTTATTCCAATAAACTTTGTAACACAGAATGGTATTACCACATTTTACACAAGCAGTTTGAGTTTCATACTAAAGATTATAAAAATGGATTTCTTGTTTCCTTATATAAGAAATATGTGCAGCATAGATATACTTTTGAATGATAAAACTGCAATTGAATTGTTTTCATCTCAAGTTTCTATAGAAGAGATTCTAAACAATGTAGTTAATGCCCGATTAGGGATGAATTTTGAATTAAATTTATCCGATTTTTGTAATGATAAAGGTTGGTACTTAGATATCATATTTAATAATTCTATTAAGAATAACAAATTAAACACTGTAAATGCAAGTTTCTATGAAGAGATAAATATTAGCTAAGCTTTACATTTTAATTAAATTTGATAAAATAGTACTATGAATTGTTCCTGTGTAAACATTAAAAAGAATCTACAATTGCTAGGAAGTAAAATTATTTTATTTTCACAATTAAATGACTGCCTTATTACTTTTCAGTTTTTAAAGAAAAGAAAATTCATTTCTATAAATTGAGTCTTCTTGCCCAGTTTAAAATATTAATGTTGAGAATTGGAAAGGAGACGAAATATCTAAAATTGAGTTATAATAATTTAAGGTAAGCTATTTGGATGGCTATACTATTAGTTCATCACTGAGTAAAATGTGTATGCTTATAATTCATGATATAGAAACAAATCTTTCTTTTTTTATATTTAATTCATGCATTTTGGGTTTCAGCCAAGTGCCAATAGAGGTCCTTAACTTTTTTGTTAAAGGAGATTTAATTGGAATAGATTTAAGTTATAATAATGTAAGTAGCCATGTGTAAGATGATGTTATGCTCCTGCTGCTTGTACCTATTATTATGAGTTTTAATCATAAATCATCTATTTCAGATCCCATCACTTATAGAATTACAAAGAATGAGTAGTAAAATTGAAAAATTATGGCTCGAAGGAAACCCTTTGTGTGAACATATTGAGCCATTACACTATGTGAAACAAATTTCCATCAAGTTTCCTAGGCTTATTGAATTGGTATACCTTTTTTATAGATACAATAAACGTTAAAATAAAACTCTTTAACCAGCAATGGTCACGGGAAGTCTCCCTATGACCACTGCTGCTGCAAAGCATCCGAAACGTCGTGCCATAGTTATTATAATTTTTAAATAACTTTAACTAATATATATAGCGTTTTAAACTGTTAAATTTAAATATGTACTACTCGTATAAACTACAGACAGTATTCACATTTAACTTACTAAGAGGCTACTGTGAACTATTGTTAAATAATTAGCAACTTATTTTGAAAAGTGCCATCCCTATTTGAGAATTACCCCTAATTGACTTCTATCACATCATTGTTCTTGACACATTTCGGATAAACAGACATAGCTTAACTAATAGGTTTTATTTACAGACAAGTTGATGATCAAATTTCTGTGCCCGACTGAAACAATCCATTCCCCTTGCATTCAAACCCACAATCTCTTGCGATTAAGAGCAATGCTAGGAAACGTGTTGAACCATTAATTTATTGACTCCTTACTTTATTAGATATTTATTCTTCTGGGTTCACCGTAAATTTGCCCGGAAAATGAAATTTTAAAGAATTTTCTTCCTATTTAGTGATATACTTATATTTTATATTACTTACTTTTATAATAATTTTTCAGGACGGCATTAGAATAAACAATCGCGGCCTCATGTTGCCGTTTTTCAAAACTTATTTAATAACGCCCGGGAACAAAGCGAAATTTATAGTGGAAAAGTTTATTACTTTGTACTTTTCGCATTACGACTCACCTAAACGATCGAAACTAGATTCTTTTTATGACGGAAATGCTAGTTTATCGATTACTACCAGTTTTCCAGGTAGGTTAAAAACTTTATTACCTACATAGTTATTAGTTTGTAAGATTCTGTTGGGCTAACCGGCGGTATTTATTTTTTCGTCAAACGCGCGATTTTATAGAAATGGTGTAGACATTTTTGTTATGGTTTTTGACTTCTGCACAGGATTCGTTCAGCGATAAAGATTCGTGCCGCTACTTATAAATATTCAAACCTATTTCAAAAATCCTTTAAGTGGAAGTAAATTTCTCATTACAATAACCAAAGGATTAGTCCTCACATTACCTAGACTTTAAAAATGTATTATTTGTTTTAATACAGATCTAGACCTAAAGAATACTCCAAAAATTGCCATGTTCAACAAATCATTGCTGGATCCAATAAATAGAGCGCAACTGAAGACTGGCTCATCACCGAACAAATTAATATATTATTCTCAGCGCTCAGTAGTGTCGGTTCTCAACTCTTTACCAGCTACGGTCCATGATAGATCTACATTTACTGTAGATGTACTGCGATATGATGTAAGTAATAATGTTGCCAGTTAAAAACTGTAGTGTGGTAAATAATTTATATCTATTATTTGTTATAGAGCTTATTTCAAAATAATCTATTTTATATTACAGAAGAAAATATTGATCCTAACAGTTGACGGCGTTTACAGAGAGATTAACAGTCCAATGGGCGACAGATTATTTAATTTCAGAAGAACCTTTGTGCTTAACAATTTCATTTCAAATATGTATTCTATATATCACATTCAGCAAGAAATGTTTTCAGTAAGATTCGCATCGAAGGAGGCAATAGAAAATAGTTTCAAAGTAAGTGCATATATATTTACAACTTACCTACTGATGACATCACTGACTAATTGATAACTGTGTTGGATGAACTGGATTCAATCTATGCTTAACAACATGTGTTTGTTTACCTTTATTCCGATAAAAACAAATTAATAATAGAAAATAGACAAATGTGTCTTCTTTGTATCATAATGTAGGGTTTTCATTTTCCCTAAGAATTTAATAGAAGTAAAAGAGAACATGAATTGTGAATATTTTGTATAATACCAACATTCTATGAGATTTATGATTATTTCTTTGATAGGTGCCGATAAGGAATGAAAATCAACTATCTCTTATAAATCCGAATGCTGAAGAACAAGATATAATCCGCAGAGTGTTCTCTTATCACACACGTCTAAGAAAATCAGAAGCTGAAGTGTAAATATAACAAAAAAAAATTAAATCCATATTATAAAACGCGTACTAAACATTAGGACCGTTTTACCCAATTTAATATTTTAATGAAATATATTTTTGAATGACTTGTGAAAACTAATAATTTTTTTACAGCCGCCTGAAGTCACAGGATTGGGATTTAAAAAAGGCGCTAAAGACCTTTTGCGATGATTTCAAGACCGACAGAATATCAGCAGACAAGTTTTCCCCTGATGGTGACCTTTCCGATATATCTATAGACAGTGAAGTCGATTGAAATGTCGAATTACAATACATCTTCAATAAAAATACGGATTGTTATATTTTTTAATAATTAGTAACGTTTAATTCAACGCAATTTTAATACCTCTAATCATGGGGGAAAAATCATATGCTAATGAGAGTTTGACTTAACAGTAACATCCAGCTAAGTGTATTACCTGATAAACCTTTAACTCAAGTTCTACAAAAGTTTTTACGTTAAATTTTAATAACGATTCGAATACGACGAATTATGAATAACGAGTTTGATAGCATATACTACTGCAGAGTTAACTAGATTACAATATCTTTTTAGGTATTTTAATTGAAAAAATAGAGGATAGATAAATTATAAGGTATTCACAAACTCATAATTAGCTTGCGTAATGATTTTATACCGCGTTTTAAATTATTAGACCGCGTATAGCAAGACAAATATGAAACAGTCTGTGCTCTTTGTATCATCTTGCCTTTTTAATGACAGCAACTAGTTGTATTCTAAATTGTAAGGTCAATTGTCATTAATATTTCATAGATGAAACTAAGTTTTCTGTTGTCTAATTTGTTTTGTAATTTGAATGAACTTTTATTTTAACGTGTTCAAATATCTCTTCACGGTAAACCGAACAAATTTTCTAAAACTATTCGAACCAAGTTCAACAGTTTTTAAACACGATAATGTCGGGTAGCTCGATGCAAGGAGCGAATATGCCAACAATAGGAACGATAAACCAAGGAGCAATACAATATGTGAACAATCCTCTTCAAAGCCCACAGCTGCAGTCTTCATCTTTACAAGGGTCTCCGTCGCAACACAGCCCTATGAGCCAAACACAAGTGAATACTAAAAATAACAGTTCTGGAGATCAAACAACACAGGTAGGCTAGGGAGCAGGACTTTAAGCAATATTATTACTTTTATGAACTCTGCTAATGTCCTAATTTATCTCAGACACAACGTTGTTAAACAATAAATCCATAATGTTTAGTATCTCATAATTATTAAAAGAAAACTAAATTTCACACATGGGGGTAGGTAATTAACCCCGAACTTTAAATAACTTTTTCCACCTATTGTTAGCTTTAGTTATATTAAAAAACTGTATACTGTATGTGTAATCAAATTTACAATGGCAAAAAAATAGAAATTGTATAGAACTTCTGTTGAAAATGTTTGTAAACATTTGTTCTTATACCAAAGTCTAGCTTCTGTTGAGACTCTCAAATTAACAGTATACAATTAAGCTTAGCACAGAGGTAACTACTGTCAGTATATAAGGTGATTTAATGTTGAAATAATGGGAGTTTTAAATAGTATAATATTACAGATTTAATAGGCTTTACTTAAAAAGACTATGACATTAATATAATTAATTTATATGCCATATAAATTAATTATCTACAAAATCATATGATTTTTTTTCTATTTTTTTAGCTTCTGAGTAGGCCTCGATTGCAAGAATTAGTTAGAGAAGTAGATCCTACAGTCCAACTAGATGAGGAAGTTGAAGAAATGTTGCTTCAATTAGCAGATGACTTCATTGACACTTCTTTAAATGCTGCCTGTTCCCTTGCGAAACACAGACATGCTCCATCTGTGGAGCTTAGAGATGTACAGTTACATTTAGGTAGCTATTTTTTTTTTTTCATTTAGCAATTCCATAGAGTAGTTCTCTTCCTATACAATGTTAAAACATCTAAAGATTTTTATAGTATTGATAGTCATTTATTGAAAATTTACAGGAAAGAGTGAGATTTGTGAAGTAAACTTTAAAGATCAGTTAATTAAGATATTTAAAAGTCCTAAGCAAAAATAAATCAACACCAAATTATTATTGAACTGCTTCATCGTGTGTTAAAACAAACATTAAGATTCTTTGCCTGGTCTTATTCAGTATTACCTTTTAGTTAATCTAAGTTCAAAAGTTTATTACTTTCTTTTGCAGAACGGCAATGGAACATGTGGATTCCTGGTTTTGGTAATGACGAGTTGAGACCATACAAGAGAGCAGCTGTCACTGAAGCTCACAAACAGAGAATGGCTCTTATTAGGAAGACTCTTAAGAAATATTAGATATATAGAATTTTCTAGAAATACATTGTGAATAAAACATTCTCAAAATTTAGTTTAATAATTAGACGTATTTCTTCCTTTGGGTAAATATTTTTTTGCTTAATGTTAAGTTAAAATTGGAGTAAAATAAAAAACTTTTTGCACAAACACACATTTAATTGTGAATACTGATTAGTAAGATTGCAGTACAACCACAGAAACATATAAAATACATTAAGTACTTCTCAATCACAGAATAACTTAGCAGGTAAATAAAAACTATAATAAATGTCACACAATGATCACAGAATTCAATTATATGTATTAAAAAATTCAGGAATGTCCCTTACATATTTATGAAAGTCGGTTCAACTAAACAAACACTCAAAAGATTGCATATCATTTGCTTTCGGTCTGTTCGGCCGACGTGAGCGAGAAGAGGTTCTCGGCGTATCGCCATCACGTGCGAACGGAGATCATCAGGAGATATTAACTCCTGATGCCATCCGCACGTGATGGCGAAACGTCGAGGACCTGTTCTTAGGCTTACCCATTACCTATTCTATTGATAGGTGACTTTAGAATACATAGATAATTTAAAATTTTAACAGCATGGATGATGTGCATTTAGAAAAACTAATCATATGAAAATAAATATCAACTTGAGAGCAACCAATATAAAATTAACCTCATTAACCTATTAATTATTAGAAAGAAATGTTATATTCTACTAAAACACGCATTTAACATATTATCCTATGAGTAAAAGTGGCTTAAAGTAATATTGGTATTGTGATACATAATGTGATAGTGTCCAAAGTTGCAATTTCTTCTATAAAATACTGTTACATTCTATCGCTACCTCATTATAAGAGCTAGCGGTAAGGATCCTGCTACTTACTTAAAACATTGCTTTATAAGCTATCAATACTTGAAGTATTTTAGAAATGCAAGCCTTTTCTAGGCACTAGCTTAATCCAATGGATATTCTCAAATGATTTTGGTGTTATTATTCTTCACTGGATGAACCTTTGTCAGCAATGTAGAGCTGGTCAGATGGGTCCAACTTTTGCCAATGCAGGTGTTTAGACTTGATCGTCACAGGTTCCTGTAGAATAATTAGTTTATTAATATGCATAGCTAACGAATTTATATTATGCTCATTATATTAAAGTACTGTATTATGTCATGACTCCACAGACAAGTAGTAAAAAGGTAAAATAAAAATTTCTAATTGATTTATCATGGCTCTTTTTACAGGGAAAATAACCCTAAGTAGTGGCGTAAAAATTGGGTACATACATATAGCAATACTGAGAAAAATACACAATTATGTTTACACCTATAAAGATATAAAAATAATTGTGTATTACTTCATTAACATATTTGTATAAACAAATATAAACACAAATACAAATAAAAAGTAATAATTTTAAAATAAATGCCTGCTTAATAAACTTTTCAATAAATTCGATACTTTTTACAACGGTTCCATGGTGTAATGGTTAGCACTCTGGACTTTGAATCCAGCGATCCGAGTTCAAATCTCGGTGGAACCTATCTTTTTATTATTTTTTTTTTTCAGATACGAAAACCTTCGCTTTAAGTTATTCATATTAATATATATAACAAAAATAATGTGAGACAAAGACTATTAATTTCTTTCAAGGAAAAAGAAGCCATTCAAGAAGCCTTACCACAGGTAATAAGTTTATATATAATCGATATATGTCTAGTATTGTGAACATTATGTTTTATATTGTGATTTGGTACTTATTTTAATTGAGGTTAGTATATAATTTTAATTTTGCTCGTAACAATTAAACGTACTATGTAAATAGTATTAGTAATTTTTAATATTACAAAATGTATATTCATGCACAAACAGCTGTAACCTTGTTTCGACTTTTTGTAACCTTACGTGACAACTGTATACAGTTACTTAGTAATCAACGTGTATAGTATTTATATAGTAATACCTGGAGTGTAACGCGATATGTGACATATTAACTACATATTTTCATCAACCATTGAAGTTTAAGGATAGAGGTTTTTGTCTATTTTTAAAGTCCTTGCGTTTCTGACCACAGCGTTCGGGGCCGTGGTCATAGGTTGAAATTCAGCCTGCCCCAACAAAGCTTTTAAAATACTTTTTTTTAATAAACTTTTAGAATAGTTTTTGAAAACTTTAATGTTTTTCACATGTTATTGCACATTGAAAAAAATTACGACTCCGGTAGGACTCGGTAGCTCAATTGGTAGAGCAACAGCACAGAACGCTGACGATGCCGGTTCAAGTCCTGCCCGAGTCGAAAATGTTTTCAATTTATTTACGATTTCAAATTATATAGTCTCTAGTTATTTTGCAACGTTTTACATCTTTAAATAGACATTATTATTTTTGTATATGCTTATGAATTCGTTATCTACATTTATAACAACGCAAACGATAAACAATAGCGCACGTAACACGGTACTGTACCTGCGTTATCATTACTACGTTTTTATTATTTAAATCATGATAACCTTTGAGCTTAAGTATGTATTATAATTTTCCGGACGCGACCAATCGTGAGCAATGTTTAAGACACACCCATATTTTAAATCGTAATTAATAAACTTTATAATAACAACCTTGAAATAACTATGTCATAAGAAAATATTACATAATATAATTACTTAGCGATTTCTGAGTCATAGTTTGTTACATTTATTTTGCAATTAATATAGCTTATTAATGCTCTGTATTAGGTTCTATCTATACTAATATAGAGCTGAAGAGGTTGTTTATTTGAACGCGCTAATCTACAACTGGTTCGAATTGAAAAAATATTTTTTTTGACTAATAGGAGCGGAATAAAAAGCGGGAAATGTAGAAAAAAAACGCGGCGAAAAGGAAGAAGAAAGAATTATTCCTCTTTAAATGATCTAAAAAAGGTTCGCGATAATGACATAATGTTTTGTTCAGTAGTAAAAATCACGGTCTATAACCGACGGATCGTAGATTTATCAATTCAACAGTTATGTAATCATAGAATTACCACTTCTATTGTTTTTTTCCTTCGATTTTAATTCTGTCTGATACTATTATTTAAAGTAAGTAAAAACCTATGAGTTATAATTGTCTCAATAAAAACTGTTTCATTAGCAATTATTACCTCGAGTAGTTATGTACGCGGAAGTTAAAGACTGATTAATCGAAACGAAGAAGATGATCTTAGATCATGTAAATTGTCCTCTATAAGTCCTGGTAGTGTATTTTCAACTGGACCTGATAACATATGCTATGACTTTTAAGCCCTTAGTAATAGAACTTAATCATACTGACTAAATGCGTGTTGGTAGATGACACGTATCAGTTTAGATAAACTGGATTTCTCGTGTTGCCTTACTTCAACGGAAAGCACGTACACAAAGACATGTAGTTCAAAACATGAAGATCGAACACTCGACTTCGGATGATGGTAGGGTGCATACACGTCTAGACCAAAATGGTCTTCTCGATGTTATGTACTTAATAAAGTGAATTCTATTTAAAAATATTTTTAGTTAATAGGACGTTGTATGTCATTTTACATTGCCACACGGTTTCGGGAAAAGTGCCAAAAACTAAATCTAGGTTCAGATAATTTGTATTTGTTTAGGCATTGGCAACATAAAATGCCAAAGTGCGCAAGATTGCGTAAATAATTAAGATTGCTATTGATAGCACCGATCATCGTTATTAATTAACGAAAAAACAAAAAAGGTACTACGTATATTGTATTTGTTTTTATGATAGAGGGGGACAGCCATATAACAACTAAACAGTCTGCGCTGTGGACTAAGTTTGATTTTGAATATTCAGGAAAATATAGTTATAACATGTAGAAAATCGTTAAGCATATTCGCGCAGTTATAGTGATAAGAAAAATATTATATCTATATATTATGATTATTTAAATTATGTTTACTACAAATTTGGCCTCGGCTAGAGGTAATGAAAATAAGTACTATAAAAAATATACATCGAAAAGTCTAGAACGTAAAAGGCATCCGAAGATTATCGTTTAATGAGAGTTTATCTTTATACCCTGTTTTATAAACAATTCTATTTTTGTTTTTCTTTAGAAAATAGGTATCTTATCTTAATCACACATGGGCCCGATTGATACTACAGTTACTGAAAATCAATGGCATTGATATAGACTGAACGCGCTATAATGGACTGTGACATATAAGTTTATAATATGTATTATTAAATAAAAAGATATAACCTTTCAGCTAATTAGATTTTAAATAAGAAAAAGAAAGAATAACTAGTAGGTGCAATGTGCAGTTTTAAACGATCTAAATATTTCTACAACAATAGAAACTTTTTACCATTTCTTTGTAGTTAAATAAATATTCACGGTGAAGCATAAAAAGTTACATAACTTTAGCTTAAGATATGTTAATTAGAAGAATTCCATAACACCATACACACTATTGTTTAACGTAATAATAACATGTTTAACACACTTAGCACATTGTTGTTATAAAGTCCACTGTTTTACAATGATATACCTACACTATATTTATGAGCAGTGAATTAATTCACTGCATTTTTATAACCATTTTGCATTGTATTCTAACTGTTGTAAAAATTTAAAAATGAAGCTTATAAAGAGTTGTTGATTAGGGCCCCTATCAAATTTAATTCACCTTCTAACATTTTAACATTTAATACCCGTTTAAAATAAGGCCTTTTTTTATTGCCCTTGTCATTTGATCTTGGATATCATTTGTAGATTGTATTTAACTATTGAATGTTTATATATTATATAATCTTATCATAAAGCCAATGATATTAATATGACTAAGTAGGAACATAATATATTAAGAATTATTTATGATTCATTAACCTATCTTTCTAGATATCTTACATAGACAGAACAAATTCCAAACCATGCTCACGATTTTTCATTTAACAATCAATACAAAAAAGAGCAGTGCTGTGTGGATCAGCTTTCTGTGCCATAGCCAATCTCGTGAACAAATTATTTCTGATACAAACCATTACAACCAAAGCATTACAACTAAGCTTGAAGGCCATATTAAGTTAATAGAATTTATTGCCGATTAATAGGAATAAGAATATATATACTCACTCGTGCAATCAGCTTTCCATCATCACCAATCAAGAACTCTTCCAATCCAAAGACTAAGGGTGAAGCATTCCCCAGATGGAAAATCCTTGACGATGTTCCTCTTGTAACTCTGAACTCTATTGTCTTGGCAATGAGTACATTTGTGATCATGTACACAGATTTCTTGCCTTTAAGCTCTACAAAAAAAACAAAAGGAGTATTTATATGATTCCTATATTTTTTAATTTTCCTATTAAATGTTTATATGTTGTAGGTTGACAGGGCATCTAGTATGGATGTTATATGGATAGAGAACTTCACCTTTCATCATGAGAACACCATGCCATTATCTGTTCGCCTTTATTAATTCTACTTTCATGTGTAGTTTGCACACTCTTTTTTTACTCAAAATATACTTTATTAATAAGCTACAGTTAGCTTATTATAGTGTGTGATATAAAATAAAGTTATAGTACTTTAAAAATCTAGCTCTATATATTAAATTTTTACTAAGCAGTAAGGCTATAAGTATAAGGAATTTGAAAAAAAAGGTACCTTTATGTTTATCAATGTCCAAATAAATATTGTTCACAAGATCCTTGTCTTTAGGAACTGTTGCTCTGGTGAAATTTACCATTATCACTCTAACTTTGTTCTTGATTGATTCATCTTGCAGGGTTATCTGAGTGTTTAAATATTGTCTGGATTAGGATACTGGCCCCATATAATATTTAAATTTATTTAGAAATCAGGTGAATTAGGTCAATCCTCGAGGGACAAACAGAGGTCAAGTGGTAGCAATAATTGTGAAATATGACGGGAAAACTTACCTTTACGCTCTCATGGGGAAACTTGAATGTAGTATCCTGAAAATCGGTTTCTCCCAGCCAATTGACGTAGCTAGGACTCGATTTGGTTACGTTTATATTCTTTTTTAGTTCTCCAAGCGGCGTGAACATTTTACCATTCATTGGCTTATCATTGGGAACAAAGAGGGACGTTACTTGGTATAGATCAGCCTCGGTTATGTGCGGAATACACACGAGCTGACTGCTTCCAATCTCTGTTTCAATTTCCTCCCGTATAAAAGGCCACGCATCCTCAAGCTTCAGCGACTTCAAATTTTCCAAACTCACATCCTTTCGTATTTCGTGCGAATACAATGATTTTACCACAACTTTTAATTTCTTCGGCATGTTTAATACAAAATTGAATAAACAACGATTTTTAATTCCACGGCACGATACCACACGTTTAAAACCAATGGTTGTCAAAATGACACTATTTTTTAGAACTACATTGAACACTAACTGGTGATTTGCGAATTACTGCAACTTATGACAAAGAAGGTGAATTGAGTCATAGCACTGGCTAAAGAGAGACGAAGCATACTCGTAGTGTTGTCACTTTATGATATATAATTTTACAAAATATAATTTTTAAATCTATATATCGATATGTGTCCTCGAGTACGTATATTTCATATATTTTGTATCGTTGTATTTATAACTATACTTAGATTTGAATCTTATCACATTTATAAAGTGTATGAGGGAACTTCATACCTAATCATTTATCGAATCAAACAGGTAGGATCCTAGAAGTGGGGAAAATTGCAAGTGCAGCTCTTGACACTCGTTTTCCCCGAATACAGCGTCACGCAGCGTTCACGTTTCTTTCACGCGGCGTTCGTCAGATCTGTGCATGAGAATTTGGTTTTTGCTATGTCCCGAGTCACGTATTCGTCATCAACACGTCCCTTTCGAGACAGCTTGGTTTTTTATGCTGTGACGCTCCATTTAACGTAAACCTCATGATGCAGTCGTGCTCAGCATCTGGCTTTTTGCGTGATGTTACGTAAAACCGTTTTAGAAACGCTATTCGATTCTATTTTCATACTTCAGGTGTGAGAAAACTATTACCATTGATCGATAATAAGGTTACAGTTAATTGCTTTAAATATAGACTTAGAACAAAAAATATGAATCCAAGTCAACTAAAATAATATTTGAAAACTTTATTTTTTTCACACGTTATTGCAAAAGAAGGCACTATATAATTTAAAAATCGAAAATAAATTGAAAAAAAATTCGACTTGCGAAGGACTTGAACCGGATTTTTTTTGGGGGCCTAATTAATAAAAAGCATGTTAAGTTAATATTCAATTATTTTATATTTTTATGTTAAAGCTGAGAACATTAAACCATTGTTACAATATAAAATGAGATTACAGATAATTATGACAGCCTCTGTGTTAAATTGAATTGAATTGGAATGTACTAAGCAGAAAGATTACACATCCAAAACATTAGGTATCTTTTTGTTATAATTATAATATATTTATGTTTATCAATCTGAATGAATAAAAAATAAATTACATATAAAAATGTCATAAAACACATGCTCCCTAAAATAATTCTTATATTGATACTTCTTGAAAAACATCATTGCTTTCAAAGCTAAGCGATATATTCCATGTGATAATAGTGTTATGTTAAGAGACACACATTAAGCTAAAAGTGCATAAATAACTTATCTATGCCATGGTAGAAAAGAATATTGCCTATGGCAGTGTAATTTTAGCATACAGTCAGTTATGTCTGAAAAATTTTGGTCAATTCTTTCTACCATTCAAAATTAATTATATTCATTTTTTAGCCGGGGTTGTTGGTTGAAAGACAGATGATGCTGACATGAGATTTTCAATGTATTGACCTAATACTTGATTTTCAGAGCGTAGCTTTAGATTCTCTTCTTTGACTGAGTCAACTCTTTGTGATAAGTCTGAAATGAAAACAATTAAAATTATTATTTAACTGTAAAATTTTCGTGTTCTCCAGCAAAGACGTCAATAAATTAAGAACTAGATATTTCACGTTTATACTTTTGCTACTGCTTATGTCATACCATCCAAAGTGTTCTGTAGCTCAAGAACTTGCGAGATCAGGCGCGCTTTTTCTTCTTGTTCGTCGATACCGGAATCGGGCTCGAAGCTCGGTGGTCCATTTAGGCCAGGACTTGATGAGCCAGTGTATGAACTTGGTAAAGAATCCATTGATCTTCCATGATCCAAACGGTTGTTATCGACTTCATCGCTTATAATCACTTGGGGATCGTCGTCGGCTAATGGTATGTTATCGTCTCTTTGAATAATTGATGACATTGTGAAGCTTTTTCTTAGTTATTAAAAGATTTTTTATAATTTTCTTTTAATTCTAGGTCAATGTAAGAAATCAATATTGACTGTAAATAAATAAAACCTGCCGTACAGCTGTCAATGTCAAAATGATGACAGATATCTTTCCATACATAACGTCAGAATAAATAAGTAATCATATGATATTTACAGACTATTAATAACTAATTATATAATTAAAAATTTAATCCCCATACTAAACTGTAATTTTGGACACATTTTTTTGGGAATATTTGAAAAGGTGCGATTATGCGTACTAATCATACTATTGTATGTATGAATGTTAAAAATCCAAACCACAAAATAAGAAACTGCACACTTACGAAGTTGTAAGTATTTACTAGTTTTGCCAAATAAAAATGTCATAACATAAATATAAATAATAAAAAAATTGGTATATCTAAAAATCTTTAATAAAAATTAAATTAGCTAACATTAGATTTAGAATCTATTGTTTGTAGAGAAACCTTTTTCCGTAAATCACGAATTTGTACTGCGCTAGCGAGTTGCGCAGCACTCTTAGCTAGTACTTCGGCCTGTAGTTTTTCCCGTTCATTTCTGTAATATAAAGTTTTTGGTGAAACAAAGTTGAATTTCTTAAAAGACACATTCAACCTATTTGCTTGTCATGGAAATATCATACAAACACTTACTTCAAATGTTCAAGAACCCCAGGCTGCCAACGTGGGTGCTCGCAAAGTTTTAATAATCCTCGGCTTATTTCATGCCACTGATTTTCTCCTAGTTTTTCTAATTGGGCAATTGTTTCTTCATAATTTTCTGTATTGGGAAATGTTTTATATAAAAAACTAAAAGAAAATGACTTACATAAAAATAGAATTGAAATGCTATGTAATCTTACCAATCAGATCTCTACCATACTGAGTTGCTGCATCTACTTGTTGAACCCAAATTGTTTGTTTTTCATGCTCAAGGGCTTCTAGTTCTGCTTGCTTATTGGCAAGTTCCCGTCGAAGCTATATGCAAATGTAACAATGTAAACATTATTGAAAAAATAATAGTTTTAAGTATATATATAAATATCATATTATAATCTTATGCAGTAAGTAAATCACCATACCCTAGTATTAGTCTGTTTCATCTGAATGACATTTTTTGCCATTTCTTGTCTTTTATCTTCTACTTCTGCAAACACTGAATTCCCTTTTACAGCTACAAAGAATAAATATAATTAACAATAAGCTATAAAAAATTTGCAAACTAACTTCATATAATGACCAAATAATGTGTGAACATCATTTTCACTTTTATTTAACAATGTGATCAACTTGTAATTACCGTGTGGCTCTAAATCAACTGATGGAACTTGATGAAGCATGGCTTTAGCTTCGGCCAATTCAAGCAGTGCAGTTGCTTCACGTTCAGTAGCATTTCTTATTTCCTCTCTACGAATATCAGCAGCAGCACGTATTTCACCCATTTCAGTTAACAATTCATCAACTTTTGACTGCCATAATGAACTTTCTGCTTTTACTTCATCTAAGGCGGCTTTCACCGATGCTGACTCGCTTGTGGCTAACGTCAACTTATTACGGATTTCATCAATTATCTCTGAATTCTTTTCAGGTGATTTATTATTAAATGCCTGTTCTTCTTTTAAGCGCTGATTTTCCTTCTCTAAAACTTGAACGAGTTCAATGTTTTGCTCAGCTGTTTGAGAACATTCCGTTTGCAACGCAGATATTTCATCCTTAAGAAAAGAAATGCGAGATGTTAGTTCGTTTTTTCGTTTCTGTTCCTCTACTTGATATGTTTCGAAATCTGCATTTAATTGACCTTCAACGTCGAGAGCGTTTTGAAAATTTCTTTTGGTCTCTTGTAGTTCGTGTTGTAAGCTATCAAAATTTCGAGCTAATATATCGTATTGCTTTTTTAGTGAATAATAATTTTCGTTCATTATGGATTCTTCCATATCAGTTTTATTGCCAAAAGTAGAATTCTCCATTTTAAGAATAATAAAGCACTAATACGTAACAATTACAAACTTCGTTATTATAATATTGAACAACTTTATATTTCTGTACAAAAATAAAAATTAACGTTTGTTTTGAATTCTTTCAACTTTAATATACATAGTATATAATACATACCTAACAGTGACTACAGATTTTAAGTATGAATCTGCGTAAATGTATTATATCCAATCTACATTAATTATTAATCTGTATACATTTGTTGTGACAATTGACAAATACAATACATAATATTAAATCTATATATATATATTGGCCATATTACAGTTGCGATACATACATACAATACTTATGCACAATATATAATTAAATGAAATGCTGGAGAAATCAAGTTTATTGAATTGATCTCAATATATTCTAGCCTGACGTTACGGTACAATGTCGTTAGTGTATCGAAAATCTGTAGATCTCCTAACAGTGGCAAAATGGATAATGCGAAGAGGTTATATATTCTGAATCAAATTGTATAAGATCTACAATAGCAGGTTCATTTACTTTTTACTTTATTTCTAGAAATACGTTCCCTTTCTTCACTACCCGAGAAGGCTGAGGAAAAGGATGTAGCTGTAGAAGAAAAGCGACACATAGGGCGCCGACCTCGTCCTCAGAACCCAATGCTGGAGTACAGAAATGTGTACCCAGAATTTTTACCCGATCCCAATCCTAACTGGCGTAATAGTTTAAGAGAAAAACTTGAACGGGTTGATATGCTCAAAAGGAGAAATCAGATAAATATTCCAGAGTTTTATGTCGGTATGTTATTCATAAAAGTTCATAAATAATATATGTACCTATATGATGATACTTATATATAATATTTCATAAAAGTAATTTACCAGACAATTATTAATTCAGTTATTTCATCTATGAAATAAAAAAATATACTTTATTCTCTTTAAAATTTTAAAAATCATTCAGATTTGTCAAAATTGTTTTGTTTGTCTGTCTGTTTGTTGTGATTCTACAGTGTGTTCAAAAGGGCAACATGAAACTGAGTGGAACACCCAAGAAACTCAGTCTGGCTTTTTTTAACATATTGTGATTTTATAAACTTAAGCAATTAATTCCATTCATATTACTGCCAGGCGGTCTTGTCATTAAATAAATTTTCTAGACAATAATACGCCTTTTGAGATAATCTAAAATTTATAACTTTTTTAAATTTATTTATCGATAAATTTGAAACTTTAACTGGCAATGTTAATTATACATACGAATACAATTCCCCGCAAATGAATTAGACATTTTATGGAGCCTATATTTGGGGATAGCTAGGTTATCCTATGTTAAAAATTACTTTTATAAGTTAAAATTTCAGGATCAATACTTGCAGTAACAATATCAGATCCTCATGCTCAAGGCAAAACAAATAGATTTGTGGGAATATGTATTGAACGGAAAGGTTGCGGGCTCCGGGCAGAGTTTACTTTAAGGAATGTTGTAGATCATCAAGGTGTTGAGGTAAGGGTACATTTTTGAGAGGATAATATGCACTTAACTAAATAACTGCAATGCAATTTGTCATTGTTGTAGTTTAATTTTAATTAACATATTTAATGATACATTATTTATATTATATTGACTTGGTATGTATCTATCTATCTCAGTGGTACAACAGAAGTAGATATAAAATACAGTTAAACTAGTTATGTGTATGTATTTTGTGAATTAGATTTAAAAATGTTTGAGCATTATTAAAGTAATATTTTTTTGGCTTTTTTTAACTCCCTTACACCTCAATTTCTAATTTTATCTTTTAGGTTAGGTATGAATTGTATGATCCAACAATCCAAACAATACAAGTTTTAAGACTTGAAAAACGTCTTGATGATAAGTTGTATTACCTTCGAGATGCCCTACCCCAGTACAGTACTTTCCCATTTGATATGGATCCTGAAATACTGCCTGAAGGTACACCTGTACCAATTAACCCAGTGCAGGTAATAATTTAATATATGTACTTGCTAGTAATAGATGTAATATTATTAATAATATTTGTTATGAGTGAATTTTTATAGCTAGAGTAGACTCAATTATAGACTTGGCAGTAAACAAATTAATGCAGTTTTGATTATGTAGTTTCATTGTATTAAATGACTGCATTTAATACACAAAACTACATAACTTTGTACTGTACTGTACATAACAACCTAGTCTGTACTTGCATTTAAAAGGTCAAGTACAGCCAATTATTTACTCTTTCATAATAAAATAAAAAAACATTTTTTCTATCAAAATATTGTTAATCACATCCTCTAACACTTTTCTCAGGTTGAATTAAAACCAAGGCCATGGCTAGAAAGATGGGAGAGACAAGAACTGAAAGGAATATCTAATATTGAAGAGTATTTAAAAGAAAAAGATAGGGTAAGAAGGGAATTAAGAAAAACTCCATGGGAGAAGTACGACCTTATGAAACAATACAGGTAAATTTTTCTTTTTTATATTTTATTTATTCTCATTAAAAGCTCTGTTCTCAAACTCGTAAAAAAAGTCTATAGATAGCAAATACTAATATTAAATTTACTGTTTCAGAAAAACTATACCAATTGAAGAACAAAATGAAATTTGGGGTGAAGTTTACAATCAGCTTCAACAAATGAAGACCTCGAAGAAGAAAATTACTCGAAAACGGGTTATGTCGGCACCCAAATCACAGCTTGGATAGACCACTAATCTTAAAAATTATAGCTAGTACAATAGAATATAAATAAACGTTAATAATCATACGTAATTTAATTTATTGATCAAAAAAGTTTTGATTATTATTGGGATAAAACGCCATCTAGTAATAGCAACAAACACTTTCAATGTGTGTGACAGTTCCCGGACTACAAAGCATAAACTCAACTTCAAAACCAACAACTGTCAAAAAAGCAAATGTTGGAATTAGTTGGTATTTTAATAGGATTATTGAATGTTTTTCAAACAGAAATCGTATATGGAATAGGCCTTAATTAAAGGTTTATGGGATTTTGTAGTTATACTGTGGATGTGTTATGTGTTGCGTGTGATAGTGTTTAATATTCGGGAGTTGAATGTGTGTTCCATTATATATTTTTGCACTTTGCGTGGTGCATTCCCGGTTATCCGCACCTGTCGCCGGGTAAGCTGTGTTTACTAATTACTAGATTCTTATGTGCCTAGATGAAATATAACACATAAATCTATACGATAACAAGTAGACCAATAGACATATTGGTCAACAATCCACTTTTGTTATGAAACAAAAGTTCTTACTAACTGCATCAATAATGCAACCTTGATTTATTGATTACCACTTTAGCACGTTTTTAGCATTGTTTCTTTATAAGTTTCATCGACACATTTGTTTCAAGAATATTCGCAATTCTTAATTACAATTTCTTTTTTTCACACTAAAGTTTAATGAAACACACAATTTTGTGTATGATATAATTAAGGGTGTTAAAGATAATTCAGGTAAATTGAGGTGTTACAAGAGTTTATGTCAAATGGCTTTGCTTAATCAATATAATTTTTATTTGATGAAATTCTTACCTTTCCACATTTGCCTTGTAATTTTGGGGTTTTTGTTTAAGTTTCTTTAAAATGTCTTAGTTATTTAGCTGAATTGTAAAAAAAAATGTATTATTTATGTTGTTAAGCATGGGGACTATGGGAAATAAAAATAATCTATCATGTATAACTATCTATGAAGCATTGTGTATCTACCATAATTACTTGAGACTTTCAAAGTAACCCATTCAAGGTCTAAAGCAGAACTGGACAATCTTACATGAAAGGTGCATAGGTATATCTATATCAACTAAGTATCTACTGAAATAAACTATACAAGGTTTTATATTAAACTTAAAAATGTTTTGTAGTTGCAAAGTTAATACCATCAACTTGATAGGCTCATTGGTCTCATGGTAGAAATGAATGGTAATATCAGCGGGTTCAATCTCCTCCGGGTCCAACATGGCTCTAATGAATTTATAATTTTTCTGAAACAAATTACACTTTATTTGGTAATCTGGATATTAAATGGGTGGTAGGAATATCAAAATTCAGTCTGGGTTAGGAATCCTATCCACTGATGAAGAAGCCCTAAAATTTAAATCACGTTTTGGTATCCATCAGTTGATTTCTAAATATCCAGAGCCAAAAATAGGTTGACATTTACAGACGTTATATGGCTGGATTACCTTCTACCAAGATTGCCCTGCTTGTCAGTCCTTTATCATAAAAAAAATCAACATAGATTATATATGGAATCTTTATGAATTATCTTGCTGTGTTTGGAATGTATATATTACTACTAAATCTTATATTATGCATTTATGTTACATGTCATAAAGTACAAAAGGTCTCAAAAATCATTCTGATACACTAAAAAATGTTATTGAGATCTTCTAAGGTCTTCAGTTATACACACCATCAACTTTTTGTAAATAAGCATTTTAAAAATTTAGGGATGTGTGTACAACAAGATCAATTTTTAACAAGAATTATAGTATGTATGTATAAGTTGTTTATTTTGCCAATCAGTTTTATTTACTTATAGGCAATCACCTTGTGTACTCTGCTCGACTGAAAAAAATTGTTGTTCTCATGTTTAAAGTATAGTTAGGTAGTGCCCTGAGCCACAGACACATCCTAGTTAAAGCCAATCTAATTACACTTGGTAAGTTTTCACCTATGACAATGGAATTTGTTTCTAACTTTGTGTCGGTACCACATTCACAAGTCTTTATGAATGCATTTCTTGAAGTAAACTGAAAATAGATAGGTCCACGTGGTTGAGGTCGGCGCCCGATAATCCCTAACAAGATTAGACGTTTGTGCAGTGTCGAAACTATCGTTACCCCATCCAATTACTGACCTACTTCTGGTATAATAAGTATTTTTGTATTGGTGTTGTTACGGTACTAAGAAAACAGAACTGACTGTTAAATAATTTAACTTTTTTAATTTTTTTTTATTTATTTTGTACACCAAAACTAATATACAACACAATTTAAAAACATTTTTTTAAACCGTTATAACGGTTTTTTATCTGTTACTCGGGTCATATAGACTCCAATATTAACTTATTTTAACTAAAATTAACTTAAAAACTAACAATACAATACAACTGTTACGCAAATTTTATTTATGAATCTCGTTCACTGTTTTATGCTTTTTGTATGTTTCATATAAACAATTTATAATGAATTGAGGTGCAAAACAATTTCGTGATATTAATGTTTGTAATGGATCCTTATGTTTCAGTAATGTAAATAAAGCATGGTAATAAATTTCTAGAGTTTTTTCCCAAAAGGCGTTTTAACTTTTTGGCAACTAAACCAGTTTTAAAAGGTTCTACTATTAATAGTTCTTTGGTCTGTCTGTCACCAAGTAAGATCTAATGATGGAAAAATAACGTGAGACTGTTAACACTTGAAAAAATGATAACTAAAGACAAATATATGTAAATGTAATATGAAATCTAGGTATCTATCTGTAGTTTTCCAAGTCAATGAATGGTACGAAACCCTTTGTTCTCTAGCCTAACTTGGACTTAGCCAGTTTTTCAATCACTCGAAAATAAGTCGTACTTAAAATTCTAACTGCACTTAGTTACGAAAGTCAATTATTTTCCCATAATTCGTTCACGGTATCCTAACGGTTGATCTGAGCTAAACAAAGGTTTAAATTATTATCGATCTTTTATGCTTCATCGGGCTCCTATCGTGGGCCTGAGCGATGTTATTACCCTATATTTGCATAGAAAAGTTAATCAACTAAGAACGTTCACACGTATATAATAAATAGTGATGGCATTTTTAATTTACCACTCGCATTAAATTTCTGGGCTTATAATATTTAAAATACTAATTTCCTTGTTTTCGCAGCTCACGCAACGGAAGCCCTGAAAGATGAATGATTTCCCCGTTTTTACCAGATTTCCTTCTGCTTCCTCGCTCCTAGTGGTCCCTGCCTGATGTTTTGTAGTCCAAAGCCGTCCTCAATAAACAGCCCAACCAACACAAAAAAATCTATTTAAACCAGTAGTATTAGCGCATTCAAACAAACAATCTCTTCAGGTTTATATATAAAACGTTGTTCTTTAGATAGACTTTATTATTAGTTTTTTTTGTTAACATAATATTGATATAAACACGAGTAGATTGTGGGTAAAGCCACCAATCCCGCAGCTAATCTGAGACCGAGTAATGTCAGATAAGCATAATCGCGGCTGGATACCACCAGGTAATCATCATTCTCTCTTCAACTGTCTTAAATGCCTCGCTGTCCCTTCCGCGTCATTATCACAGGCCTGAAATACTTTAAGAGTGACGTAATAATATAGGCCTATGTAATATGTAAATGCGGTCATTTGCTTTTCCTGATAAATTGGCCTGCCTCGCCGATATGGGAACGGAAGCTTTCATGAAAGTGATTTATTTTCGTGTTCGCGCTGTCGCGTTTAAATTGTGTAATTCGATTAATAGTAAATATGACATTTTAGTAATATACATAACTATCCGTAAAATTGTCATGAAAACTATTCAATTTTAAATATTACCATGCCATGTTGCCACAAGGGAATCCACCTAACATTTCTAAGATGAAAAAATATATTAGCAATTTAGGTCGTTAGGTCCCCATAAGTTCGATCCCCCATCGCTGCAAAATGTTTCTAATCACTTTGTAATTTTTCTGAAACGTATTACATCTGGATGTTAAATGTTTGGTAGGAATATCTAAAACTCTGTCCGGGTCACCGCCGTTCACAGGTGAGTCGGATTCTCGTATAGCAGAAAGTATGTACACTTTAGATCCAGCTGTAAGTGAAATATCAATTCGTATTCATTTATCAAACTTTGTTGCAAAATGTTTGAAATCATCGATTATATTGGAAACAATAAGCAGTCGATTACAAAGGTTGCGTGTTAGACAAAGCGTATACAATTAGCTTGAGTCATCACTTATAAACAATAAATATCGATAAGGTCGGTCTTTATTTGTGTATATTGTATGGTAAGGGAATTAAAAATATTCTTAAATAATGTCCTGTTACTTGGGACACATTTGTGTAGCTGATATTTCCATCTGTGGCTTGTAAAGCTCGCTAGGAAAGCTTTCTTTACATATGATTAACAAAGAAATTTGATTAACTAAATAAATAAGATTTTGTGTTCTGTATTAAAGACAATTTGAACCACTAAAGCGCAATAAAAAGCTTGAATTGCAATAATTTTTATCTGTAGTTTTCTTTTTTTATATTTCGCTACAACACCACGTAATATATATATAATACTAAAACACTGTCTATAGTTTACGCGAGTGGTATTTCCGTGACCACGGCTGCTGCAAAGCATCCGAAACGTCGGGCCGAAGTTAAAAATAATTTTCAAATAAGTTTAACTAATATATCGCGTTTTAAACCGTTAAACTATTTTATTTAAATATGTAATACTTATGTAGTAGCGACGCTTTGACTCTTAATTTTCAATGTAATTTTAACACTAATGAAGCTATGATCTATTAACGATGACGGATGTATTTCAAGTTAATGAACTCCTACGGATATTATGTGAATCCTATAAGATTATATAACTTTTACTAACTGTCAAAAAGGGAAGTGTACTGCAGTGATTAATCGTTTCGTCGCCTTCAAATTATCCTCTCACATTTGGAATTGATCATTGGTCACAGATT